CCTCAAAGACTTCATATATAAAAAACCTAAAGAACCCATTCTGTCAACTTGTAGGGTGGAACTTTCCTTTATCATTAATCTTCTTTAGAATCTGTTATTGATTCAAACATCCATCCATCCATTATCTATACACTGCTTAATCCTCACTAGGGTTGCAGGGGGCTGGAGTCTATTCCAGCTTCCACCTTGTGGGAGGAACCCGGAGAACATGCAAACTCCACACAGAAAGATCCTGGGTGTCCTCACCGGGACGCGAACTGGTGACCTTATTGCTGCGAGGCAACGATGCGAACCACCGCTCCACCTTGCAGCTCTGATTCAAACATGTAAGGCTGAATTAGTCCAATATTAAAACTTTCCATTGTGTAGTGCAGAGTAGCTTTACAGGGTCCCAGGTGAGCTGGTGTGCTCAAGCTGCAGTAAGTAGGGAGGAGTGGTAGGAAAGGGATATTTTCGTGAAAAAAAAAAATCTAAATATATCACTTTGATCCACAGAGATGACACTGGAGAATATGTACCAGTTTAGCAGTAGGGTTTGACATCCACAAAATTATATTAGCTGATCATTTCAATAATTCTTTTCAGGTTTGAAAGACAATTAAAAAAAATAGCTGTCAAACTTCAGGTCCATTCTTAAGATCCGATTTTAAAAATGCCAGCCTCACTGTCCGTCATTTCCACACCCACCAGTTCTGTGTGGGTGATTGGAAAGTCTGTGTTACAATCCAGGAACTGTCCTGTGTGTCATAAAGGCAGCAAGAGCCACTGAGGTGGGTTGAGCAAGGTCCCCATTCAAAATGTTATGCAGTCGGTCATGACACAATCCCTCAGTTTAGAGCAACTGAAGGGGAACTGCGGGTTTCTCACTATACAGACCTTTTTCCTGTCTGCAGTGAATGCATCACTCTTTTTTTTCCCCTTGACTATGCTGTATGTAAGCTGTCCACGTTAGAGACCCAGCTAGGTGTGTCAGCTTTGGTTGTGCCTTGATCAAAAATTAAGCTTTAAATGTTGTTTTTGTACGCGATCAGCGCTGTTTGTTCATCAGCAACTTTATGCAAAATCTAGCTGAATTTCATGAAACTGGAGAAACGGAGCAAAAGAGGAACCCATTCAATTTTGGTACAGATCTGGACTGTTTTCGTTTAAATTGTAAGATGGGGTATCGGCTTTAGCGGAGGTTGCATTCTCTGAGAGCCCCTCTAGATTCGCTGTTTAAGCCAGAACTTTAAAAAAATACAGAAGTGCCTTTATTGCCTCTTTGATATGATTGCATTAATGTGAAAACAGGAAGTAAATGAAGCAAGACAGGGCAGTGAACTCCAACTGACCTCTGCACGCCACATGGTAGCAAATTAGTTTTACTTGTTTGGCTTTTCGGTAACTATTAAATATGCTAAGTTAGACCAGGATTTAAACTTAAACCATGCAGGAGAATGTAAATCAAGATTCCCACACTGGCCACCAGTTGGACTATTTCTTCTTGGTGAGAAAATAGATTCAGCTGTAGAGGAGTGGATAAACAACACCATCTGCTGGACGGAGGAGGATCACTGAACTGGAATCAGGAAAAGACTGTTCGCTCTGTTAAACTCTTTGCTCAAGCTGATCTGAATTCTGAAATTAATCTGAATGGGGTGTGATTGTTTCTCAGCCTCTTTAGGGGACTTTGATTCGCGAGGCGGCTCATAGTAGTTTAGTCAGAGGCAGTTCTGAGGGCGAGAACACATAGTCAGTGTGTGAGATCAGAGAATCATAATAAGTGGATGCATTCAAGCTAGAATGCCAGTCTGGTCTGAATGTGTGGCCTATGATGAAGTTGGTTTTTGTTTTCTTTTTAGTTTGATGAGAGCTAAATCTCACTGGGTGTCTGCTTCTGTAAGAACTCGTGTCATACGAACACTGTCTTTGGGGTTTCAACCAGAGATTTGTATTCATGATAAGGAGAAGTGTGGATGTCACCCATGTACATTTCTGGCAAACAGCACCGTCCTTAAACTATTAAATTCACATTTTGGCAAAGTCTGTTTCAATGCAATACATGACAAAACGCCATAACAAACGACAGGAAACAAAGCTCTTGCTGTATTTCTATGACAAAAACTGTATTTTGAATCACGTTATCATCTTGGATTTTTTTTAAACAATCTCATTCAAAAACATCCATTTATTCTATATTCAATACACATAAAGTGAAATAGACTGCTCAAAAAAATAAAGGGAACACCTAAACAACACAGTGTAACTCCAAGTCTATCAAACTTCTGTGAAATCAACCTGTCCAGTTAGGAAGCAACACTGATTGTGAATCAGTTTCACCTGCTGTTGTGCAAATGGAGCAGACACCAGGTGGAGATGAGAGGCAGTTAGCAGGACAACCCCTGTAAAGGAGTGTTTCTACAGGTGGTGACCACAGACCATGTCTCTGTTCTCGTCCTTTCTGGCTAATATTTTGGTCACTTTTACATTTTGTCAGTGCTCTCAGCCCAAGAGGTAGCATGAGGCGTGTCTGCAACCCACACAAGCTGCTCAGGTAGTGCATCTCATCCAGGACGAAACATCAATGTGAGCTGTGGCAAGAAGGTTTGATGTGTCAGCACAGTGTCCAGAGCCTGGAGGAGATGCCAGGAGACAGGCCAGTACACCAGGAGACGTGGAGGGGGCTGTAGGAGGGCAACAACCCAGCAGCAGGACCGCTACCTCCTCCTTTGTGCAGGAGGAGCACTGCCAGAGCCCTGCACAATGACCTCCAGCAGACCACTAACATGCATGTTTCTGCTCAAACTGTCAGAACCAGACTCCATGAGGTGGTATGAGGGCCCCATGTCCACCAGTGGGGCTTGTGCTTACAGCCCAACACCATGCAGGGTGATTGGCATTTGCCAGAGAACACCAAGATTGGCAGATTCACCATTGGCGCCCTGAGCTCCTCACAAATGAGAGAAGGTTCACATTGAGCACGTGACAGAGTCTGGAGACGCCGTGGAGAATGTTCTGCTGCCTGCAACATCCTCCAGCTTGACCGGTTTGGTGGGTCAGTAATGGTGTGGGGAGGCATTTCTTTGGAGGGCTGCACAGCCCTCCATGGGCTAGCCAGAGGTACCCTGACTGCCATTAGGTACCGGTATGAGATCCTCAGACCCATTGTCAGACCATATGCTGGTGCAGTGGGCCCTGGGTTACTGCTGGTGCATGACAATGCTCATGTCTCGTTCCATCCACCAGCGCCACGTTGCACCGCAGACTGTTCAAGAGTTGATTGATGCTTTAATCCAGGTCTGGGAGGAGATCCCTCAGGAGAACATCCTGCCTCATCATGAGCATGCCCAGGCGCTGTAGGGAGGTCCTACAGGCATGAGGAGGCCACACACACTACTGAGCCTCATTCTGACTTGTCTTGAGGAATTTCCACTGAAGCTGGATCAGCCTGTAATGTGACTTTCCACTTTTATTTTGAGTATGATTCCACATCCAGACCTCCATGGGATAATAATTTAGATTTACATTGATCATTTTTATGTCTTGTTCTAAATGCATTCCACTATGTAATGAATGAAGTTTTGCAACTGGAATATTTCATTCATTGAGATCTACGATGTGTTATTTTAGTGTTTCCCTTTTATTTTATTTTTTTGAGCAGTTTATTTTACACCTTTTTTATTTTGATGAAATAGAGTATCTCAAATTATTAGAATATTTTTCAGGATCAAATACATTATTAAATACAGAAACATCCAACTTCTGAAAAGTATGTTCATGTACACACTCAATACTTGCTTCTTTACCATGAATCAGTGCGATGGGGAATACAGGTGACCAGCCTGTGGAACTGCTGATGTCTTATTGAAGCTCAGGTTGATCTGATAGCAGTTTTCAGCTCATCTGTGTTTGTGGGCCGAGTGTTTCTCATCTTCCTCTTGACGACGCCCCATATGGGGTTCAGGTCAGGTGAGTTGGCTGCCAATCAAGCACAGTAACATCATGGTTTTGGACTGTGGGCAGGTGCTAAGTCCTGCTAGAAAAGGAAACAGACATCTACATAAAGCTTGTCAGTAGAAGAAAGTATGAAGCAGTCTAAGATCTGCTGGTGGACAGACAGCTGTGTTGAATTTGGACCTGATAAAGCCAACAGTAGCATAAATCACTGCAGAAACTTCACTGTGGACTTCGAACACCTTGGATTATCTGCTTTTTTACTCTTCTAGGACCTTAATTTGTAAAGGAAATGCACTTTGGTCTGAATGGAGGACTTTGAACCACTGAGCAACACTTTACTTTCTTAAATAACTGATGGAAAATTTTAAACTGTTTCACAAAGTTCTATTTTTTTGAGATGCACTAGTATATAAGAGCAACAAACATTCTCTACTGTCAATGTCCTAAAAGCATTATTAAAACATAAAAAGTCACCTGCTATGGTTGGAAACCAGGCAACTGGTTGCTTAAATCTAAAGTTGGCACAATGTCACTATGATAAAAATCAACCTATTGATGGACACCAATATGCAGGCTGCCACACTTGGAGTTCCATCGATTAGTTACCAGCTATTAAACTGATTCCCAACTATTTAAACAATTGATCGAGTGGTTTCAGCATTTAAGGGGAAAAAAAGCCAAACTTCTCTCCTGCCAGCTTCTTAAACTTAAAGATTTTCCAGTTTGTTTACTCCTCTATGACGGTAAACTGAATGTCTTGGGGTTGTGGACAAACCAACACATTTGAGGGGAATCATTCTGGCTTCTGGGAAACAACATTTTTCACCAATCAACTACAATAATCAACCGACAAATCAATGCTTGTATTTGTCAGATGCGGCTCTAAACATACTGAAGTTGGTCTCGAGTTGTTCCTCTTTTCCTCCAGTCAGTTCTGTGATATTGTGAGTCCAGGTTTCTGGGTCGTAAGCTTCAAATCTTAAACATTGTGTTAACTACTGAATTGTAATGAGTGTCTGTAACTGTAGCGCTGCCTTAATACTGAACAGTACTTAATACATAAACACATTTGATAGTTTTCTTTTATTTAGACAACCCAAATAAAAGGCACATAACATTGCGCATGTTTATGTAATAATTTGACAAACGTACATTTAAAAAAAATGTAGGAATGTTTGACCTTTCTGCTAATCAGAAAGCCTAGCCTCTCATATATACAAAATTATCAATGTTAATGTTCTAATACAAAAGATTTATAAAAAAGGTTATCTTATCTTTAACATCTATTGTAACTACCATGTCCTTGGAACTAAAATAGTTTTGTACAAAGATATACATTCAACTGCTTTCACAACGGTACTGGAATTTCCAATCAACTGTTTTCCTTAAAAATAAAGAGATGTTCAATTCCACAAGAAATAGTCAGTTTATCACATTATTATTGTTTCAAATTTGGCAAACAGGCTATTATAGTGTCTCTACGTAAATGCATAAGAACAAAAAAAAAAAAAAAAAAAGCTACACTAAAATTTTGTTTAAAACAAAACTTGGAAAAAAAATGACAAACATGCATATTGCATTTTTCAGTCAAAAACTGAATCAACTCAAAGAGCTGCAACACTGCTGAGATAACATGGCATTCATTAAAAAATAGTTAATGTTCAACAGCTACAGTGTTCGGGGTCATGCAACGTCAATCTTGTACCATTTTCTTTTTTTTTTTAAATGGACACAAACTTGCATTTTTATCAAACTCTTCCAGTTCTCAGCCATGCAGACTGAGACTGAACTGGACTTTAAAAGAAATGTTATATATAAAAAAAACAAAAAAAAACAAAAGGTACAGCATTTATTCCATTGTACAGTAAACGATCATTTGAAATGGACGGCTATTTAAAAGCATTAAGTCTTGAACTTCTTGTTCCCGACTCTTCAAATGTTTTAAGGGAAGCCAGAAAAGAAACACAAAAAAAGTCAAGAATCAAATACACAGTGGGTATCAAATTTAAAAGAACCATGTTTATGAGTGATGGGCTTTCCTGTGTGTTTCCTGAGTGAAGGGTCCGTAGTATCATCTTGGGGCTAAAACAGAAAAATGATAAATATATATATATAATAATAAAAAAAAATAATTCAACAGTGTACAGAAGAGTCAGCCAAACTATTTGGTCACCATTATGATGACAGTAACAGCCTGAAAAAGCTTCACTACAAGGCCAGGCCTTTCCATGTTCAGCCACTAGATGGCCCTCAAGTGCAGGCTGGCTAACCAAAACACTTAAGACTCCAATTTGATCTTTGATAATACTGCTGTTCACCTGTATGTAGGATATGCTTTCAGTGCAAGACTCGTTCCATTCTGACTTCATGGAAAAATCAACACTACAAATAGACAAATAAAATCAAACCTTTGCGTTTCCATAAAAGTGGAAAGCACAAATATTTCACCGTCAAGCGGACAGTGTCGAGATATCCGCTTGACTGGTGAAAGCAAAAAAAATTAAAATGCTGACATGAAAATACATTACTATGTCAACTGTACAAGTTAGTCACTGTACCTCGAGAGCATATCTACTATCTGAGAAGAAAAAGAAACGCTATAGCATCGTGAAAAAATACTCTTCCATGCACGTGGAAGCTGCCGTCCCTTTTACTAGACTCATTTCCTATAACATTAAATAGTGATTAGCAGGCTATAGTTTAAAAAAAAAACAAAACAAAACAAAAAAAAAACATACAAAGTAACACCCAGAAGCTTTGGGAGAGAACTTGCAAAACATCAAAAACAGCAATTTTATACTTATTGCTTCAGTTCATTTCACATCTCCCTTTTACAAAAGCACAAGTGTGTTTTTTTTCCTATGGACTCCTCAAGGGGGGCTCGAGGCGTCCTCTCGTGTGTCATGGTACAAATCACAGTTTCATCATTCTAACTGACTACGCTAAGTCCTGTCCTGATTTTCAAGATAAATCCTACTCAAATTCTACTCAAGTGTTCCGCATCACACGTCAGTCACTGAACCTTAGCTGGGACGCAGCTGCGACTTGGGGAGCTCCTACCGGCGGCCGCGCAGCTCGTGTAAATGTTCGCTTCAGGGCTTCGTGAAGTGAAACACTGTTCAGGGGGGAGGAGGAGGAAGAGGAGGAGGAGGAGGAGGGAGGAAGAGCCGGGCTTGAGGTGCAAAGATGAGGACAGGAGTCTCTTGATTCACTTCATTTTCCCTTTCTTTCTGGCCAGTTCAATCCTGTCGCTCCTTCTTTTTTTCTTCTTTTCTTTACCAGGGTGGGGAAGAAGGCAAGACTTGGGACAGAAAAGGCATGCTATCCACTGGCCTCATTGCGATGTTGAGCGGACCGGCTATATTCATAGGCATGGGGGTGGTTATTGCGACTGGGTGGGCGATATTCATGGGCGCCGTGGCCGGGATGTTCACAGAGGCGATGTTGACGGGCCCGGTGATGGTGACTGGGTGCTGGAGGCTGACCGGAGACGTGATGTTGACCGTGTTGGTGCTAATGTTCATTTGTGCGGCTATGGTGACGGGGTTGTTGTTGTTCAGGTTGCCCCGGTTCATCGCCGTGGTGATGGGAGCGGAGACGGTCACAGGTGTAGCTGAGGCAGAATTGCAGACTTCGTTACCATCTGGGAAAATACCAGATAACAGTATTTAACTCTGTGTGGCGAATCAAATGAGTCGTAGGTAGGAAGCGAATTGGCGACACGCTCGTTACTTCTGCTGCGAGTTAATGTAGCGTTAACTTTTAATAGTGCTTAAACAGTATACCAGATAATGCAACACGGATTAGGAGCGGAGGGTGATGGAACTGAGTGTGCGAGGCAAATGAAACAATAATGTGACCGAGAAAGGGTTGTTGCTGAGTTCGGAGATTAAGTCAAGCAGCTGGCAATTTGTAAAAGCAACAGCAACAACAACAAAACAAGAGCCTACGCTGACAAAAATTCAGCAGTGCAGGAAAGCCTACACAAGCAAAAGGTTGAGCGTGGGACTTGTAGACAAGGCCTCGGTTAGTTTGACCTGGTTTCGAAAGCACCACGATAAAAAGGTGACTTTCCATTTGACACGTGATGGGTTATTACTGTCTGCTTACTGTCCACAGTCTTTGTAATTACTTTCAGTCAATATAGACGGTGTTTATTTATTTTGTACATGTTTTATATTTTTACTGCACACATCGATGTTATAATGTTAACCCTTGTCTACTGTTCATATTTCATGCCTTCACAGTACCAAGCATCTATACCAATTTTTAAACTACACATCTGTTTAGAATGTCTAACTGACTGTGGTGGCATGGTATATATATATGAATGCTTCCGCTTAAAGCCTGAGTGTTTTAGGTTCAGCGTATCATTTAAGATTTATCACCAATTTTAAGTATTTTACACACCATTGTTTGCTGTACTCTCGTGTTGGATGGTCGGATGTGTCCACACGAAGAAAAAAACACTTGCATATTTTAACTTATAAATGTATTTTAGGCTTGCTTCCTAGCTGTGTACAGGTTTTTATTTGTACAAAAGCTCCTCGTGGTTACAGTCTGTTGTGCTACTGTCTGTTCCTAAGAAAGCTTTTAAATTCGCTCTGCCTGGAACACATTGCAAAAAGACCTGAAACTTCAAGAGCACGTTCAAAGTGTTCCTCAATGACTTGGAGGCAAACTCATCAGTCTGTAGACGTTTTGACAGATGATTATTTTGTTGGTTATGTTTTGGATCTGTACCGATAGGTTGATTTCTTATCTTCAGTATGTAATCACCGTGTATTTTGAGTATGATGTCTGTGTGTTGTGACCTTGTTTGGCCCACACTGGTAGATCTAAAACCCATTTTAGTAGATATGGGTGAAATCTGACCTCAGGGTACAAACATTTGTAGCACCTGAACAAAAGTATAACATTTTTAAATATTTTCATTTTTGTGTATTTTGGGTCACTTTAGGAAAAGTCATCAAATTTCAGGCTAACAGACTCACATTTAGGGTATTTTCTACTGCTGTCAAACATCAAAACAGGTCAAATTTGACCCTAAACAGTACATAAGAGTGTGTATTTCTGAGAAGTGAGACAAACCTTTATTACAGGAGTTGAAGTTGGTCTGTCCGTGAGTCTTCAAATGACTGGTGATGTAGGCGGCACTGAGCATCTTCCCACAGATGCTACAGGTGACCTTGCCTTCATGCCTGATCATGTGGGAACGGAGTCTGTCTTTGGTGGCGAAAGCAGAGGTACAGGCCTGCAGCCGGACAGCAGACGGGGGTTAGAGCTCGGCGGAGTGCGACGATATTAACAATGACTTTTTTTTTTAAATAAAAAAAAAATCTGGAAACAGACGGAGACTCTTACCGTTACTTGACATTTAAACGGTCTTTCTGAGGAATGCACATGCTTCACATGGCAGCTCAAGTGGTCTGGCCTAGATGGAAAACAACAAAAACACAGTTAATAATGGGATGGACAGGCACTGAGCTCCTGGAGTTGTAGATGTGAAGAGCTACAGACTTGTTCATTTATCTGTTAGCATTTCATTTGTTAATGTGGAGTCTGAATTTCAATCGTGGTTTCTTTGATCTGAAAACAACATATTTTAAACACACACGTTACAATCAACTGCAAACCAGATATGTCGTCTGCTTTAGATGCCTAATTAGTAAGATAACAATACAGATCTGTTACAATTAAATCTGAAATCATGAGCAGCATTTAATCTTAAGTAATTTTTATGGTAACTTCACATTTACTTTACATGCTTTTTGACCAGGAATACAAAAATGTGTGGTGTTTAAAAACCGATAAAAGTGTGCACGAGTTACTGACAAAGAGCACCGAAGTGAAACAGCCTGATGTACAACTTTTAAACGCATTACAAGCGAACGGATGTGCTCTGTTTGCTTTGATAATGAGGGGATGGGCACAAAAATCCCTAAAATTTCAGTCAATGGCAGTTAATTCTCCGTGATCAATCGTGCGTGAATTAGTTTGACCTAGTTTCAAACACGCACCACAATGAAATGGAGTTGTTGTTTTTCTTTTTCTTCCTTTTCCCACTTGACACATGAGTAAACTGGCAGTTTGCTTATTATTACAGTCTGCTTATTTCCCAGCATGCCTGTCATTACTTACAGAAATATGAAGACGGTGTTAATGAGAATATGCAGCGAGTGGTTTTCTTTTTTTTGACAATAATCCAAATTTGAATTTGCACATTTTGTCTGTGAGGATTGTAAAGTATATATTAAATTCAACCAAACATTGATGGTATTTCTGAAAACACTAAGTGTAAGAAAGTAGTAAATAAATCCTAAAATTCCCCTTTGAACAATCACTTTTCTGAATGTGTGTTTAGACAAGATAAAAAACTGTTCCGCTTCCACGGTATTTGAAATCCCAACTTTATATATTTATATCCTTTTTTAAACCAAATTGGAATCACTATTTAATACACACAACACACTGTGAAATTAGGAACGATTAGGAAGAAACATCAACAATAATAGATGATAAACTGCAATCCACTACAATCCCTCTTTAGTCAAAATACTTCAGTAATCCTAAAGTAAAAGCTTAAACAAAAACATGTGTTTGTGTTTTTTGCTGTTAAATTATTAAAATGTAAAAAAAAAATTAACAAAACAAAAAAACAAACATGGACGACATTCCTGTGTGTGTATCCGCCGCATAATTTACAAAGTTCACTGCATAACAGCTATTTGCCTCCTGACCTTTACAGTGAAACTCCAGCATTCACAAATTCTCCTTGGCACTGATCCTCCTCTGTCAGCGTGTTAGTTCTAGTGAAGCTGTGAGCTGAATCATGTTAGAAGTGCCATAATGGAGTGAGTAAGGGCTACAGCTCTGGCAGCTGCTCCCAAACCGGAAAGTTTCATGCTGCTGGATCCTTTTTTTTTTCCTCTCTTTTTTTTTAAAAAACACAAATGAGAGGAGTCAAGTAGAATCTTCTCAGTGGTTCCATGAACCGGAATCAACTTTTTTTTTTTTTTTTGTCCCACTGATGAGGGGAGCAGACTCCAGACAGTGCCTGCCTACAGATCTGGCTGAGTGGCAGTGACTCAGTGCCCTGTTATTCAGTCCCCATTCTCACTTTCCAGTATGCTGATGAATCCCTACCCCACGTCACTGTGTTGGAGGCATGCCTGAAACTGCCCTACACAGCACAGTGCTAATGTTACCGCTTGGCCAGGGTACACTTGCTGATGTTTTTGTTGGGAGTCGTGTAGCAGCACAGGCAGTTTATGCTGTTTAACAATATTCTCAGTCAATACTGATTAACATAAACGCAAAATTTAAAAGAAAAAAAAAAGCCTCGTTAACTAGATTTTAAACATCGTGACCACGACTTAAACAATACACTTCTAAGCTACATCTTACATGTGTTAGCCTAAACATTACCGCATGGTTCGCTGAATTCCCAGGGGAAAGAAACTGTGACATGCTGGCGGGAACTGCAAAGTGACAAGTGACGCCTCCCCCTCTCTTGATACTCCACTGGTGCTCTCCCATGTGCGACTGTTTAAACATGTGGCTGAAATGGCGTGGGGGGTCATTACAAGTACAAATCTAAACTGCTTACCACAACAGTAAAACCCCAGCCACTGGTGAAGCTACATGGATGGTAGATGGGCATAAAACCCCTCTATATGAAAACATGGTGCGACTGAACAACCCAAACACCACAGGCCCGAATAACTCACATACAAGTGGTTGCTATGGGGTGTCTGTACAAGCAGTGAGGTTGCACTTCAGTGGACTTTTGGTAAAGCAGAGATTCTGGTAATTGCAATCCTTGTTTCAGTAAATCATCTCTTTGTACTCGCAACTACAAACATGAAAGACAGTAAATTTAGAGCACATACGGTTATATTTAAGTTTAGTGCGCTTGTTTTTTTTTTCCTACAAAAGCTATTTTTGGGCTGCCGAGCACATAGTCATAAAGGATGTTTGTTAGAATTTGTTTACCATTATGTTATTTTTAAATTCCATGCAGACAAGTCAGGACTTTTCTCTACGTCCCTGGAATGTAACCACCACGGGGCAAAATTACTTTCTTTCTACGCTCCCATAAGAATAAATTAGATCTCAGACGCACACTTCCTGTTTACAATAGCCTTGTTACTTGTTGATTCAAGGCGTACGAACAGTTGTAAAAACAATCTTTTCCTTGCATTTGGCCCCATTTTCTCACCAATGTAATATGTCCTATTGTCACTGTGCATTGTCTTTGCTGCTGATGCCAACCACAGCTGTCCAAGAGCTGCGAGTCATCACCTTTAGCTACTGAGTCGAGTTATTGTAGAAAAGAAATGGTCCATGTGATGTGCCATCTGACCACAGTGAAAAGTGATTCAAATGGCCAAAGATGGAGTGAAAGGTCAGCTATCAGGGAGAGGTGGGAAACCTAATGTAAAAATGGAAATACTGTCACATTTTCAGTCAGTGCAAGACATTCAGTGCTGTACACATGATGACCGCTACAAATAACAGTTGTGTAACAAATGAAAATGTTATCACGCCGCACAGCTGACCAGTCAAGTGTGAAGTGGGTGTGAATGCAGGTTTTTTGAAAGTTATAGTTAGACACCGCTCTCATCAATCTAACGTTGGAAGGTTGACTGATGGACTATGCTGGTCCCCTAATGAGCAGGCCTAGACAACCTCACTTAAAGGTCCCATATGGTGCAAATTCATTTTTATGTGTTTTATGGTTGTTATCAATATATGAAGACGTTTACCTCTGCCATTCCACTGTCACCCCCTCACAACTAGATAGCCTCCAGGTTTTACAAGCCAGTCAGACTTTTACTCAGCTGCTACGTTCCAGCTGAGGAACCAATACCAGTCCAGCTCAAACTTTGCATAATCCTGCAGACTTGCTGCCTGCTGTTTCCGAGGTGAGAAATTCAGAATGAGCAGCTGCCTTGTGGTGAAGCAGCCTCCCGGCTTCTTCTGCTAACTCTAAAATGTTTCAGTCACAAACCAAGCAAGACAAAAGTTCTGCTGTTGGCTGCAAGAGTGAACATAAGAGTCTTCATGTACTCCCAGCATCTAAGGAACTGCAGACCGAGTGGACTACGATATTTATGGTAACATCACCACAACAATAAGAACATACTTAGCTTTACTGAGAACATTCAGAGAAAATGGAAACTTTAAAAGCAGGTTTGAAACAAATAAACAAGAACTGGGTCGATTACTGTGTTTTTGTGTTGCCTCAACTCAGCTGGTGTTTCAATCAGTCTACTTCCCTCCTGATTTCTGTCCTCAAATGTACATAATTTTAATACTGCCAAATTCCCAATAAAACTCTTCTCATTTACATATCTTAATGTTTCTGTTGTAATACGACAGAATGAGTGGGAAATAGTGCCATTACAGACAATCCACTATAAATATTGATTTTAGAACTGCAACATTGTGGAACAAACTCAGCTACACGTGAGTTATAAACAGTGGTTGTGCTGTGAATTTGCTGATAGTAGCTCGTGCAGCAGTAAGCACAGGATAGATGCCCAGCTGGTCCCCTGTGGAGAACACTTCTCGTTATATTTGTGGGCTCAAGACGGAGGTTTCTCGACTTAACTGGATAACTACAGTGAGTAAAACCTTTCATGCTCCACGTTTGAGGAGTCTAAAGCTGTCTATAAACTGACTACCCCCACTTTGTGAGACAGTCCAAAAACAACTATATCTGACACAAACGAAGTACTGCCTAAGCATTATTATTATTAACGAGGATGGTTTCAAAAACAATTCAATGAATACAGTTTGTCAATTAACTCCATATAAAATGTAATAAAAATAAAACACCTAATTAAATCAATAATGATGTGAACACCATTTGTCATAACAACACCAGCAATTCTTCTCAGCACACGTGTGCAGTTTTTCAAAGAATTCAGTAGGTATGTTACTCAAAGAACTTTCCTTTTGTGGATTTAAGCTGTCTCTGTTACTTCTGTCTCAGAACTCTGAGGGGGGAAAATACCATCTATCACCATTTACTGCTGTTTATTATTGTCACAAGGTATGTATTTATGATTCTGCTGTATATGTGGGGTTGTTTTCACATGTAGCAAGATGAATTTGGGACCAGTGTGAAGCCTGCATGATGCTACTATATGATAAAGACTGTATGATAAAGACTGAAGAATTTACTGTGTGGCACAGAGCTGCATATTAATGGACTTTTAGGGCCATTTAACTCCACTTGAAAAGCCCTTGTAACGCATTACCGGTGTCTTACTTTTTTTAATTATTATGCTTATACAACTACCTTGTGAGCTATACGAGGAATGTACAAAGACATTTTTAAACAGGAACATTATCTCCCCATGAAATTGCTTCATTTCTCAGGATTTGCCCGTCTGTATCCCTACAACAAGGCTGTCTGGCAGCATAAAGGAAAAAATAACTTCACAGAGTAGATGCGTTGTTGCCTGTATCTAAATAGATTATGACTAAATTATAATAAAACACTTTATTATTTTGTAAGTGTGCGCTTTACACATAACCCACCAAATACTATAACTGACGTTTCATTTAAGAGATGCTACATACATTTCACTTGAGTATCAGTCGCAATATTACAACTAATATTCTAACATGTTTTCCTACTAATGGGTTAGAGATCAAAAGTATATTGATCCTTACCTGGAGAAGCCTTTCCCACACACAGAACATACATAGGGCTTGTGGACTCCCCCGTCATGAGAGCGAACATGGTAGGTCATCCGGTCCTTCCTTTTAAAGCGTTGCTGGCAAATGGGGCACTCGAAAGGCTTTTCATCTGAATGGGATAGCTTGTGGCGATTCAGGTGGTAGACATCACGAAAGGCTTTGCCACACATCTCGCACCCGTGGTTTTTCTTGACAGGTTTGGCAGGTTTCTTGACGACATTCTGCTGCGGCACGTTGCCCATCGCGGATGACGTCATAATACTTGTGCCTGAGGAAACAGACGTGGTTGCCGTGGAGAGGATGCCTGCTACCGTGGAGATGTAAGAGGAGTTGCCGTTGTTCTCTCGTGGCATCGTAGAGATCATGGGTACCATGGTGGGGGCTGTTTGGGCCGTCTTCTTCGGACGCGACACCATCTTGATACCGGTGTGGCTGGACTCATGTCGTCGCAGGTGGTAACTGTCACGGAAGGCCTTGTTACAGTAGCCGCAGACGAAGGGTGTTTTGCCTTTGTGTTCTTTCTTTATCACAGGCACTGGTGGCCGTGGACCTCCTCCGCTAGCCACATTGTCTTTGAGGAGATCGGCAGCACTGGTGGGTGGCTTCTGGTCTAGTTGGATGGGTAGGACAGGCTTCTGGTCAACTTGTTCAGCTCCTGCATTAAGAAGAGGCAGCAGGCTATTCTGGGCCACCTGGTGCTGGTGGTGGAGGGCTTCATTGGCCTGCTAATGAAACAAACACACACATTTTTGGTTGAGTCAAGATGAATTCCAGACATTTAGTAGTAAAAATTGCATCGGGGCACTGCAGCAGCTAATGTCAATCCAATATTAGGGAGTGCAGTTTCAAAACAGCTAGAATTCCCATATAAAAAATGCATTAGAATGATCCCAGTAAACAACAAATGCGGCTGGTAACTGTACCGCCACTTGCAGGAGTGTGTTTAGTCAGGAGTTCACTGTGACAACTCCATGAAAACAACCAGAGGTAGTAAGATGTCATAGAATACAAAATGGGCACTGGGTCTGTCATTAACGAGGCTGACGCAGCATGCCACTAATGCAAAAGAATCCAAATATACTGGATGAAAAATGATCCCATCGTGACGGTGCTGATTCATCATGTGACTGCAAAGCAGGCATACCAAATTAGAGGCATAGCAGAGTCCAGTTTAACTGCCAAGAAGGCTCTTGAAGAGCAGGCCATTAGCTCAGCAACAGAGCTCGGTTAGGAGATATAGAGGAGCAGAAGTGTGGTTTAGTGAAGGAGAGAAATGCATATGCAGGAAAATACAGGTCACCAAATTAGACAAAACAGCAGAGATCACAGCGTAGCAATCGCTTGTCGGGTATAAGACAAACTGCACAATTTTTCCTGGCGTTTTGCAGGTGCAAACCTATGCCAGCTCCAGCTATAATATAAACAGGATGAAATGGCTGGATGCAATTAGCAGCAGCAAGTACAAGTTGCTGAGCTGTGCTTCACTCATTTAAGTAATCAAATTTCCTGACTGAGGAGGTCAGGCACAGTTTGTATCTCTTGCAACAGCTGTGACCTAAAACACAGCATCATTTAAGGGAAACTGCTAAAATAATCAGACATTTCTGACGAAACATGATTCAGTGCATTTTGTTTGGGCATGTTTGAAACAAAAGGAGGAAGGTTAATGGCAGTCAACAGTTGAGCAATCATGTAAGGTATACGACGAAGCCAGTTGCCTAATTACTTCATCGGAAACAAAACTAAAAACAACACGATGTATTAATGGGATAAAATGCTGCTGAAGACCACGTGGCAGCCGCTTATCCAATCCAAACTTACTCCTTCCTGTAGCTACATTCAAAACGACTCTTTGTACATTACATTGTTTGGACAGTTAGCGCCAAGTAAAAACTCCAGCGCAAAAATTCATAATCATCGGAGTTTGTGGACTTGGGGTGAGTTTCAAACGGAGACGAGAAGTTAGTCTAAATCTGTAAATTAACAGAACGCCAAAGATCGCTCCAGAATCAAATATTCACTGAAATTAACAGGCAAGAAACGCACCACAAGCAGGGACTGCTGTTTATGATAATTAATCTTTTGCTACCTTTTCAAATCCGTGTGGCTCTACGGTTTTATTTTACTAATTCTACTAAAGTTGTATTACTCAGAAAAAAATGCATTTTTTCTTATTGCATTCAGACATTTAAAAAAAACAAACCAACAACAACAAAATAAAAACATAATGCTGTTCTTTGAGTAAACGGACACAGTCAAGATAACTGTGTTGTCAACCACCGGCAAGAAAGGGCAAGGTGAAATACTTGACCTTTCCCTTTGAGGTTCAATGATGCATCGAAGAAGGCCAGCCAAGAAAGGAGTTGCAAAAGAGGAGACAGGGGATGGAAAAGAAAAATGAACCGCACAATGTCCTCCTTATGTCATCTAGCCTATTGTGAAAGACACAAATCTGAGCAGTGATGCACTCGGGCCTCAGCAGGGGATCTTTGTATGCTCATCTTCATTGATTTGGCTCATCTATTCATGAGACGGGGACATTGTTTACCCACACACTACTCCGCTAAACTCGCCGTCATTCCCTCATATGCAATGGGACCTGGGAACTTGTGGAGAATGCCACCAAGCCCACCCGTCCATTTGTCTGAGCACCTGCTTACACTTGCCACCTTCCAGGATTAGTCATCATCATGCCAATACTAACCCGTCCGCTGGCACACCAGGGGCAGGAGGAGGGGGGAGGCTTTATGTTTGGGTGGGGAGGTGGCGGGGGGGGATACCAGCCGGGAACCCTCTTTGTGAAGCTTGTGAACAGCAGACGTAGCCACTGCAGACAGCCTGGCCTCTATACAGAGGTGCACGGCCTGTAAGCTGCTGTGCCTTCATGCAGCTCTGACCATTTTGACACAAATGCGCTCTGACAACTGGGGCTGCTCCCTCATAAATAACATCAAAATGGAGGGAGTGTCCTGATGGCTCCATGGGCCACTGTAGACTTGAATTGAGCTCACGGTCTCAGTTAGATTATGCACCGTCTTTTTTCAGTCTTTTGTGCCGCACTCTACAGCTGCTAGCCGAAATCTCAATTTTTTTTTTTTTTTAACAAAACAAGCAAAAAACTGTAACTGATCGCAGAAAAATGAAAAAGAGGAGGAGGAGAAAACAAGACTTAGGATATTACATAATTTGTTTTTCTGCGAGATCTAAATTATCAAAAAATTTGAGTTTTATTCTCGGCTCTTCTTTAATTGTTTACAAGTTTGGAATTTTTTGGCAGCGGCTCAGTTTGCTAAGGGGACACAAGTTCTTACAAAACATCACTTCTGTACTGTTTCTTCATAGCCTCTAACGCTATACAAATACTGAGGGGATTCAGAGCTGCGCTTGTTGTTGGTGTGGGCTGCAAGTGAAGGTATTTCTGTCCTGATAGGTGTGAGCAAAGGTTTCAGAGGATGATTTGATATATTCATGCTTTCACAAGGTTTGGGAATGCATCATATGAGGATGACATCAGCCAGTACCTCACTGTCATCCCTCTCCTAAAAACAATAAAATCAATGAGTCAAAACCTCCAAAAGGGCTGGCTTTTTAATACACACCCCCCCTACAGCAAATAGCCCAGTTAGGAACAAGAAATAGATCCAAAGAGATGTACTATGGTTTACAGGTTATGAAACATATTTCCTGGGAGCACAAAGCGTCTTTTTTTCTTCCCAGCTGTAAACATTTCTTAAATATGGGCATAAACAGGTTTTTAATAAGGAGTCGGTGTATCCCAAACATTTTAAAAACCTAATATATATTACATTTCAGATGTAGCATATGAATAGCACTGACTGTTTTTCTTTTTTAGCATTACACCTATGATAAAATTACTCATCTTGAAGGGCACACGAATACCAAACCCTTTCTGAAAGAGGAAAATTGGCAATATGTGCAGGACAGACAGAACAGAGGAAGAGACTTTTAGTGACTTTAAAATGCAAGGCCTAAATCGAATACCCAAACATAAAATCGGAGGTAGGTTATCTGGCCGATAGATCATATGACGATCTCTCAAGATAAAATTACATTTTACAATCTGAACAACATTTCTCCCCGCAGATTTAGTTGAACTCATGATCACATGATTAGTTGTGCATATGGTTGCTTGGATACAAAGCCTGCTACTTCAACACAAGGCTAAAGGCCCAACTCACAAATCTCTGCATCCTGTTCTCGCTGACTTTATTCGGAAAGTTCAGACCAGCGACTGTGATTTGTACCAATGCTTTGGCGCTATTTTTACTATCTGCATTCACGATGCTGTCCTGTGTTGACAAAAAAAGTTAAAACTCCAAGATAAATAGTGTATCATTCTTTTGCTGTGTCACAACTAAACTTGCTTTTGCTTAGTTCAGGTGGAAGAGGAAAGCTTGAATGGCGCTGGTATCTGTTATTAGTTTTTATCAATATTGTTATATTAATTATTTATTTAATAGTGACTTGTGATCATATGTCATATTAGGACCATCCAAGATATAAGACCGTCACATCACTCCTACTTGAAACCAACAGCAGAACTTCACAGCTACCGAAACGTTCACCTTTTGGCAGCTTACCCACTGTGGGCAATAGCACATAAAAATCACAACACCTGCTAAGTGGACTGTGTGAGAGTGACGAGAAGCACTGTTTGGGCCATAAAGTCCCATATAATTTGATTCTGTGCTATGCATGAATATTCCATTGTCATCACCTTTTATTTGCTCAAAGGCATCCTCATTCTGAAAGGTAATAAACTCTTTTCACAGCAGATAGTTTTGTGTGTCACAGCAAAAAGGGACAGTTGTTGGGGGCCACCGCTAAGGAAATTTGTTTCACTTGTGCTTTTTTTTAAACGAGTCAACATGCGAAAAATATCATAAAATAACAAAATTAAATTAAATTAAAAAAAAAAAACCGAGAAGTAAAATAAAAAAGAAAACTGAATTGGTATTTCTCTCTGGAATAATTAATGCTCAATTTTAAAATGGTTCCTGAGTTTGCTTTTCAAATATTGCCATTTTATTACGTCTACAAAACGGGAGGATGGCGCCGGTGACGAGTTAACTCCTACAAAAGTCTTAACTTGAACACTTAAACCTAAAGTTTACTACTGATGCTAAAGCTCTACCTTAAGCAGTCATTAACATAGGTCACATAAACCATGATTGGAAAAACATCAATAATTTCTAAGGGGGCTGTTTGTGACGATGAACCTGTTTAAACTCCCATAACAACCCGCTGTAAGCCACACGCTCAGCACAAAATGGAAAAAAGTTGTTGACTCGTTAGTGAACACATCTAACAAGCTTTCACTAAGCATCAGCCTTCTCTAAAACATGTTTGGCAATCGTATTATTTTTACTCAAGTACTTAACATTTTCAACACATTGTCCATCACTTGAATGCCATTTTCTTCCAGACATTTGGGAGTTTGTTAGCTCCATGCTTTGGCAAATTATATAAAAAATGAACAGATGCATAGCACCTTCTGGACACATTTCTTTAATTGTAATACTGTGCTTTTCTTGAGTGGCTGCTGCAGTCTCCAGAGAAGACAGCAATGGAGTCTCAGGCACACAAAGACTGGATTATGATTTTCTCAACTTGCAGCTATTGTTTTCTTTCTACTTATAAGCATTACTGTTGTATCACTGCACATACAGATCCAAACTCCTCTAAACAAAATGATTTACCAGATTCTTAGCCGAAGAGCGACAGATACTGGATTTCTAATCCAGAGCACATTCATACAGCTGTGCTTCTTGTATCACAGTATTTTAATATTCACAACAACATGGATAACTTTAAAGAAATCACAAAGTATTTCAGCAATATGCCAATCATCACATTTTAATTTACACCTCCTATGAACTGTAACATGGCTGAAAATGATGAAACTATAAAATGCTGCAATTAATGGAAGCTGCTCCATCATACATCAAGTGCCCGAATGATAACTGCACACTGATTTACATGAGATTGACTCAGTAGCAGTGTGAGGTACATAATACACGCAGGGCCTCTGGCTGCGTGCCAAAAACTGTGCAACAAACGACATTGTTCATCTGCCTTTTTCCATCATCAAGAAACAGCGCTCGAAGATGTGAGTAAGCGATCACTCATGACAGCAGAGCAAGAACGTTGATGTTTCCAAAAGGCTGTGATACGTAATGTAACTTTGTTCTAGATCAGATAAAAACAGCACCCAGTGCGCCACGCGTGTTGTTTCCAACTCTCAATCGCCTTGAACTAAGCAAGGGATAATCAGTGAACCATTAAAGTTAACTTTTGTCCACACTTTAAATGACAAACAGAGCTATTTAATATTGAACCTTCAAGTTATTTGACCTTTATTTATGTTTCCTCTCAGCTTTATCCTATCACTTGTCCCTCTCTGCAGCCGTTTTTACATAATTCTTGTTATTAATTTTATTAAAACCCTTATTTAACAAGGCAGTCCCTTGAGAATAGAAGCTCTTTTTCTTTAAAAAAAAAAGGGAGACCTGGCCAGGAATGCACATCATTATAAAGTTACACAAGATTATCAGTACAGCCGATGATCATCTGACAATGAAGCCAAAGATTAAGATTAGAGCACGACTTATTCCTGCTCCTACAACAACTCTTGACCTGCACCTGATCATAAGAATAAAAAAAACCTGTAGCACCCAGGAACTCTGCAGTAAACTTATGAGGATTCAGATCTGGTAGTTTTCTAGAAGTAAGTATTTTTTATGAATGACACTGAGCTGCTGCAAAGTTCATTGAAGAAGTTCTTCCCATGAGGAGTCTGTCACACCCACTAGAATGCATTTGGCCTTAACTTTATTCACAGGAAACTTGGGAAGACTTGAAAAACACTTTTCAAGACTTGGAAACACTACAAAGACAGCAGGGTGGTGATAACTTGGAATAAAATTGGATTATAAGCTAACAAAATTACCGCACTGATATAAAAACAAACAAACAAACAATTGAACCAGCTGCAAAACATCTTATTGTTTAAAATACACCCTCGTCATCAAAACGCACGAGCCTCGCATTTCTCATGTTCACGTGAGCTAAATTCTTTTAGCTTAAGTAAGGCCACGAGAATAAAAAAAAAGAAATTAATTTCAGTGAACAATAGCCTTCCATCTTAGTACGCGGTGGAATTCACTAAACCGTGGCAGATATCAGTCTCGACAGCAGCAGCAGAGCTCACTTTCTGGCAGAAAATAGGATTTATAAATTGCGCAATGTCGTTGCTAATTTCAAATCTGCGTCTTCGTCGCTAGTGTTAGCTGATGTTGTGTGCATACTTTGAATTCCTTTCCACCGCGGTCACCAGAATAAATAGCTAGTTAATAAACATTAGAGCTCGCACGGCGCTGGTTATCAAGTCATGTAACGTTAGTTTTGCAAGCTCATTACGGCAGCCTCGCCCACATTAAGCTAAATTAGCCAGCGAGTGTGATGAGGGCAGCCTAAACATAGTTAGCTACTTGGCTAGTTACTGTCGAACCGGCTGAAGCAAGCCGAAAGTTCAACGCGGACTTGGGAATCGCCGTTAGTAAATCTCAGCAGCTGATAACCTAAGTGTACACTTCATCAAAACATTCGCTAACGCCATCTAGTTTGAAAAATCTAAATTATCTTCCGTATTATACAATGAAAATCTTGGCCGGCGTTACATCTCATTATCTCACGGCGTCCGATCAAAGCCTTCAGTCAAAGAGGGGGGGAAAAAAACAGGTCTGTCTCGATTGTAACGGTGCAGTGGCGTCTCCAGCTTTACTTCAAATGATCCCGCATGTTTTTGCTTGGCTTCGACTGGGCAAACTAACTTCGAAAACCCGCAAACGCTGTCGAAGTATTCAACATCCACACTGTAAATGTTAGCACGATAGCAAACAAGGCGCCTTTTTTTTTCAAAGAGTGCTTGAAGAGATTTGATTTTTTGTTCTAGCGTCATTCCCAAGCCTCACAGCTGGAAGCCTGGATTCATATACCATTGTTTTGCTTGCTTACTTGTTCTTGCTGTTACTCGTTTAAAAACTGCTAAGATATCCGGTGCTGGAAATTTTAAAGGTTGTTTTACGAGCTCTCCCGGTTTCCCTCCCAAAGAGACAACTTACTTGAAAAAGAAACGTACTCCAGCTCGGCTCCATTTCCACACTTACTAATTCTGTAGGAAACCTAGTAGAAGCCTACAACAAAGCAACCAAACATGGCAGCTGAAACAACTTCCGCTAACCTCCAGGGCTGAACCACTTCTGGCGGGGGGTGTTAAATTTAGTATTTTAAAAAAGAACTCGCGCAATCATTCATGTGACTTATAAAACAAGAATAAACAAACACAAACATGCCATCTTAAAATATATTGTGAAACACATTCGTAAACGACCTCCTGAGTCGCTGTTATCACGTTACAGAAGTAATCTGGTGTAGTCGTATTTCTGGACACCCCTCTGAATGGTTTTTCGCTGATGCTGTGAGGGGCATTTGTTATATTAGATTGTCGCATGTGGTTGGGAAATGATTGTGTTTCAGTAACATTTCATCTTATTTTCACAAGAAAAAGAAAAAAAAACACATTTAAAAGCGATTTATTCTGCGTTGCAAACATTTTGCCGCTCGTCTTTTCCATGTTATTAAGTGTTTCAGTATACACGGATCGAGAAATAGTTTGCGTGCGTAGCAGTTTATTTTCATTCATGGGATAGGGATGAATGAAAACGACAGAGCCCATAAATTGCATGAATTGCCTGCAGTGGACCTGATAGCTTCAGTCCAGTCCTGTGTGCTGAATTCACCGCTTACATCACAGATGCCGATGTTACAAATGTTTTGCTCGTTATGTCTTACATGCTTATTTCTTGCAGAATTTCATAAATTTTGCATTTACTTCAAAACATCTTGAGGTCATGACAAGCCTCACTCAGTTTGTGACAAAGTTTTGTTCATGCATATGTTGTTTCTAATGTTATTTATGATATATTCATTAAAATAACTGCTTTAAAACTTAGTTTGACTTGTACATTATAGATGCTGATTTGTTAAAAGTGTAAATAGTGCATGTATACATTGAAAAAAAATTATTATACAGCTTTAAGCACTTTTATGGCACAATATAAAAACTCCCTCTGTATGTTTATGCATTTTAGAACCAAATGCAATGTTGTCCTTAACCGTTTTATTTTTTTATTAGTTGGGCTGTTCTCCAAAACAAGGGTCTTAGCCTTACCATGCAATATAATCAACTAAACTAGTATTTTATAGAACCATTGTAAGGTTTTAATCCCTAATATGTAAATAACTGAGGTAAAGTCACACCATAAATAACATTATTGGATTACTTTGTTACATCAATCATAACTTTTTTACTGTAAAGTACTGTGACGCAACTGCTGTTTTTTTTAAATGACTGACTTGACTCAGCTTAACAATTTTATGTTGTTTATATTGCGTCTTATTATTCGTTTGAATTCCTATTCATTATTTGTCCAACTTGAAATTGGTTTAATTGTAAAGCAATTTGTATTTTTGTTTTTAGAATAGAATAGAATAGAACTTTATTGATCCCTTTGGTGGAAACCTCAGGGAAATTGCTGGTGAAATTTTAAGGTGCTATCCAAATAATGTGACTATCATATGACTATTATTCTTATTTTTCATCTTCAAACTTTTTTGCTTAGGTTTTGTTTAAACACTGGAAGGAACCAACTGAGCAGGGGATTCGTGTGTCCACCCCAGGATTTTATTTTAGCTATTTGTTTAAATAGAAAAAATAAATAAATAAATAAATAAAATCAAACACTTGATTTTCTGCATTCTGGTACATTTTCATGCACCAATCTGTGCTTTCTTGTATCAATATATGGTTGAAATGTCTTTTTGTCTATCTATGTAAGGAATGAACAAAATTCAGGCACTGGGTGACAATTCAGCTCATAATGGAATATAATGCAAGCTTTCTGTACAGCTTTTAAAAGATTTTTCCTGTTTATCAACTTCTCTCATTTGTGTGGGTCAACACACATATGGGCAAGATTTACTCTGATGTCCACTTCAATGCCTCTTGTTTGGGGCAGCAACCTCTTTAAATGTGCATGTGGCACCAGGTCACATCAATGATAGCAAATAATTCCCTTAATATACTTTATAAAGCCCTGGATTTTAATAAATTATGTGTGTATTTTAACAAGATCACTGCACATTCAAAACACATCACACATATCTGTGTTTTGAGATGACGTGTTTTACATGTTGAGGGGGTCGATGCCTACAACCAAACTGTATCACTAGTGATAAACTAACATGCATCGGAGGATTCACTGCTCAGAAAAAGTGCTAACTGACACCCCTTGAAATAAATCATAGCCTGCTTGTATTGTGGTGATGTTTTGCATCCGTCTCGAACAGATTTAATTCATTAATCTTTAGTCATCTGATAAAACAAAATACATGATGTGACACATACCTCTGTGAATATCAGTAAATAACTGATGACTGCCTTCTGTTGTGGCAGAGCAATAAGTCTTAGAAGATGCAGGGAGACGATATTAGGAATGCAAGACGTCTCTCTGTGGTCAAATGATACCTCAAACCTTGTAGACAGCGAAGAAAAAAAAAATTACAGAGCCTCTGGAGTTACAAGAACGGTAGGTGATGCCAAATGACCTTCATGAGCACCAAGTTGTGCCCTACAGGCTCAGATAACTAAGATACATGATTGTATGTCATTGCAACATATTTTATTTAAATCCACCTCTCAATATTATTCCACTTGTTCTTTTTCGTGTTTGCTGTTGAATATCTCAACAAACTTAATAAGTACGCTTTCTCAACAACAAAAGTGTGGTCTAAATGTAATACCTGGGTGTCAATAAAATGAAAAGTTGTAACTATTTCTACAAACCTTCATGTTAAGTGGCATGAAAAGTGATTTGAGGTGCTGTCAGGATCAGATTTTTGAAGATCACTAAGTGTTCAAATCTTCTGGAAAATGGCACTAGTATATGAGCTGTAAAAATTAAAGTGGATACAGATCGGTGCATGAATCAGTATTGTGCACACTCTTTCCAGCACGTTCTTTGAACTCTCCGCTCGTCGGTGAATGGCTGTTCAGTGAAGGTGCCCCCATTGTACATTTCAATCTTTGTCCTCACTGTACATTGAAAGCTTTTATTCACATACAGTGCAATGAGCGTTTCAGTTAGAGTTGGGGGAATATGTGTGGTCAGCCCATTCTTCCCTCATCCAGCTAAAAAGACACGATAACGTCCAGCAACGGGCTCCACTTGAAAATACAGTTATGCAGATTGCTTCCTCTGGTATTTTTCCTGCACTGGATAAGGAAGACTCAGATTCTCCAAAGGTAAGCCTGTCCAGGGCTGTAGGAAAACAAAGAACGTCAAAGAAGCTGTAGATGTTTTCGAACTTTTGAACTTTTTTGTAAGAAGACAGTTTAACAACAAATCACTGGGTCGTCCTCGAGGACTTAGTTAATATGTTAACCTTTTAACTTTTTACTCGTGAATTTTAAACGTGTCCTTGCTGAATGTAACTAAACTTTTGGTGAAGCTGTTGATAATTTGTGAACACTGAAAACTGGTTGTTATTGATGCTCCTAAGAGACAGAATATAAAAATTCTCTTGATTAAAGAATTCTTGGTCAGATATTTTTTACAATTTAAAAAAATCAATTTTAGAGAATTACACTTAAGATCCCACCAGACTGTGACACATTAACACAAGGCTGTGACACACTAAGAAAATTATTTTATGAACTTTACTGCATGTTTCCAGGGAATTGCTGTCAATATTTAAATAAAGATAAAAGTTAGGGTCATACATGTGTAAACACAGCTGTTTTCAATCACCTGTTTCCTTAGTAAAGCTGCTGAGTCATTATTTTTTTCACTCCTCAGGAATGTAGGGTCTTATGAGCAAACAGTTCAGTTCAACTCTACCTAGTTACTGTGTACGTTTTTTTTCTTTCTTTTAACTGTCATGTGTCCACAGAAATGGGGGACTGGTCCATTCTTGGCCGCTTCCTAACAGAGGTCCAGAACCATTCCACCGTCATCGGCAAGATCTGGCTGACAATGCTGCTCATCTTCCGCATCCTGCTCGTGGCCCTGGTGGGGGACGCCGTCTACAGCGACGAGCAGTCCAAGTTCACCTGTAACACCCTCCAGCCTGGATGCAACAACGTCTGCTATGACACGTTTGCTCCCGTCTCGCACTTGCGCTTTTGGGTCTTTCAGATCGTCCTCGTCTCCACACCTTCTATTTTCTACATCGTCTATGTCCTGCAAAAAATCACCAAGAATGAAAAGCTGGAGGTCAAGAACGCCGAAGGGTCCTCACCTTTGAGGGACAGACATGTGGGAGTAGATGAAGAGACGGCACTGGAAGCTGGCAGTCCTGATCGCACTACCTGTACCAACGAGGACTGGATCTCACAGGAAGGTGAATATGAGGAGAGTCAGATGGAAGAGCAAGTGGCAGAAGTAGGAAAGGACCCAACCCAACTCTCCAGTCAAGTCCTCCTTATCTACATCATACATGTGCTGCTGCGCTCCATCATGGAGGTGATCTTCCTCATCGGGCAGTACTACCTGTTTGGGTTTGAAGTCCCACACCTGTTTCGCTGTGACACCTACCCCTGTCCAAACAGAACTGACTGCTTCGTGTCCCGAGCAACAGAGAAAACCATCTTCCTCAACTTCATGTTCAGCGTCAGTCTCGGCTGCTTCATCTTGAACATCGTGGAGCTGCATTACCTCGGCTGGATTTACATTTTCAGAGTCCTGTTCTCTGCATGCTGTCCCTGCTGTGAGTCGGACAGAGACCCCGCGCATCAAGTGGAACTCTATTCTGACAACAACCCGCTGCTGCTGGAGCTCAAACACTCTTTACGTGGCAGGGTTGTCCTGCAGGCCACCTCCGCTGTGTCCAGGGACAAGAGCAGCTGTGTGTCAAACCCGGCGCCGGCCATCTCCTTCGAGACGGACTCAACACTTGAGTGCACTTCGAAGAGAAATTCAGATGAAAAAGAACGCACCAAAACTAGACTGCACAACTTGGGCAAAATAGGAAGAGGCAAAAAGTCATGGCTTTGAATTATTTCAGACCATTTCTTTTGTATAATATAATTTTTTTCCCTCACTTTTGACTGCAGTTGTGTATTTCAAATGGGATTTTTTTTAAAGTATGAATTTGTTTAAGTAAGCTATGGAGTTAGTAAATATGAAAAGATCTGTGATATTTCATACAAACTCTGGGAGAAACCAACAATACAGTGAATTTGCTTTTTGCCTCAGATGATTCCAGCTGTGCAAAAAAATACTAAACAATTTGTTAAAGCTTCTAGAATCATTGAGCATATATTAACTGTAGAGTGAAGTATTGATGTAAAATGTGGCATTTAATGAAATAGTTTCTCTAAATGTAGTCAGACTGGTGTATTTGCTGTAATTCATTCATACCACCACTTATCTTGCACTTACACTAATATTCCTGTAGAAATAAGGACCATTAATGGTTCTTTGTGAAAAGGCAGACAATGTTTAAAGCATCAGTCAATCAAATCAGACATCAGTCATGAATGAGCCTCATCCTTTTAGGCAGTCGTGCTTAAAGATTCAGATCCTAATTTTGTTAAGAGGTGTCTATACTGGTACCATTCTCAGTGTTTTGCCCTTCTAAACTGTGCTGCAAGATATCAAATTAATGCAGACTCAGTGGAGTGTAACCAGTACAAGACATGTGCCATACTAGAACATTTAGATTTTCTCTGTTGTGGCCAAAAGATTCTCCCCAAAAACATCTACTTGCTGCCTTGCATAGTAATTAACTCTCATATTTTATCAAGTATTCAAGGGCTTATGTTTGAGAAGTTTTTCATCATCCATGCAAGATTCATCTAAAAAACTTGGAAGGCACAAAATGGGGCTATCACACAAACCATCACATTCAGTGCTTTATCAAATGTAAAACCAGCAGGTCAAACAATATCCTAACAAACATTTAATGTTTAAATTAAGTGGTTGAGGAAAACCAAGGAAAACTGGACAGCATGGTAGTATTTGGGTTCTAGTAAATAAAAAGACCAGGAGGGGTCACTGCTGTCCAGCGTTTCCTGGTGCTGCCTTCAGGTACTGTTGGAATTAGTAACATTTACAACTAAACATTGACGACCCAGATAGTTTGCAGTTGTAGAAAGCACGTGTCCACATGTGAGCTTTAAAGATGTATTGCCTTTTACTTTTCGGGACTAAAGAGATAGTTTACATCAGTCTAACTAAGACTTATTTGTCATATTATTATAAATTTTTATCCAAACTTTTTTTTGAAGTAGTTCATCAAATCACGATTTATTATATTTCTTGCAGTATTTATATCTATTAAAAACTTCTTGCTTAAAAAAATACAAAGATGAGATTAGTTGCGTTATTTTAGGCCGCGTATATCCGGTAGTAGTGTAAAGTCGGACGTTACCGGCAGGTATTTGAAGGCATCACAAGTGCATTTCTCGCACCTAGTGACAATTCCAAGGAAGAAAATGCCGAAAACTTCTAGTAAGACAACAACGCTGTCAGCTGTGAACAAAAGCAGGTAGGTCCTTATCATGCCTTCTATCGGCATTTACTCTTTGTCATTTTCCACCAGTGACATTTTTTACATTGTCTGCTGAAAGTGTTCCCAAAGGCCACCGGTGCTAGAGAATGAGGGCAAAGCAGCTTAAAGGGAGAGCATTATGGCCAAGCTGAGGACTTGTCAAAGCGACAGTCTGGCTGTACGATGTGTACAGTAAGTTCAGTTTAAAAGCTTGTTTTTTTTTCTGTGAATTGTGGCCCTGAGGATATTCACCTGATTGTGAAGCAGGTGACTGTGTTTGTTTCAGGCTCCAGCATAGCCTCTCTGCTGTCAGGAGATGTGATCAAGTGTGGATTAAGTGCAGATTGACTGTTTATGGGTTCACGACAACAATGCACGGTGGCTGCTTTGTGCATTCAGGAGTTAATGTCATGCACAAATGTTCTCCGTCACTTTATGGTGATGCTAAATGTTTGAGAGCAGGAAAGATAAGGTCAAAGCTCTTCCAAACAGTGTCTGTATGTTGTATTGGTGCACACATGTGTCACTGTGTAGCACTGAGAGAATAAACTCCAAACCTAGACTATATATTTAAAGGCCACTGAGACTGTATTGGATCAGTGGGTGATCTCAATTCCTTTTGCAGCTCACACAGCCGCCACAGTCTTCTTCTGACCTGAATTGTTGTTAATTGAGTGATGATGCTCCCTTGATAGAAAAAGTAAGATTAAAATGATGAGAAAACTGCAAGTTTCATGACATGTCTTCATGCAATACGCTATTTTTGCAGTTGTTTTGTGTTTTCTAACCTAAAGATATAGAAAGAATGTTAAATGTGAATTTCTACTTGAAAGTATGAACTTGATTTGACTGTGAACACAAGAGAGTTACCCAAATTAAGTATTATATGCTCAATATTTGAAATTATAAATAAAAACTGTACCGGAAAATACATTAATCTTGATATCTGAAGTTAAAAAAGCTGCATATTTATCTGTCTAATTTGTTAATATACTTGACACACCATTACAGACAGACAATACTGACCAATAATCAACTTGCCAGTTTCTCAGCCAGGCTCTGTTTGTAAAGCCAAGGTGTTGCACTGTGTCATGCTTTCATCGGTTTTTCCTAATTTTCTCCTCTTCTCCACAGATGACATTTCAAGGTATCCATAGCTGCTGTAGATGCTCTCATGTGCATTCAAGAAACTCTCTAATAGTTTATATGAAGCTGACAGTTTCTCATTGTAAACAAATCTAATTGGTAAATAACAGCAGAGAAGCTCCAGAATGTTTCACCTAATTAAGAAAGACAAGGAGAAGGAGAAGGACCCCAGCAAGAAGGAGAAGAAAGACAAGAAGGAGAAGAAGGAACGTATGTCCCAGGCAGAGTTAAGGAGCCTGGAAGAGATGAGCATACGTAGAGGCTTCTTCCACCTCAATCGAGGGAGCTCTAAGAGAGACTCTAGGAGCAAGCTGGAGATCTCCAGTCCTATCCCGATTAAGGTGGCCAGCAACACGGAGCTCTGCCTCACGGACCTGGAGGCTGAGCTCCTTCACAACACCGTGGAGCAGGGTGTGGGCCAAATAAGTGCAAGTACCTCTGGAGAAGACATGAAGGGGAATGAACTGGACCATCATCGCAGCTCTGTGAAGGAGAGAGCAGCTAAGTTTGGGGAACTGGCCAAGTTGAATTCCATAGTAGGCCAGAGGAAAGTAAGTTTTTCCCAGAACAGCAAAGAGGACAATACTTTGGAGGCTTCCAATCTTTCTGGGCAGAGCTGGACTTCTTCACAGGCCCACCCCAACCCCAAAGGCAGCATCCTGGTTGACATTCCTGAGGTGGTGGAGAAGACCTATCCCGGCGCAGACCTGCAGCTGCCTGCGATCGTCGCCCCACCGATACCAGACCCAAGAGAACTGGAGCTGCAGCGGCGCAACACTGGAGATTTTGGCTTCTCTTTGCGGAGGACCACCATGCTAGACAGGCAGTCAGACGGAGGAGTGTGCCGGCGCGTGGTGCATTTCGCCGAACCGGGGGCTGGGAGCAAGGACCGGGCTGTGGGCCTGGTGCCAGGAGACAAGCTGGTGGAAATCAATGGGATCAACGTGGAGAACAAAAGCAGGGATGAGATCGTGGAGATGATCCGTCAGTCTGGGGAGTCGGTTCGGTTGAAAGTGCAGCCGATTTTGGAGCTGAGCGAGTTGAACCGCTGCTGGCTGAGGAGCACTCAGGGCCTGCACAAAGAAGCCTTTGATGTAAGTAGTGCTGATAAATCATGACCAGTCTGTTGTGTGGATAGATTCAAACTTGCAAAAACAAATCCATGATTACTGTTGTTCTTCATGCCATCATATCCATTGGTGTTGTTGAACCTACATCTCAAAATTCAGATTTTTAATTGGAAACTCTTGGAAATCATTCCCTTTATTTACACTGCACCTAGAAGAGTATATGTTTCTACATCTGTGTTTCAAATACTCAGCTCACACCATTCAAAAATGTACTCCAAAAACTACATTTTGATATTTCTTTCTCCCATGTATTGAGTTTTGCGCCCACATATAGTAGCTTCAAGATGCCCAGATTATGGGTGGAACTGCAGTGACACTGGTAATGTGATTTTGCGCTTGCATGTATGGGGGAGTGTCTGTGTGTGTGTGTGTGTTTTGAAAGAGAGAATGTGTCCTGGTGTACATATAATACCCCCTCCCACCCCCCCAAGTCCTTTGACAACGAACAATGGGACGCTGAAGGAAACAACGGCCCAAACGCCACCACAGCTCACGGCCATATGGTCTTGTAAGACTTGGCTGGCCGCCCATTCACCTCCTTTCACCCACATAATCATGTGCAACAAGTAGAGGAGCATCAAGTTAAACTCTTTATTGGCCGGCACAACAAACACCTGAATGCCAGCCTTTTGTTGGTCACTTTTGTGGGAGTAGAGTTTAGACAGTGGGTAAGACGAACTGTGGTCGGTCGGGGCAGTGTGCTGCTAATTGAGGTACATCAGTGGTGTTGCTGTTGAGTGCTGCTGGGATATTCGTGTGCTGCAAGGATAGAGTTACATGCAAATAGAATGCTCTGTTGTAGGTTTTGTTTTAAAGTGGGGGAAAAAAAAGCAGGATAGTGTACAATATCACAGATGCATGGGAATTGAGAAAATATCATGATGTGGCCTCATTTTAGGTAAACTATAGCGTGTCCCATCATTCTAAAATAATGTGCATATTGCTGAGAAATAGTAAATTTAATTCTTTTTGACAGAACCATATCGGTCCAGCTGTCAGGTGCAGATTTATTCAGAATTCAACTGTTCAAGAGTTATGAAATGACAATAGAATAATTGAACTACTACTACTGATGCATATGTCGCCATTCTTTCAGAATACATTAGAGCTAGCAATTATTTTTCATTGCAGATTAATTAGTTATTATTTTTAATGTATTGCAAACAAAAAGTGTTCAGTTAAGTATGAAAGAAACCAAAAAATATCCAAATTTAAGAAGCTGGAATCTGAAAATTGTGACTTTTTTTTTTCTTTAAAGAAATAAATAAATCATTCAGCTCATTTGTTCGATCTTAAAAATAGCTGGTGGTAAATGATGTACATTATGTTTATGGAGTACATTGTGTTGAACGTGGGAATCGGTGCGTACACAAACTCCCAACAACCCTTTACAGTAAACAGCACAACTTGTTTCGACTTGTGGCCTCCGTGGGGTCACAGTGACGAGGATGACGTTAGACTTCTTTCCCCTCCTTCATGCACCTTGAAGTTGTGCCAGAAATCCCTACTCTGCTTCTAATGAATGTTGTACACAGCCAGAGACACAATTCATCCGCTTCCCTAGAGGAGACGCGTGTCTCCCTGTCCTACTTTGTCCCACATTCAACCAATCTTGATGATCATTATGAGACGGGCCGTTCGAAAACGCAGAAAATGTGCATGTGAGGCTGACCTAGAACCAACAGCACTATTTATAGGTGGTTATTATAAGATCTGGATTCTAGATCTAGAGCTCTGCAATACAGTCACATACCACATGTGATGCATGTACGTACAGTATTTTGCATGCTGGCTGCATGTATTTAGAGGAATATCTTTTGGGGGGAAACAGACTTATTTGACACTTTATTGTGAAGAGTTACACAATAAGATTACTCTCATGCCTGTCTGTGTAAAATATGGTTAGCTTAGCTTAGCATAAAACATGGACACATAGGTAAGCAGCTCGCCTGGTTTTAAAGCTAAAAAGTAAATCCATCTATCAGCACCACTAACTCTCACTAATTTCCACATTATGCTGATATGTAACTAAGCTTTAAGGAAGAATAGTTGTGCTTTTACAGGGATCTATTTGTTGGCAAGGAGCGGTGACTTTGTGGAGGTTTGTCATCGCGGTGATGTTGCCAAGCAACCAGCGGTATCAGCTAAACACCTGCTCTCCGTCAGCCTGCTGCCTGTTGTTTTCCTTTTTGTCTTTTATTACTGTATGGTTTCTGATTACAGTGCTGTCAGATGGTCTACTTTAGCAGGTGTAAAGGTGAGGCGCTGTCTCCTCACCGATCCAAATGTCTCAAGCGCTAAATGAATATCATGATGAGATGAGCACATTTGCTATTTAAAGCCTCAGTGGCACATCACTTGTCAAGAGGGAAATGGCTTTAAATGTGCTTCTCTGTTTATTCTGAACCAAAATGAAATGTTTTCGTGTGTGCACAGTTGGGCAGGTGAATCATATTGTCCACTGGGCAACAGCAGCTGTTTTAAAATGTTGTTCTTTATGTCTTATTTTCAAAGCTTTCCTGAGTCACTGTGTAGCCTTCATCACAGATCCTGAGTTTTAGATCACTTGTTCAGACCACCAGTTGCATTTAGACATTGAGTAAGTCTCACTTCTAGTATTTAAAGAAAGACGTGAATATCTTTAATGAATGTAATAATGCACAGTTGAAAACATTTGATGTTTGAATTTTTCATTATCAGAGATTCATATCTGATCTTCTAAACCTTTTGCTGGTATTTTTGTCTTGGTTTGAAAAAAAAAAAGAATTAAATGAAAAAGCTCAAAACAGTCAAAAGCAGTCTGAGTGGGAATAGTACAAGCATTGATGAAGTCTGAGTGTCTACACCACGTGTGTGATGAGTGCTCATTCCATACAGACAGCTGTACAAGTTACGTAACACAATCCTGCTGCACCGTCTGCTGCAGGTGTGTACTGCACAACTCTGTCTGCTTATTGTTGTCTTTCAGACACTCTGAACAGAGGCCTAGAGCTGTGTTTCCGGTGTTCTTTCTAGTCAAAGTAGATTGATCAGAGGCTTTGTGAAATCAAACAAAAAACAAAAAAGGAGCAGAGCACTTCTAATAAAATTGGTACTGATGTTGCTTGAGCTGGAAAGTTCCTTCATGAAAATCACATAGAACTTCAAATCAACACCACTCTGTTGTTGTTGCTCACTTGATTCTACTTGACTGACTTGTTAAACATCGTTGTTGTTTAGAGTTGGTACAGTGAAAAAAAATAACCCATTTTCTGACCTGTCCATCAGAAACTTTTGATTTTTTTTAGAAGTCTTACCTCCAGATTTAAAGATTGTATGTGTTCATATGTTCTCTCCTAATTGCTGGAAGACACATATGCAGTTAATGCTATGACTGGGTATTTCCATTTTGAATCTGCCGTTGACTGACTCTAATTTCCCATACTTTCCTCTGACATCCCTCCATCATTTATCTCATTTATCTCTCATCCCTTTTTATTTCCTCTCTTTCTGCAGTCCAGACACAGTTTCTGCTATTCAGAAATTAGCAAATGGTGTAATCTCCTCTCCAAGCTGCCCATTTAAATTACATCATCCCCATTTCCAGTGGGGAGATTCTACAGCAGCAGAGAGTATTAGCACAGGCGTGGATTAGAAAGAGGCGGGGCTTCCTCGGATAAAGCTGTTTGGTTCATGATAGAGGCAACACTTAAGATGTCATTTTGCCTGTCCTCCATTCTTTACACTTTATTGCTTTTTCTTTTGTCTCGGCTCAAACAATGACACATGGGCTGGACGTTCCTGACTGCAGTTAAGGCAGATTCCTGGCATTCTTGGGTGTGCCATGTCGGATGTGATGTCTATCAGTCAATGGGCACTTGTCAGGCACACCTTCATCTTGCCAGCCAGAGCTGCCGTCATTGAGAATCCTCATCTGTCTTGTTATACTTCCATCAGTCTCACCAGTGGCAGGTTCATTAAGATTGTGAATGTGTGGTAATGAAGTTGTGTTTAAATCGGTTATCCTTTTCGCTGTGTGCTGTTTGTTTAACCGGGAAGTTATCTTTAGCTGTTATATGAGACGATTTTCTTTTTATTTTCTGCTTCCTTCTAAAGTGAGATCACACCTGAGTTTAATTCTGCTTCTCCTACATGTTCCCGTGGCCTAGTTTCAGAAAGAAGTTCAGATTTTCAGGCCTATTTACTATTAAAATCTGGGTCACATCCCGGAATTCTGACAGGACGTCAGAAAGTGATGTCCCATGATTCTTGTCAGCTCGCAAAGGATTGGATAGTGGTCGAGTGTCTCATGTGATTTCTGACTTCTTTTCTTGGGATGTACAGTATAGAAATATAAATCTAGAAACATCGGCTTCTTTCACTGAATGTAATACATTTATTTTAAGACTAAGCAACTCCAATTTGTTTCAAGATTATTTCAACATAATGCGTATGTCATACTTAACGTATTTGTGTATAATCAAATCAAAAATATTAAAGATTAACCTGCCTTTCCAGCAGATTTGATCGTATGATGGTATCGAAGGATCTAAGTGGGTCAGAATCAGCAGTGTCTATGGAGTCCTTAATCTTTGGTCTGCACTAACTGTGTGTAGACAAACAGTCGTCACATTGCTGTGTCCCAGTAACAGACTCTGGGGATTAGCAGTCTGTGCTAGATAGACCAGCCAGGCAGCATGTTTGACTGGATCCTTGCTGAGCGCTAATATGTGAACTTCTGAGCTCAACACAAGGAAGAAATGCTGTATATCTCTGTATAATTCTTTTGCAGGAAGGCTCTATTTATGCTCATTAACTAACACATCATTTAACAGTTAAAAGTCACATGATGCTTTGGAAATTAAAAAAAAAAAACACACAATCAATAATCAATTTGCACATGAAAAGTAGTTATTTGATCAAATCGAACTGTTTATGGGTTTATAAAGAGGAAGAAAAGGCGCCAAGAGTGGATCAGCTCATCCTTCAGAGTGAAGCCTGTTGCTGCGTTTCGGTGTCTTCCTTGTGCGTCTGCTCTTCATGACGCCGAATACCTACCTCCAGGCAACTTACCCTCAAGTGTTTATTTACCCGACTGGTTTTACAACAGTGCAGTTTCGACAGACCTTTCATTTTAAAATGTCAAGACACGTTTTCTTTTGAAAGGAAGAGCAACTATGATTTTAAAGGGTCTGTGTAACCAGTCGGTGTCTTATTTTGAAATCCTTACAACTCAGATGTACACTTTGCTGCATTACATTTGTGGCTTCTGCTGCCCCTGCTTGGTGTTACGCTCCTATTATTGGGTTTGCCATCGAACAATGCAACGTCTTGAATTTAGGTCAGTAGTGTGGCTAAGCAGAGCGCCTCTGTGTAGTAGTGCAGTGGAATCCATTGGTTGATGGCTCCCTCTTGTGGTGTGAAAGGCACGGTGAGGAACATGCGGCTCATAAATATCACCGACGTGGGGGCCGAGGAAACGCATTTACACTTGACTTCATAACTTCTTTATATGCATGTTTTTCTTTTGATATGTGCATTAGCTGCCTCTGAAGATAAGCTTTGTGTCGTCCCTCGGCGCATTAATGGCATTCAATTGCTTCAAATTGGAAAAAAATAATTACATTTCTGCAGGGGCATATAATAGTTAGTATTTCCCCCCATGAGGGAGATTCCTTTTCTGATTCCTTGTCACCAGGGAGAGCAGGGAGAAGTGGCAATTGATGTGGTTATGCAAATTCTATTTATAGCCTCCCTGTATTTCAGCAGCTGTCCCTCTTCTATCTCCCTGCCCAGCTCCTCTCACATTACCCCCCCACCTCCTTCCCCTCCACTCCCCAGACCACAACTTCACCGTGCTGGGCCGACCGTGACCCCGCCCTCCACGTCGCCCACCCCCCTCTCTCTCTGTCCGTCAGAGCTAGTGAGTGTGTGCTCCGAGCAGACCCAGGCCTTGCCCTGTCTTGGCCCTGACCGCACTGCTCCAGTGGTAGAAGATTGGAAGGTTAACCAGGCCCAGAGAGAAGGTAATGGGCTCGGGCCTCTGGTGGACTGTGTGTGTGGCGAGTAGTGAGATGTGCTCAGGGTGTACGCTCTGCTTAGCACTTCCATTAGGGTTCTGATGGTGCCTCAGAATGGCCTCCTTTGCTGCTGAAACTATTTATAGGAGTGGACGCTGATGAAAGCAGGGCCGGAGATGGTGAAACATGTTGCTGCGCAACTCGTTTTTGCTGCGTCTCCTCAATGAGTAAAAGACTGAATTTTAATTTAAATAGTGAGGGACAAGCTGTGATAGGTGTTTTATCAATTTTTGAAAGTTGCATGTTTCTGTGTCTATTAAACGGAGTGAAGTGTGAAGATTCTAGAACGTTTGATTCATTTCGTCTGCTGCTCATCAGTATTCCTGCTTCAATGTGCTTTGCTTTGGCAACACCTATTTCTGTAGTGTGAAAGTCATATTGATTGATGTTATGCCATCACTACAAAAGAAACTAATGTCCAATATTTAATGTGCTGTACTGTAAAGGATAGATGTCCACACATACTTATAGTCACTGATTACAGACTGAGTTCAGACTTTTAATGCTGTTTTCAAGTCTTGTTAGATATGTTTATGTTCTCCACTTGTCTGTTGCTGCGTGAAGAAAGCAAACCTTTCATTTTTATTATGTTGTCCATGTGTTCTATCCTCAGTGCTGCATGGTCCCACTGCCCTGTTGGTGTTTGACCTGTTGTGTGCAGAAAACAAGTTCACAGTGTCCCACTGTTCACCCCTAAATTCCCATTCTTCATCGCTCAGCACCGTACATCCTCCCGTCTTCGGCTGTGTCTCTGTTGTTTTCTCCTCTCTCATCATTCCATACACTTATTCACGTCGTCCAGCTTAATCCATGACTTCTGGCCTATCACCATGGCGTACAAATCACGCTTTTCTTTCTGGGAGAAAAAGGGAAGTCTTGCTTTGGTGTTTGTTTTATTGATTTTTTTGTCTTTCAGTTCATATTTGCATCCTTGTTGTTTGTTGAGTTGGTGAAATGTTGGTTATGAGAGAAAAGCTTTGGTCTGAATGTGTGGTTTGATTTGTGTTGTGTTGCTTCTTCTTGTGTAGGTTAAAGTTGAGGACAAGCCAGATGTAAGTGTTGTTTTTAAGCTGCATGCGTTTGGACGGTTATTCACATGATGCAAACCAGTTTTGTGTGCTAAACACGTTTAGCTACTAATCCTTACCGTGATGATTCGTTCGCCAGTGAATGTTGAAATAGGTGATGGCAGATAAGGGCTCGAGATTATGTTTTTTTTTTTTATTCTCAGGATGTTTTTAGAGAACGTGATTGCAGCTTGGTAAAGAACGTTTCTCTCAGTTAAATTTTCACAGTCAACACTAAATACTTGTTCTACTACATCCACTTTTACAATTAAACAATAAAAGTTTGGCAGTTTAAAAACAATAAAGAGCCAGTGACAGTGAGATTTGGATTGGAATTAGATTTCAGGCCACAGTCTTACCAGTGCCCTTCTTGTTTTATCTTTAGTCAGTGTTTCTTCCCTTAATGCATGCATGTATCCTCGAGGTCTAACAACTCGGCCGAGAACATTTCCTTCTAATTTTTAAAAAATATTTTACATTATGAATTGTTCACACCCATATTTGCTTGCTAGCAGTGCTCTTCTTCACTGTCTGTACTGGCAGCTCTCTGTTTGTTGGCATATACTGCCACCAACTGTCTTTTATTGTGTGAAACCAACAGCAGGATGTGCATGTGCAAGATAGAAACAAAACATTGCTTGATAGAGAAACTACCGATCAAAGACTCCACAGGATGCTTTTTAATTTTGAAAGAAACTCTATCTGACACATCATTAGAGTCTGTACAATTTTTGGGTACGTTTCCTTTTGTTCTCCAGCTCTACTAATAGACTCATTCCAATTAGCAAAATAGAAAACTTGTTGGTAAAACTTACATTTTGCCCAAAAGATTAAGCATTAAACTTGAATTTAAGTGCTGTTTTTAATTGTATACACCAGCTTGAGTGATGGTTTTGGGATACACAAATAAAAATCCATGTTAGATCAGTGGTCTGTACAGAGCTGTGGAATAATCTACACTATTTTCTACCCTGCTGTGTTTGTATCCAGTCTGATGTAGATAGTAGTCAGCCTCAGGCAGGCACTAAACCTGGGCTAGACGCTGGAAGTGGTCCACAATCAGCTGCATCATCAGCAGAAGAGTCCAACAGTAACATTGCCATGGGAGGTCCAGACACTCCAGGGGACGAGCAGAGCGGTAAAAAGGTGGTGAGGGTTGTGAGAAGAGTTGTTAGACGTGTGGTTCCTGCTGGGACAGAAGAACAGAACCCACCACCGACCGCTGCTTCTGCATCTGCTGCAGACTCTGTGCTCAGAAAACCCAGAGCCGCTGGGGAGGACAAGGATGATATATCCATGGGATTGGCCAGTCTAATGGGCAGAAGTAGAACCAAGGAACACCGACCTCGCACCCGCACCCAGGACCGCAAAGACGAAGATGTGAAGGTGGAGGAAGAGGAGGAAAAACCAGAGGAAGCCTCGTCTGGTCCCAGTACTGCTGCTCCAAGCACTGTACCACCCAAGACTAACCCCTTCACCCCTCCAGCAGGGTTCATCCCTCCACCCAAACCTGACCCTTTGGCCCCACCGGCTGGGTTCATCCCGTCATCCAAACCCAACCCTTTGGCCCCGCCTGCTGGTTTCATCCCTGCCCCCAAGCCCGACCCTCTGGCCCCGCCGTCTGGGTTCATCCCTCCACCCAAACCCGACCCTTTGGCCCCGCCGTCTGGGTTCATCCCTCCACCCAAACCTGACCCTTTGGCCCCGCCGTCTGGGTTCATCCCTCCACCCAAACCCGACCCTTTGGCCCCGCCGTCTGGGTTCATCCCTCCACCCAAACCCGACCCTTTGGCCCCGCCGTCTGGGTTCATCCCGTCATCCAAACCCAATCCTTTGGCCCCACCTGCTGGTTTCATCCCAGCCCCCAAGCAGAATCTGTTGACTCCTCCACCTGGTTTCATCCCTGCCAGAAAATCTAGCCCAGTGCCCCCAAAACAGAGTCCCCTGGCAAGACCTCCAGGTTTCATCCCTGTCACAAAGACAGATCCCTTGGCTCCTCCTGCAGGGTTCATCCCAAAGCCTCGTGTACTTGGTGTGAAGAAACCGGAGGTACTGAGTGAACAAAAAGTGCATGTTTGCTGCCTAACCTCTGGGTGGAGCATGCCTTGAGATAATACCACAGACATTACTGTTCATATACTCGTATATGCAACTTCCTTGAGCATCAAATCATCATATTTGCTTTTAGATATGGATCATTATTTTTTTATCATGGACATTATTAACACAACTAATTCCTCATGTATTCAAAAACATCTAGATGTCTGACAAAAACTTGATATAATGAAGCCACCCTGAATAAGTGAAGGGAAGCAGGGTGCATGTGTGAGCTCATGATCAGACTTCATCAGTGGGTATCAGGGTGTGCTCATAGTCTGCACTCTGCTGGTCTGGTCAGTTCAAGTTTTCTTTGAGCACTGAGCTGTGACTCATTACTTTCTCTGGCTGCCGGCAGAGACTTGAAGTTGTGCTACACATGCTGTCGACCACTGAGGCAGGGGCTTTAAGGATCTTTTGGGGGGCTTTTTAAAGGAATAGGAATCATGATAAGAATTCAGAGACCCGGAATCCCAGTTTGTAATGTGCCACCCCGCACAGCTTGGAGCTGGTACAAAAAATAATTAGTTTCAGCCTCTGTTAATCTTTTAAATTAACATTTAATAGCGTTTTGGTTCGCAGTTTGTTTATATACTTTCATAATCCCCATGAGTTTGTACTTCAGACAAGGTTATGTTTTTGTTTCTTTGACATTCTGTCTGTCAGTGGGCCATCTAAAAATTTCATCAGCAGATGTCCATAAAATCTGGAGAACAGTTGGGCATTTGGCTGCAGAGTAAAGGATTTGATTTTGGAGAAGTGTACCTGGTATTTTTCGCTGAAGGATATCATGTCTTTAACTGCTCTAGGGAGAGATTTAGTTTTCAAATATTAAGCGTAGGAACACTGGAAGCTGGTGCTAGCGAGTGTTTTGACTTCTGTGCTCTCACTGGAGCTATGCCCGTACAACAAAAAAAGCATTTTTGTGTTGCAGACCTCAGCTATTACCGTTAGCAACAACTAAATAATCCCCTATAAAGACAAGTTTTGTATGTGTCATAGTTTGTTTTTCCCTTTGTATGAAAGTTTGTTGAAATCTGACTTGTAGCACTTTACATTATAGAGAAAAATATTAAATTGAAACCAGCGATGTAATGGCCTTACTTCAGAGTAAAAATGAATATGAAGTAATGATTTCTGTGGTGATTAAAAAAGTTTTCAGCATCGCACCCTGAACTTTAAACATAACTTCAAACAGCAGCCTCCATTAGACAAAACTAGACATATTGATCTGAGTCTCACAGCAGTTACGACGCAAAGCCATGAAACTTTTGATGGTTTAATATCAGGTGCTTCTCTCAGATTAGCGCTCGAGATTTTCAGCAGAGACGCCTCTTAATTGTTTCATTACTTTCAAGAGATTTGCAACAGATTGCTGCTTAAACAGCCGTCGACAAACAAAAGCCTCGAACCATTATTCTTTTGCCGCGCCGCTTAATGATCCAATTGTCTTTTAATAGTCATTTTCCTTACTCGTTTCCTGATTGAATTAACTGGAAAATTAAATTAGGAGGGAAGGAAACATCCCTTGAAGTTGGTTGCGGTTTCTGGATGTGTAAAATTGAATCTAAAGTTAAAAGAAAAACACGAGTCGAGCTCAGACGTCATTGCCATCCTCATCGTCGTGTTAACTCCATCTCTGTTTGCATGTGTGTCCGTGTGAATATTTGCATACATTGTGTGTAAAGGTTAAGGAGACATCTGGCCCCCCTGTGGTCCCCAATGGTAAACCGTCCCTGCCCCATGCCCAGTCTGCACCGACTGAACAGGTGTGTGTTCATCCTGCAGCAAACTTACATGTAACACATTCAAAAATACACATTGTGTTCCCCATGGAATTCTTCAATGCAGTTTTTGAGTGGAAAAACCACAGGAATCACCTCTGATTTTTACCATCTGGCTGCCTATGTGGTACTGCTGGTCCTGCTATTCAATTGTAGGTCCCAGAGCTGGTTCCCTCTGAGGAAGACTACAAGCGCGTGAAGAGGATCTTCACTATCAATGGCAACGATGTAACTTTTCTCCCAGCTTGCTTGGTTTGCATCCGCCAGTGCTTTACCACAGCTTTTTCCTGTGACCGGCCTGAGTCGACTGCTTGCTTCCTCAGGTTCTGTCCAGAAATTGCAAAGGCCCACATTAGGCTGTCCCAAGGAGTCCCACTGCTAAGAGGGTTTCAGTTACAGAAGTCCACCTCCCCCTGTGTTGTTGGCCAACTGGTGTGAAATCTGAAACGTTGAGGCCAAACACTTATGTCTAGACGCACAAGTTATAACGATTCCTTTATGTCTAATTCAGGGGAACTTAGAGGCCTTCTTGGCAATAAGAGCCTGACTTGAGTGAGCATGCCATTTCATTTTCCATTCTGAACCCATAAACGTCGTCTGAATTGTATATGATATGACGGAAATGTTTAGAAAAGGAAGCAGCATGAATCATTTTACGTCTACACTTGACTCATACACCTCTGATTATAGTCAGCGTTGACTCAGTTATTCACTGTTCTCTGGCATTGTGTAATTATTTGAGCAGTTTTGGTTCTCTCAAGGTCTGCAGCATTGAAAGGCACTTCTTTTTATCCTTCCTCTGATCTCCTATTGTCTCTATTCATATCCTATGTCTCTACCTTTGCTTTTTTGCGGGTCACTGGATCCCGACTTGCCGCTGTCCTCTTTGCTGTTTGCATGGCTAGCGTGCCAGAGGCCACAAACCCACTCAGGTACAGCCTGCTCGACCGTGGACTCGCAGCACTCCCTCGGTCGTACAGTGCTCGAGTCTAAGCTTGTTCTTTTCTACTGACCCCGCTCTGCCCTACTTTGTCTGTGCCTGTCCGTTTGCCTTTATCCTCTCGCCGCTTTCTGGGTTTACGCGCGGTGCTGGAATGTACTAATGTGACATAAACCCCGTGATTGCTAAAGTTGGTTCAGGGGTTCTTGACCAGGTTGTAGAGGGTTCAACAAGATTAATTTTTTACCAGTGCTGCATTTAATTTACGATGGACTCAATGTGCCATGCAGCTGTATAATGGTATGGCTGCTTTTACTCTTCACACCTGCATGTAGGTGCTGAGGTTATATTATCATCATATGCAACAGTAAGCAGCCTGCTTGTACTAATCAAATGGATATCTGTGACTCCAGGGTCCTTGACTTTGCATGCAGTGGTACAGTATATTTTTGTGTGTTGGATCTTTGTGTTCATGCAGTGTTATACCTTCTCTGTTGCTGTGTACATTAGCATTGATTCTTTCTTTGTTTTACAGTTTTGGTGGTGTCTCGCATTTTTACCTTATTGTGTACAGCTGATAGTGTTAACTGTGACTGTTAGAGTCGCTTTGGTTTATTTGTCAAATCAGCCTTAACAGTTTTAAAAGAGTAAGTGTATTATTGCCTGTATTTTTTTAAACATAACTCATAGAAACAGCACCACACAATAGAAACAAAACAAGACCGCACCTTTTCTGTATGTTATACATCAAATTCAAACAACACAAAGTTACACAATGCTGTATGCGGGGGTTTGATTGCAAGAGATTGGACAGGATTCACATTTACGCTTTTATTGTTTGTACTGTAGTTTGTTGACAGACCGTGTCACTTTGATACAGAAGAGAAAAAGACAAGATTGTTTTACAGCGCTGCATTACACAAAAGAAGAAAACAAAAAAAAACACATCACAACAGACACCTGCAGAGACTGGATAAGACAATCCAAAAGATTCTTTCTGCGCTGCATTGTAAGGGAAGATATCTGTTGTGATGTGGATGAGAATCTGTGGCCCGACAGACAGGAGGTGTAGAAAGACTGAACACCATATAGCGCTTCGTGTACAGTTCTGCCTCAGAGGTATTTACTATATTTACATTTCTAATTTTGCATTTTTTCCCCTCTTTACGATGCAGCGCTGTACAACAGTCTTCTCCTTTCAGTTTTCTTTTCTGTATTTCACTTACATAATCACGTCAGGATGCGTATACTAATATGTCTAATAGAAATATATAGTATTGGTTGAACCATTCTATTTCCCAGATGTTTTTGGGATGAAGACTATTCAGAAGATAATCAAAAACATTTGCATCAGTGTGGCAAAGCGTTTGCAATTTGTCCAAAATAAGGAGAAACTGCCTTTAAGATGTGCACAAGTGAGTGGAGGATGTGGAGGTTGAACAAGTACTTTGGGAATTCCTGTTCTAATTTGAGAAATGTACCAAAGAGACTAAAAAAACAACTTTAATACGATGTAACATGAAGTTGTTGGACCGTCCCCCCCCCAGACCCACGCATTGCACTTCAGTGCACCTTTCAATCCCTACTCATTAATGCATTAATACTGCAGTTATTTTGTGGTGAATTACTTGAATGAGTCACTTATCCTTGCAGCGTTGCTTGCCCTTCTATTGCGTCGTTGGAGTGCGGTTGGTTTTGCTGCAGTGTTTTATATTCGATTTATTTTACTCCTAAAAATCTGTAACCTACTATTACATTTTTTCACTTTGCTATATTTTGCACCGTTTGAATCACGCATCCTGAATGTGATGTTAAGTTATTTTAATAAAATTAATGATTTGTGCTCCCTCCCTTGTCCAGTCCAAGGTTGCTGAGGACCCTGTGGCGTTCCTTCAGGCAGCACACTCAGTTGCAGCTAAGGTCTGGCTGGTTGAAATTTCAGTTGCATCCCCTCATGTTTCGGAGTGATGTCTGTTTTTCTTTTGTTTTTGTGCGTGTGTGTGTGATAAACTTGTCAATGAGTGAAAGGCTCAGTAGTTAGTGAGGGAGTCTCACCACTTACAAAGCCCAGGATTTCCCTTTCCTGTAGCTGTAACTGTCGAAGTCTCTGAGTGAGGTAACAGAAGTACCCTGCTCAGACTCATCAGTTAACTTTGTGTTGTCTTTACGTCTCAAGGAAAAAACAAGACAAAAATACGTAGTTTTAGTGCAGCTATTCAGTTGTATTACCGTGACTGCATGTCTCTTTGTCTGTTTCCATGCATGACTCTGTCAAAACACCCGACGTACGTAAGCTGGATCGTATTTTTTTCCGTGCAGTCCACGATAGTCGTGTATTTTTGTATATGTAGTAGACATTGTGTGGATGCTTGTCGTGATTGTCTGTGATGAAACACCCCTGTCTCACCTTCCATCTGTGAACATATTAAATGCACCGTCGGTGAGTTCAGCGAACGCTCTCTGAGCTCTGAAAAGTGCATTAAAAGGCGGGTCACGGGAACTCCAGTTCTTCTGTGGAGGGCTGCCGCTGTAATGGACATAAATGTGGGAGGTGAAATATGAAATCATAACAGTTCTCACAAAATCTTACATGCTTCCACAGTGAAGTAAAAGGCCCTCCACCTGGTGAATTCAGTTCCCCCTTCTCTCATGTGACTGTGTTTGTGAAAATCTCATTTGTGTGATCCTTCTGGAAGTCCATTATGCACTGGTGTGATTTAATGATCAATAATTTAGCATGCTGATTATTATTTTATTATCTTTAATGTTCAGTAATTGTTCATACAAATGTGTCTCCAACAGGGAAAGACTGAGGAGCAGATAACGGCAGAGAGAGCCTGGTATAACACGGAGAAAGTATGGCTCGTTCACAAGGATGGATTTTCCTTGGGTCAGTAAAACGTCTGCGTTTATGTATTTGTATGCGTTATGATAGACATGAGTGGGTGTTTAAAGCAAAGAAAATGCTTTTTAAATTTTAGTGTTAAAAGAGGGCACTGGAATAGACGCCTCCACTTTACCTCAGGGTGTATGTAATTAGACTTTCCATGTTTTCAACGCTGACTGTGTGCGAAGTTTTAATAAATCTCAGACATTATTAAAAGAGATACAACTGCCTCACATTATCTGGCATGTAAGATGAGCTGAAGCTTTTGCACTTAGGTCAAGATCATGTGTCACGATAAATTAACTCTGTACTTTGTGGTGATGCAGCAACTCTCCTGAAGACAGAGACAGGCAGCCTGCCAGAGGGGAAGGTGAAAATCCGCCTGGAGAGTGATGGATCTTTATTGGATGTGGATGAAGATGATGTGGAGAAGGTATTTAATCATCAAATCAACTCTGAACCTCATCAATTACAGAAGACACTGGGTGAGAGTGTGACCGCCTGTGACTTTGAACTCTAGGCAAACCCTCCGTTGTTTGACCGAGTGGAGGACCTGGCCTCGCTGCAGTATTTGAATGAGTCGAGCGTAATGCACTCTCTGCGGCAGCGCTACGGCAGTAACCTGGTGCACACCCACGCTGGGCCCAACATGGTGGTCATTAACCCCATTAGCGCTCCCTCGATGTATTCTGAGAAGGTAGGCTGCTGCCTGAACACATAGTGACACATCTCTTATGGAAAAGCATAAACTAGAGCGTAGCGAGAATAAAATGCATTCACAACGATGGTAAATTGGTACGTATAGCCTCCTCTGTGATTTTGTTTTCCTCCTCGCCACTATCTACTTCCCAGGTGATGCAAATGTTCAAAGGCTGCAGGAGGGAGGACGCCGCCCCTCACATTTACAGCATGGCACAGACCGCCTATAGGAACCTTCTGACCACTCGCCAGGATCAGTCCATTGTCTTGCTGGGCAAGAGTGGAAGTGGCAAAACCACCAACTGCCAACACATCATCCAGTATCTGGTTACCATCGCTGGAAGCACCAACAAAACCTTCTCTAGTAAGTTGGAAAGGATGCTCTCTAAATTTAATAAATTCCGATTTAATTTGTGCTTTTACTGATGTGTTTTCCTGCCAAGTAACGTTTTTTTTTTGTTATTGTTGTTGTTGCCTGCAGCAGAGAAATGGCAGGCAGTCTATTCGGTTTTGGAGGCTTTCGGAAATGCCTCCACCTGTATGAATGGGAACGCCAGTCGCTTCTCGCATATTGTTTCGTTGGACTTCGACCAGGCGGGCCTGGTGACCTCAGCCTCTATCCAGGTACAAATAACCACATTTATTTCAATCACTTGGAATCAGCTGCCGAGTCTCTTCCTCATGCATGCCTGCTTTTATCACACACTTGAGGCTTTGTTATTATGCTTACTTGAATTGCCTGTGATAATATTATTTTTCTATCATTTTAATATCCTGTCCTGCTGTTGCCTTGCAGACCATGCTCCTGGAGAAGATGAGGGTGACAAGAAGACCAGAGGGGGAGTCCACTTTTAATGTCTTTTACTACCTGATGGCTGGAGTAGATAGCTCTCTTAGGTCGGGATTATTACTCGCATGCCAATTAAAATTACAATACACCACGGTTCTGCACTGGATTTATTACACAGATATACCGCAATGATAGATTGCTCTTGGTGGAAAATGCTGCCAGTTTCACACTTTGATGTCCTCTGTGTTGTTTTCTATTTCTTCATCAGAACTGAGCTGCACCTCAATCACTTCGCCGAAAACAATGCATTTGGAATCACGCCACAAACTAAGGTAAATGCTACCTGTTTTTGTAGAGCCAGAGATAGAAAAAAAAAAATTACTTTCAGCAGCTATAAAGCTAAAGTACCGCTATATGAATCTGCCAGACGGAGGATAAACAGCGGGCCTCCCAGCAGTTTTCCAAGCTGCAAGCAGCCATGAAGGTTCTGGGGATCAGTGCTGATGAGCAGAGGGCCCTCTGGCTTGTCCTTGGGGCCATCTACCATCTTGGGGCTGCAGGAGCAACCAAGGGTAAGATTGCCGCACTCACTGAAACGTTTGCCACGCTACAGCTGCATCGCTTAATAACGCTGATAGTGTTTTTCATAATAGAACATGTACCAGCAACAAAGATTCAGATCGTCCCTGATTTGTACATTCCCACCCCAGCGCATGATGAAAAACAAGAGTAATGACAAAAATCACCCTTGTTAGCCAAATTTATTTTAACACACACACTTTATGTGTTCTGACAGATGTCGAGGCTGCACTGGTAATAGGTTCTGTGTGATGCAAGACAGATGTAATCCATAGAACTGAATTGTGCATCTGCACTTTGAACGATGTTGCACAGGTTGTGAGACTAAGCTGCTCTGATCTACAGCTCAGAATCAAAATTTAGGCCATTACAGAAAAGTTTAGAGCAGAGAGCCCTCAGATAAGAAAAACAACTGAGATCACTCAAGACGACTTGCCACGTAGTTCTCCTGCCTTTAGAGTCTGAGGCCGATAAAACGACACAATGATTTTTCTTCCTATTGGATATGAACCTCTGGTCAGATTTTGCTTTATTATGCATTTTTATAACAAACAATATCAAATAAACAGAGCGCTGTTTCTGCCAGAACAACTGAAGCCACCGGCAAACTACCTGAGTTTAATTGCTAAGAGACACTGTTGCGGCTCAGGAATGAAGAAAAAAAAAAAAAAACCTCAACGCACGTCTTGACAAACAATTATTTTGTCGTAACAGTACATCGCAGGGCTAAACGAAACAGCGGCCCTCGTAAAACACAAGGGCTAGTTTCTGTCAGAAGAGGTTTGTATGACGAAACCTAACGCAAGAGTTATATTCCTCTAAAGTTACAGAACTGCCCTTTGTCAGCACTTTACTTTCATTTTATAAATTGGATATCTGCTACTTGTTAAGGCTGAAACAGTCACAAAGATTTTTATTACTCATGAGCCGAGTATTACTCATGTTTTATCCCTCGGTGTGAAACGCCCTTCAGCTTCTCAAGGATCTCTGTTCTTTTTTTTTTTTTTTAGATCCTTTCAAAATAGAGATTTAAAAGTCTTTGTTTATTTACCTTTATTAATTGCTTGACACATTTTAGAATTGTCTTTGTTATTCATTTTACCTGTCCTTAGTGGGCATGTTTCCAAAGATGTGTAGCAAAGTCAAACTGAGGACACTTCGTATCAGAAAAAGCATTTTTGTCTGATTGCCACACAAATTAATTAACTAAACGCTTAATATCCAAATAATAAACAACATAAAACCCTCAAGGAACGTATAGAGGCAGTGACAGTAGTTCAGCATTTTGTGTTGTTTGTTCACTCCCTTCCTGTACTGTAATTGCCAGTCGCTTATGCAGAATAGCTTGCCAAAATTATTTCCAGTGATCCCCTCCAGCTGGCTACCAATCTTTTTTGATGGCAGCAAACCACTATCTAGGAAGAGTTAAAAAAAAAAAGAAATTTACAGCAGTGAGTGTTCTCTGTTATTGGGACTACAGACACCAAACAACTTTGTTCTGATCTGCAAATTACAGGGTGACTTTTGAATTCGGGCCTGGTGTCCTTCTGTTAAACGCAGCGTTTCTTATAAAGAAGCAATGCATGACGGGGCAGTCGTAGCAGACCGAGAGTCGACACTGATGGGAATTCGATTCTGTCTCCCCGTCTATGGGAATATAATATTTATTCATAAAATACTGCACATCATTAAAAAACACATTTGTTGCCAGAGCTCAGTTTGTGTATTGGCTATCACATCCAATATTAAAGGGTATATAAAAGCTGTTCATTGCCAGTGCAGCTTTGTTGTGCAACACAAGAGGGCAGCAATGATCTCTAATCCCCCCTGAACCAATTAAAGGGCCCACCTGAAATGAACTTGCCTTTCTCTGTTTACTGTGCTGTCAACACTTATAACGAGTGTAGACAGAAAAAGGCCACACTCTGAGTCTTGATACTTTTAAAGTGCAAATACTGTACATATGCAGTTTTTTTCATCTTTAAGAGTTACACACTCCTTACTGTTTGATTCAGTTATATTGGCAAACCCAGTTTGTTCTTTTTGATGTTTTAGCAGAATTTAAATAATTGCAGTGCCGAGTATCTATCAAAGGGAGTATTTAAAGGTCTTTGCTTGTCTTTACAACCATCCTGCTTATCATTATAAGAAGTATGCAAGGCTTCTGCAGCAGTGATGAAACAGATAGAGCCCACTACTCTCTGTGTGAAATTCCCCAATTTCTCTCTTAAGTCTTAGAAGATACCGCTTCATGGTGGATTAAAACTGAAGTTTGCGCCCATATCTGCATGTTTCCATCACTCAGCCTCCAGATTAAAGAGAAACTTGTGTTTCCCAACAGAGGTCCTTATGTAAATAAATTAATTGTGTCCCTTAATGATAAGTTTTGCTTTCATTCTCAAGGAGATAAAAGGGGCAATTATCACTTCAGCTTCATAGACATGTTTTCAGTATTAAACAATAGAGGGTTTTCTTTGTAGAAGCTAGTGGCTGTGTCTTTTTTTTTTTTTCTGCAGCAGTCGTTAAATGTATTCAAGCTAGCAAGCTTTTGAACATGCTTTTAGTGCATGTTCTCATCAGCTGCGCCAGTGTCAGCTTGACCAGAGACATAATCCTACCCTGTCAGTGACAGGATTGTCACAAAGCAACCATGTGCCCGCAATCGTTGGTAGAAGGGCTAATGGAGGTTTTCATGCACGTGTCTCAGCTGGCAGGAAACAATTTGCACGTCATGAGTGGGCCCAGAAGGCAGCGTACCTGCTGGGCTGCACCCTGGAGGAGCTCTCCTCCTCCATCTTCAAGCACCAGGCCAAGGGCACCCTGCCCAGAGCCAGCACCATCCGCCAGGCTTCTGACGAAAATGGCACAGCAGATGCAGGTACTCCACACACCACATTTACCAACACACATTTCCCTCCTCATTCCTCACAGCCTCCACCCTCCCCCCACCACCACCACCACCATCTTTTTTCTCTTTGTCACTCTCACTCTGTTTCCTTGGGCACACACACACACACACACACACACACATGTGCACGCATATGCCTCTGCTCATCACCTGGGGAAATTGCATACACCAGAGAAAGTAAAGCTTATCTTAGTAATGAATACCACAGCTTTACAATGGCTATTGATAGATAAGTACACACACTATGTCGGGACAAGCAATTTTGGATCCACTCTTCGTTCATTGTCCTTGAAATCATAATTGCTTCACATTGATTTTTCACATGTGCGGCTTCTCTGACTTCCATCAAGACTAGACGGCAACACATTTTGAAGGGCACGAGGATACAGTTAAAAGTCTATCACAGTGGGGATGGACAGAAGTGACCTCTGTTTCACCTTCCGGGTATCTTCCCTCACCGACGAGCGTACAGTCAGTGTGTGCAAGCGTGCGCACATGAAAGCATCCCCAGAGCAACATAAACTGACTGTTTTGTGTGACAGTGGAATGAATTAACAGAGCTTAACAGGTGGCCATCGCCGCTAGGCACAGCCATGAGTGTGCGCTGTTTGATCTGACCACTTCCAAAACACCTGAGTCCTAAATGACACTGCTTTACAAAGACAATTTCAGGCCCAGTTGGGATACCTTATGCCTCTGGGCTTAATATGCTCAAATATGATGCTGCTGCACTTCCTTTTAGAAGGAAATGTCCTGACCATCGTCTAAGCTCAGGTTTTACAGCCCAAGACATTGACATTTCTACCTCTAATTCTACTGGCCCTCGTGTTATTTTTACGGGAGGTATTGCAAACTGCTTGTTACTGATTTGTGCTGTCTGACTGCTTCTCAGGATCCAAAGCTACAGCCGTGGAGTGTTTGGAGGCCATGGCATCTGGGCTTTACTCGGAAATCTTCACTATCCTCATTTCTCTAATCAACCGGTTAGTATCCCACTCAGATTCTACACATGCAGTTTTTGGGTGCATCCGTATATATCAGCAATATGTGTATTTTTCCTTTTATTGTATGGCGACATATTTGTTATCTTTATAAAGCATGAAAACAATTGCTTATTACCATAATTTATTCAAGCGGAAACGGCGCTTGTCCAATGTTGCAATTAGGTTAGAAAATAGAATTATGCTAAGCCAGGGTTAAAGTTAGGGATGCAGTGGAGAGAGATGAGGTTAAAGCTAGGGGTTATGCAGTGAATGTAATCAATAAAAGCTGCCTCTAATATTGCAACGCTGATGTTTGTGTGTATGTGTTTGCCCTCTGTGCTTAAGGGCCTTGAAATCCAGCCAGCACTCCCTGTGCTCTCTGCTCGTGGTGGACACACCAGGCTTTCAAAACCCCAGGCTGGCTAAGCGCGAGTGCGGCGCGACCTTTGAGGACCTGTGCCACAACTACACTCAAGAACGTCTGCAGACCCTCTTCTACCAGCGTACCTTTGTTCAGGAGTTAGAGAGATACAAAGAGGTACGGACAGTGCTGTGCGCGATGCATACCCTCGGCCTCATTGCCTCGTTCGCTCTTTCTCTTTGTCTGCTGCTCCCGCTCTGATATATCAACTCCAATCGTGCATGTGTTCACACATCAGATACACTATCCGTCCCACCTGTCACAAGCTGTGACAAGCCCAACTAGTTCATGCGTTAGGCCTTCTCATTAGCGATGCCAGTCTTCACCTCTTCTGCTGAGATCAAAGTAAAGTCACTCACAACTGCCTTTGGGAGACACGCCCAGCTGCACAGCAGTGGTGTTGCTCCCCGACGAAGGAACTGTTCTTCTGCTGTCCTCCTTTGAGTTCTGTCTGGCAGGACTGGACTATAATAACTGAGCGCATTCATCCCCGAGGATTTAAGATATTTAAGGACAAATAATAGAGATTTTTCTTTTATGACATGACAATTATTTTTCATCCATTCCAGCTGTCCCAATTCCAATGTTCGTATAAATGTTCTTCTTATTGAAAAGTCAGCTAATAGCACACTAAAGCTAACAAGAAATCCTGATCATATTACTTTTAATGCTGTGAACAAGGATCCTGGGATTTCCCACCCACTTCCCCACCCACATCCTCCGCCTGAGAGAAAGGGAATTGGAGCGAAATGAAGCATTGCATAAATCTGTGTAGTGTAATTCTCTCTTGTCAGTACATCTCGAAAATATAAGAAGCTATGAAGCTGTCATTGTAAACTAGGTCAAACTCATTTAAAACGGCACACAGTATTAACAATGACAGTGACAGGCAGGTTGAACTATGATACACACAACAGGGAAATGCTTTATATTTTTGAATTAAACACTGTTGAGCGCTCTAGCTGTTTGGATAGTTTTTATTTTATTTTTTTTATGTGTGTGTTTCCTTTGCACGCTGACTCTCCACCGCAGAGAACAAAAATCACTTAGGCTACTTCACATACACAGTCGACTTGAACGCTGGCATCTGTCATGGCTACACTATTACCACTGCCAGCATTTTCATCCATTTCTAGTGCAGCCTGCACTTTGTCACCGTGTGCTGCTGCTGCCTGCCTGTTTTGCTCTGGTGAAGGTAATTTACTGTATTAATTTCCACTTTACCCCAGAAATGTTATCATCTGCATCAGTAATTAAATCTTTTTCCATTTACCTATAGCAAAATCAGTCATAGTAAATGCCAGACGCTCTTGTTATTTTAATAGATTTGTTGAGGCTTTTAGTTTTCTTACATCTTTTCTGCCTTCACTTTAAAAAAAAAATCTTTTAATATCCATGAAAATCTTTGGAATTATTATGCCTCCCAGCATCGTCACTGGGCCATAAAGGCAGATCAGGATTTTAAATTACTTGATGACTGGCAGCTAACTAATGAAATAACAAGCATGGAATCAGTGTCAATTAATCCATCATAATCTAATGATTATTATTATTTTTTAGATTTTTTTCATTAGTAGTTAAGTAGGTCTATAAAGTGTCGCACATCACCAAGAAAAGCAAAGAGTTTCCCTGAAATTGCAGAGGCAGGAAACAATGAATGCTTTGTAGTTGCTTGAAAAATGATGTGATTCATCGATTGCCAACGTAGTCAACAGTTAGAGAGGCTCAGTCGGTGCCTTTGAACAGCTGGGTTTTTAAATTCTTTTTTATTTAAAAAAAAACCCCAGTTGTACAAACAGTCTCATATTTTCTGTCTTTTCTAGACCTTTACTACCACCTTTTAAAATATTTTAATGTTGCTTTTTAATGTTTTTGTATAAGTTGTGCGTCAAGAAGCTTGTGACACCAGTTTTTGAAAGACACTATAGAAATTGCCATAACTGATTAATCCTAAGGCTACAAGGTGACGCGTTGGTCAGCATCGTTGCCTCACAGCAAGAAAGTCGCCGGTTCGTGTCCCAGTGAGGACACCCGGGATCTTTCTGTGTGGAGTTTGTATGTTCTCCCCGTGCAGCGTGGGTTCTCTCCGGGTTCTCCGGCTTCTTCTCACACAGTCTAAAAACATGTTGAGGTTAATTGGTGATTCTAAATTGTCCGTAGGTGTGAATGTGAGTGTGCTTGGTTGTCTGTCTCTAAGTGTAGCCCTGTGATAGACTGGTGACCTGTCCAGGGTGTCCCCTGCCTTCACCTTGAGTCAGCTGGGATAGACTCCAGCCCCCCTGCAACCCTAGTGAGGATTAAGCAGTGTATAGATAATGGATGGATGATTAATCCTCGCCCCTCTCACTGGGACTGCTTGAATTCCAAGTTGTGATGTTAACACAAACACTCTAAGAGGCAAAGTCACATGAAGGCCTCATTGCTGCATGGGATCAGGGATGTGTTGGACTAGTGAGCATTTCCTTTTCCCAAAGTAATCTATGCTTTTGTGATAAATTAGGAAGGAAAAAAAAACATGAAGTGTGGTTTCGGGCCTGACTGTGCCACCAGAACAGCTTCAGTGCTCATTAGCATTGATTCTCTGTCTCTGGAACTTTACCGGAGGGATCAACATCATTCTCCAAAAGATATTCCCTCATTAGGTGGAATATGGTTTGGTTTTGGTTAAAAATCCCCTACAAGTGTTCTGTTGATGTGAGGTCTGGTGACTGTGAAGGCCACGGCATATGATTTACATCATATTTACAAATCATTAGACCGTTCACTGACCCCTTGTGCCTCATGCACAGTGGCGCCGCCGCCCTGGATCAGACCACTGTAGAAATGCTTCATCAAGAGATAAAGGTGATCACTCTGGACAACTTTGTGTTGATTTGTAGTGACCCTTCCCTCTAAGTGGACAAGTGGACCCAAACCATGCCAACAAGACGTCCAGGCTCCCTTGGTGATTAAACATATGTCGTATATTAACCCAGGCCGACAAACTTGAGTGACTTTCAACAACAAAATAATTTAAGCATTTGTCATTTTTTTATGCTTCGCTCTTGAAAAAATCAACACCGCTCACGTCTCCTATAGAATATTGGGTTTTTTCCACAAATTTAGCATCATCACAAGTTATTAAAGAGCCTGTCAATCTGCTTGTCTGTCTTCCTCCAGGAGAACATCGAGCTTTCTCTCGACGACACAGAACCGAGCACATCACTGTCTGTAGCGGTGGTAGACCAAGCCTCGAGCCAAGCGCTGGTAAGTTAGGGTTTTTTTTTTCTCTTGTCCTTACTTTATCTTAATATTTTACTTGCATAGTCACTTATTTTTCTTGATTTCTTTCCCCCCCCGCATAAATCTTGTATTGGCAAAATAACTTGCATCTGAATGTTTTTCCAGACACCTCAGGGACTCGCACGCCTTTCATGATCTATTTTCATATAGTAGTCTCTGGGTGCCCTCCTTTTAATTCAGCATTGAATATTGTTTTCCAGCCTCAGAAGTTTTCTTTATGCTAGTTTTGTTTGATAGAGGCTAGAAAGAGAGGGTAGGAGCCAGAAAAGAAAGGTTAGAGAATTGACTTCAGAAAAGAAAATCAATGTTTGGCCTTTGCAGCCTATGATCTGCACCATGGAAACAGAAATGGCAGAGTTTAGAGAGTCATAGATCACTTTGCTGTAATTCCAATGTGTTTGGTTTGAGTGCTTTACTTTTTAAAGGGTCCCTGCTCTAATGGGAATGTCATCAGAAGCAGTGAACTGTAGTACATCACACTAAAAACCCCAAGAAGAAAAAAAAAACACACACAGATTCTTCAAAGTCATTTCTAAAGTCAACTCTAAAGATCTGCTGTGAAGAGTGAAAAGGCATTTTGATCAAAGATTTTTTTTTTTCGTGTTGTAGCTCAGATGTCCGTTATCACAAACAACCTTAATGCTCAATTCATTGCAAGCTTCGTCGTTGTCATACGTCTCCTCCAAACTGATACCCTGTGTTGTATTTGCAGTCAGTGTAGTGTGCACTGCTGATAAGGATGTCTCCAGTGCAGCCTCCTGATAGCTGCTAAAACAGTTTTTGGTTTTGTGGGTTTGGTTCCTAAGCCAGGATTCCCAGGGTAGACTCAGACATTAGCCAAGTTGACCAAGCTGGCTACCTTAATGTGGAGATTGTTTCTCTCTGGAGCTTGTTTTTAATCCTCGAAATATTATCCTAAATGTCTTTGGACAAAAAAGCGCACCACTCAAACCTACGATTACTGAGAGTTGAAGCTGAAACAAGGCGGCTTGATTCTGAAAATACAAAATATGCAACATGGCTGCTGATATGTTAGCAGCCACACAGCCCCATAAAGTCACTTGTATGATATCGTTCACAAAGATAATAAAATCCTTTTATCGTGCGCTTTTGTCGTGAGAATTACTGCTCAAGTGGCTTTTATTTTCTTCTGAGAGTTCACACTGATTGCATTACTTTTTAATCCCTTCTACTCCTCTTATTTATAAACTCCCTTTTGTCTCCATACTTATTATAAGGAAAATCCAAATTGATGATGCTTTCACAGCTGCGACTGCTGAAGGACGCAAGGACCACACGCGCTTTTGAAACTTTAATTTCCAGAGCTAATATTATTATCGGGCCTGTCACAACTGGCTCAGAGTGAGAAAACATACGGCAGCACGACTACTCGCACTGACATTTAGGAGAACCCCGAATATTTAATGAAACACTGACTGCAGAGGCCGGCACCGAGCATTTGAAGGATAATTTTCTGAATTTTTCATAAGCAATTATTGTTTTTTTCTTGTACCCAGGAGGTGGATAAATAATAAAGGCTTAGGAAATATACTCAGATTCATCAATGTGTTCCCATTAAACAGCTAAAATGAGCTAAACGTCCTTGTGGCAAGGTGGTTTGTTACTTATGTAAGGGCTACAGTTGGTAAAACAATCTTTCTTGAGGCAGGCTTGCTACTAAAAAAGAGGGTCGATGCGGTAAAATGAAAAGTCGGAGTGAAGGTAAAATAGAACATTTTTGGGTCCACGTTAAATCTTATGTGAATGTGTGAAATCTTTGTGTGCACATGTTTATTTAACAGGTACGAACAGTTCGAACAGATGAGGCACGGGGGCTGTTGTGGCTGATGGAGGAGGAGGCATTGCAGCCTGCAGGATCAGAGGAGACACTGTTGGGACGCCTCTTTAGCTACTATGGACCTGCTGAGGGCGAGAGTAAAGGCAAGGAGAAGACAAACACACACACACTTAAACTCACCATTAAAGCTAACACCAAGCATTTAGCTGATGATCTTTTAAGAAAAGAATTAAAAAAATAAACTCCCCAAATAAACTGAATATGCATACTTAAACCAGAAATTTACATTATATTAATATTAATGGTGTTGCCTGCTTTCATCTCTGTTGTTGTGGCACAATATATTACATGTATGATTTACATAGATGATTAGTGACAGCAGATTAATTCTGTGTTCTCGTCTTCGCAGTATCTACCAACTCTTCCTATGACTTGCTTTAATGTAGCACCAATTGCTATCAAGAGTTTTCTAGACATATCCCAGAACTGTACTGACTGTTTACCGTTTTTTTTTTTTTTTGCATTGTGTCACGATGAATGCACTTTTCACAGCTATAAAATAGACTGTACACAAAGCACACAAAGCAGGAGTTTAACTAGTTTCATACTTTAGATGAGTTACAGAAATGTTTTCCATGTATGTTGTTGGCAACCTTGACTTGCCAAGGATACGGCTTTTAAAAATTTCTACATTGAATTTAGCAGAATTCAGAAAAAAAACCAAAAAGAAAGTTGAGGGCAAAGTGTCATTTTTTCCCCCCCTCTAAAATAACAGCTTCAGGCTTTTTATTCTGACTTGTTTCATGGGTGAGATTTGAGTTTTTCTGTTTACTTTTCAGTCTTTGATGATTTACTGCATCGTGCTTAAGGCGAACCATTATATTATTTATGTCAGCACAGTATGGACTGATCTAAACATTTCACACTAAACCTGGACTGCTATGTGGTCCATGAACAACTAGGCCAACTAGGAACAGACTGTTCTTACCTCTGGAACAGACTGCACACACCACAGTCATCAGGACATGCTGAATAAGCTTGTTTTAATATTTTATTTAATGCAGATTACACTAAACTTTTAAAGAAAAAATATGTATTTTTTTGTCATCTCCCTGCATATGTGTCCACATCAGGTCACACTTTCCTGCTGAAGAGCGAAAAAGATAATCATTTCCTGCTGGGCCACGGTCATGGGACCGACTGGGTGGAGTACGATGTCCAGGGGTGGCTGAACTACGCCAAGCAGAATCCTGCCTCCACCAACGCTGCGAGCCTCCTGCAGGACTCCCAGAAGTAAGCGTCCGTCATTGGTAACGTGGACATGAAACAGTGCTTGAGTAGATCTGTCATCATTCATGTGATCTTCTATCTCTTGCAGGAAAATCATCAGCTCGTTGTTCATGAGCCGAGCAGGTGGAGCCACCGTTTTATCAGGTTCCATTGCAGGCCTTGAAGGTGTTTCCCAGCTGTCTTTGCGGCGAGCTACTAGCATGAGAAAGACCTTCACTACAGGGGTAGCTGCTATAAAGAAGAAATCCTTGTGCATCCAGATAAAGCTTCAAGTGGTGAGTGGAGATGATGGAACAAAGCAGCCGGTCACACTTCCTCTTTTTGTCCACTGTTAACTATGAAACATTAGCCGTGGGCTGGAGGCGTATTTAGGGATGTCTGGTGCCATTGGGTACCCCAATAAAACAAACGGTTAACAGGAAAAGCTGTAAATGTAGTTTGAAATGTACTTTGGAGCTCACAGCATTCACAAATTGCTTAATGCATCTTAAAAGAAAAGTGATGAGATGAAGGCTAGTAGTTGGGCTGCAGCCAGACGCAATGACATTAAGCTTGTTGTTAGACGGAGCAGCTCTTTTGCTTCCAGCCCCATTGCTTGAAAAGAGTATTGATTCTCAGATTATACTCACTGTCAGAAGTGGATCATTACCAGACCATTATTTTTTTTTTTAGATTTTATTTTAAAATGTGCATATCTGTAAACACTTGAAAACTGAAAACCTCTAAATCCTCTGAGCCACCAGTATCCCACCATCTATTTGTGCCAGAAAACACAGATCATAAAAATCATCTGTGGTGTGCTCTTCCACTCGACAAATTATCCAAATCTCAGTTTAAAATTGTGACATTTCACCAAAATCACTTTATTCTACATGTCTTATATACAAATTAAAATAAAGAAGTTGCCCTAACAACATTCTCTTTACAATAAATAAATAAAATTCTGCATTTCTTGCTGCAATTGTGAAGCCACGACTGATTCAGCTGTGACCAACAGTCATGTGATGAAAATTCAGAGAGTTTTTGGTTGAACTGGGATTAACTGCAGAGTGTTCTTACACAGATTAAGTACAGAAACAAATTAAAAGTAGTGAATTATCAATAGTATGTAAAGCCACCATTTTCCCCCGGTATTGATAACACCTGTCGACACTTGGAAAAATAATGTACATGCATATACATTTAAAAAATGAATAAATCAATAAATACAATTATGGAATTCTAACTCAATATAAAGCAGAGTTCTCTCTACTTCCATCTGTGGTTGTGCTGTTTCCATGGAGGTGCAGGACTTTATATACGGCAGGGACAAAAATAAACTGCTTGGGCTTCAGAGGGTTAATCTATACAGTATACACGGTTATAATTATAAAAAAACACACATATATTGTTTAGTTTACAATGTAGTACCTGTCTTTCAGTTGTGTCTTAGAGTTGCTGCGTTCTTGAGTGCCTCACAGCAGCCCTGTAGAGGATATATGGTAGATGTCACACTTGTGCAGGTGATACAAGAGATATTTGCAAGAAATTCCTTCTAAGTACAATACTGTTATACATGTGGAGAACTTGACTATTCTCAGTAACAAAGTAAAGCTACTGATTGTGTGTCCATACAACGCTGGGAGATACTGCATCGACCGTTGACCTGCTCCAAAGGGAGTCCCTGACTCTGCCCTGTGTTCTCCAGGATGCTCTCCTCGACATGGTGCGGAGATCCAGGATTCATTTTGTTCACTGCATACTGCCCAAGGCGGATGCCCTGAAGGCTCTGAGTGGATCCCTGTTCAAAGGAGGGGAATGCGAGGCTCAAGGGGAGAGTGGAGATCCTGGCTTAATGCAGCTGGATGTAGCGCTGCTCCGCGCTCAGATACGTGGATCCAAGCTGCTGGATGCTCTGCGGATCTACAGGCAAGGTGAGGCGGCTGCTTAAATCGCACACTAAGGATGGATATAGATGTATAACTCTTTTTTTATATGCACTGGAAAACAACCTGTTCTTTTAAAATTTTCTGCAAGGGGGTCACCTCCAAATTATACCGTTAAAATATTTGCAGAACATAATGTTTCCCCGACGCTGCCCTTCACAGGTTACCCTGATCACATGGTGTTCTCCGAGTTCCGGCGGCGCTTCGATGTGCTGGCACCGCACCTCACCAAGAAGCACGGGAGGAATTACATAGTGAAGGACGAGCAGAGAGTAAGTCAATCAAGGAGAGAGCGAGTGAAATGTACAGCTCCGCCAGTGGCCAAGCACAGTGGAGATTAATGTGGTGAAGAGGCAGCTTCATTACATCTGCCCCTGATTTGTCAGCAGCCGACTCACAGAGAAATAAACCTTCATCAGAGCTATAGCTAATGACCTAATCAACTTAACCTCATCACTATCGCGCCCGTGAAGGAAGTAGATTAGCATTGTGGCTTAGAAAGTGCTTAACTGCAGTCAAAGATGCAAAATGTCATTACGCTATATGTGTTTATCGTCCTATAGAATCTGCAGACTTGCTGCTACGTTTTTCTCCCATTACTGGTGCTTTTTTACTTCTGTGTTTTTATTTTGAATTTACAACGCGATGATTGTACAATGAAGCCCGGCTAGAGTTTTACTATTAAAAACTATGAATGAATGTGCGTTGGCCCTCCGCAAGTGAATTCTTAGTTAACTTGCAGTGGAGAAAAATACAAATGTTTGTTTCTGGAGAGGAATGAGACAGAGAGAGTGAAAGAATGGGGTTAAGGTAGAGTATAGCTCTTTTCCCCAGCGTCGGTGTATTGGGGTTGAGTTTCTGTGGAAACGCCGGCAAACAAAAGCCCCTTAGTATTCGTGGCAAACCTCTCCTGGTGTAATCTAGATGTGGTCTTTCAGGCTGCAGGCTCAAGTAGACAGAAGAGACGGAGACAACAATACACCTACAGTGCGCACAGGCCAGTAGATGGATAGGGAAAAGGAGAGGCTCCGGGATGGCTGATGGTGTACCTCTACACAGGATGTATGTGTTCAAAGCTGCAACGGGGCCAAGAACATCAGGGGGTCAGGACGAATCAGCTAGGAGCAGGGGGGGGATTCTCGGGGACAAGTTGTAATTGGTTTCTGGAGGTTCTGAGGAGCCAAACTTTTTCCTGCCTGAGTTTCAAAACAAAATCCAGTTGGGAGTGGATGTGAGCGAAGAGGGAAAACTTGCACTGTACCATTAATTTAACATGACAACTTAGGGGAACGGCGAACTACTGAACTGTTGCAGTGTCAGTAGAAGTTCCCACTGGATCCAGCTGTTGAAAGACTAAAACGTGTGTGTGTGTGTGTGTGTGCATGTTTGTGTACATGTGTGTCTTTGCCCAGGCTGTGGAGGAGCTACTGGAGTCCTTGGATTTGGAGAAAAGCAGCTACCACATGGGTCTGAGCAGGGTGAGTAATGACACCACATTTCAAACAAAGTAGGCAGCTTTAAAAATGATTAAATAAACCTTTGCTGTGAATCGCTGCCAGTTTCTCTCCTCTTTAAGCTCTAACAACAGACCTGCAATACACAGCCCCTTTCTTTACCTCCCTTTTTTTCTATTTTGAATGACACTCGCTGTCTGGGGAAGTGTGTCTTTCATTACACCTGTCCCTCTTTGAGGTTTGTTTGCCTTCCTTTTTTTGGAGCACTGCCAAGCCTTGTCCCTTCTTTTAGCCAGTGGCTACCCGAGAGGCATGCCTTTACCCTTGCCCGGCTATGTGACCGTAATTCCTTCTTTCTTTTCAGGTCATTAGAGCAAATTTTAGCAAGTCTTTGTTTTTCACCGTGACCGTTGTGTGGTAATCACAGTAAACACTGCTCAGAAACTCCGGTCTAATCCCGTCAGCTGGAAAGTAGCCATCAGCCAAAAAAAGAAAATCAAAGGAAACAATATTGCACGAAACAGAGGGACTTGAGCTCCCAGGTATGCGCGGCGTATGAGGACGACACGAGAAGAGTTCGGTGGCAGCTTCACCAAGTGCCACGCTTTTATAGTGTGAAATAGGCTCAGAAGTAGACAGGCACAGTCGGCCATTCACAAAGCATTCCAGCGGCGTCTTAGCAACCTGTCTCACTTGCATGCCAACTACACCAACCCAGAATAACCTTACAACAGTAGATCCAGAGCTCTTGACAGAATAGGAAAAAAAAATTGCCATTAGACATGGCCACATGTCAAAAAACGGCACGTTTTTAGAAAATACTATACTGATCTGATCTGCCGATAAAAGACACGTTCTGCTCAAGCCCCGCTAAGCAATTTTTAAAAAAAGCAATATTCATCGATGTCACCAGTGCATCACTTCTCCCTACTGGTTTGCAGATTTCCCCCCACCAAAGCTGCTCCATCATTTCCAGCTTCTGCTTTGTTAACAGGTCACATATGGATCTGGTAATTTATAAAGCACTGGGACTTGTGTAGAAAGACCTTGAGGGTGGAGACAGTTTTTTCCCTGTCATCATCCATCCATTTTAATACCTTGCTGCCATCATATCTGGAATTCTTTTGCAGTGCCTAATCCCTCTGAGGTACAGACAGGCCGTGACGTGACCTGCTTTCTCTTAGCTGTTTACCTGTGTTTTACCTTTGGCCCACATTAGACACAGACAAGGCCGATTGTCCGAGATAATAACTTAATCACAGCTTTATCGCGTAGATAAGACTCCGTTGTCTGTGGATTACACTGTTTCTTATTGATTTGTTGCTTCAGTGCATTTATTTGCCTTTTTTTTTAAACTCTCGTCTGTTTTATTTTTTGCTCCTGCGCTTCACATTAAAGCGTAACCCCTACATCTCATTTCCTCATAGATAAAATAAGCACTAATTGGTCTCCACATGATTATTATAATCTTACCCTTTGCTAATAAGCATTTGTGTGTGATTGTTTCCCACTCTAGTTGTTCTTCAGAGCTGGCACCTTGGCTAAGCTGGAGGAACAGAGGGATGAGCAGACCAAGCGTAATTTAACCCTGTTCCAAGCTGCCTGTAGAGGTTACCTGGCACGGCAAGCCTTCAAGAAGAGAAAGGTAGGCAGAACGTCACGCTGAAATGAACGGCTCAATCTGAAGGTAGTCAGAGCTGAAAACACCAACGATATCTTTATATAACATCAGTAAGGGTGTGTTTATCTATCAAAAATGTCATCTGTCGTCATTTAAATGTGGAGAAACTCACTTCAAATTTGGGTAAGAAGCAAGTTATAAGAATAAATGTGCTGCTTGCAAAAGTGAATAAAATATCAAGGTCCGTTTTGTTGCACAGGAGGAGCAGGTGAAGTAGGTCAAGTTGGTGAAGGATGTGAGCTTTACAGTTGAGAGCTAATTTTGGTGGCTGTTTGCTCTTCTCTTGGGGTAGATCTAACCGGCTCTGCTGTAAATCTTCAACTAATTACAACTAAGTTCTCTAAATCTATTGCCCGTACCCCCCTCCCTCCCTTGTAATCCATCCAATCAGCTCCCCCAGGGGGATATTTGATAGCGACATGTCCATTTCTATCGCACTATATCAGCCCGCTCCCCTTCAATGCAGCCTTATCAAGCAGGCTGCTGACTCACACACCCATCTGCTCCACCCATCTTCCATTTTTCTCCCAGCATGCGTGAGTCCATCTCTCTGGACTCTCATACATGTCCTCTTGTGATGTATGGAGCCCTGCAGTACTTCTCCCTCTCTGTGATTACTATTTAAGTGAATGTGCCGCTTCGGCTGGCTCGTGATGAACCAGCGGAAACAGAATCAACATCGGCGCTCTCCGTCCGCCACGACACGCCGTTAGGGAGCAGATATCTTGTTCACTTGTATATGAATCCAGCAAAGCTATTAAAATGTCATCTTTGACATAAGGTAAATCAATAGGACCTTTTTATATTACTGGACTTCCAGCTCTCCTCTGTTATTACTGTTTTAACCATGAGAGTTAGTGATGGATGCTGGTTTCAAACGGGCAACTAATGTGTTTTCGTTAGTGAGTTCAAAGGTCATTATTCACACAGTAAAGCAGCCTAAGTGCCTGGTGCTTCACAATCTGCCAGAACTTAAATGAAATAAACAACGGAAAACTATTCAAAATTGCTAGGCAACTCTGCAATTACAAAATCCATTAGCAAAGGAGCAATTTTTCTTTCTGGCCCTGTATGCCCCTTATCTCCTGCAATCTATAATAGAAAGATAAGACCTTATTTCATCTTAATTTTATTGATCTCGAACTCAATTCAGGTTGGGAAGGTTACATATAACATGCACTTATGTTTGTGATGACACCTACTGCAGAGTCTATTAATTTGAGGGTATGAGATGACCCACTATGGAGGCATGTGTTCAATGTTACTCTGCATTACTTTCATTTTCTAGTTTGTCTCAGAAATCAATCAATTCAATTTTAAAAAAATGAATTGATTTATCTCCAGTGGAAGCAGAGCGCATCCGCACACACACACACACACACACACACACACACACACACAAACATGCGTATCTCAATAAAACACCTGTATCGCAAAGGGATTGTTGAACATTTTAGAAAAAAGAAAATAAATATGTATTATTTCGGCGATAGTAAGATGAAGGAACTGATACTGCTGTCAAGTCTGTACAGCAGACAGCTCCTGCCAGCAGCCAGTTATCTGAGGTTAGGACTTAGGACTGGAAACAAAGGGAAACAGCTTGCCTGGCTCTGTCTAAGGGTAGTAAAATCTCCTTAATGAATGCCAAGAAATACTCTGGCACACAACAGCCCCCACCCCCAGGCTAGACCACACTGGCCTAGATGATTCCCTTCGTTTCCAATCTCTGAGCTATGCTAAGCTAACGGCCTTTTTTTTTTTTTTTTTATTGGAGCCTGTACTTAACAGACAGTTATAAAAGAGGTTTCAATCTTCTCATTTAACTTTGGGCAAGAAAGTGAAGACTGTAAGCATTTTTTTTTTCTTCCCAAAACTGTACTCCTTGTCTCTTTCTGACATCTTGACTAAACTCCTGTATTGCTGACAATGCAATTTCCACAGAAGATTGGTTAGGATTTCTTTTCGGTTTTATTAAATGAACTGACTGAAAAATCCTCTTAAGAAAAGTATAAAGGTATATTCAGGTATCCAGTCGTAACAACCAAGTAGTTGAAACAGCTTATGATAATCATGTACCGATAAGCTGTTTGGATGAAAAAAGTCATTGGGGTGATTTACAATATGCAACAGAAGGGAGTACACATCTGTGCAAAATCCCTTAAATGTCAAATGATTCCAGGTTGCATCCCCGCTCAATAACTGTGTTATTTTGAAGTTATTAAGTACAGGGTTTCGTCTCATGCACAATCAAAACAGATACTTTAGAAAGACTACATTGACAATACAGGCTCTAAAGGAGGAACTCAATTATAAACCATGTGATCACTGAAATGCAATTGAGTACACTTGTGATTTCCAAATACCCTATTGCACATCAGAGCTGTCTCAGTTTTGGATCTATAGGCTGTGTCGATCTACATATCTGCATCATGGCTTCACACAAAAAAGAATCACCAGAGGAACTAAAAAAATCTGATAATGTGACTTCACAAAGATGGAAAAGACTTCAAGAAGTTTGGTGAACAGCCAGCACTCAGTGGACACGCCGGTGCAGCAGTAATCAGAGAGCATAGAAGGGGCCATAGTACCACTAATCAGAGCTGAACAAAAATGGCACCACAGACGGTGCACCATGTGCACAGTCTGGCTCTGAAAACAGAAAGGCTTCAGGCTTGGCACAGAGGTCATCGATGGAAACTGGAGACAAATGGACACATGAGAAGACCTTCTATAGAAAGCATTCAAAAAATAAACAAACATACCCACAATTTAGCATTCTTTGGCTCTAAAATGCATGAAAAGAATCCGCGAGGAGTACTGGGAGCACTTGATTGGGTCAGATGAGACAAAGGTACATTTGTTCTGCTCAGATGAGGTTGAACATGTTTAGCATGAACCTGTCCAGGACTACCACAGTCAATGCATAGTTCTGACAGTGAAGCACAGAGGTGACAGTGTGGTGATGTGAGGCTACATGATTACAGAAGGTGTTGGGGAGATGACACTTTTAGATAGCAAGATGGATGAGTGTGATTTTACCAATATTCTGGCTGACAAGATGACTCCAGGTCTGCAGAAGCATGGCAGAGGTGGAATATTCCACTCTCATGCTGATCCAAAACACGCTGCCAAAATGGTAAAAGTGAAGAAGATAAAAGTGGAAATGACTTGGCCAAGAATGTTACCTGGCTTGAATTCAATTGAACATAGAGCAACCCCAACCACATCTGAAAAAAATCCTCTCTGGAGAATGGAAGTACATCTTTCCAGAGATCGACCTGCCATTATGGATACGGTTGGACATGTGGAGTATTAAAAGCAATCTAAGGTTTGAATCTCGGTAATGGCTTTCATTGCATTTTTTTTTCTCCAAAAGCTCCTAAAGCAACTACAGTATGCTGGATTTATTACTATTTATCTGTATTTTTATTTTTTTTCTAATGAAAAATGCAGTCTCTCCTTGCAATGATGATCTGAAGGGCATTTTTTCCCTACTGATTCTCATTCTGTTTATATTATTCCTGATTTAATTAGTCAACACCAGAGCTGGAGAACAGATGCAGGGCTGTGGTGATTTCCATCTCTCCCTCTCGCCACACGATTTACAGAACGCGCTGCAGTTGAATCTTCGAATAATCATTGTATAATAACATGCACTTGCACCCTCGCTGTTACCCTGATACCCCTCTGTGAAAACTGATACGGCTCCATTGCCTCTCGCGCTGTTTGAAGTATACAGTCTTAGGTACAGTAGATGGTAATTTGCCTCTGGAACAGTGTGAATGAGTTCTGGTGAAGCCTCTCAGACACTTGCTGGTTGATGTATATGGATGTGACAGGAAGTCACAAGTTCCCTTGATTGATATTCCCTGGCATGTTAACCTTGTGAAGCTGTGCCAAGCCCATGTGACTTTAAATGACAAAACCACAATTTTTCTTGTTTTTTTTTCTTTTCCTCTTTCAACTGTCTCCTCAAGGGGACAACCTGACATTTTAAAAGTCTGTTATTTTGCCTCAGCAGGCACTTACCGTATTGGGAGTTTTGTCCTTCAGGTATCCTACAAATGTAATTTTTTTTTTTAAAGAAATATTTGCATTGAATCAGTACACAGCAGCACGTATAAGCTAGGTTTAACCTCAACAGCTCAGCAAGAGATATACTGTTATCAGACAGGGGATTCAACTGGATATCTCATTCATGTGAAACATGCAATCCCACATGCCATTGTAAAGGCAAGGATATGCTCAGCATTGAAATAAGATAGGTCTCTTTGTGTGCTGTGTCGTTGCTCCATTTTTAAGCCTGTGTTAACGTAAACAGAAAATATTATAGCTCTTTGAAATATATTTGTATTTCAGGATTGAAATGTCATTCGATAGCACGGGGACAACAAAACACCAGGCCACAATGTTTAGGATGAGTCCATATAGGCAGAGCCGCTGTTATTTCATGTGGAAAAAAATCCCCTGAAACTGAGCTTAAAGTGTTCGCTTTAGAAGTGGAATCAAAGTGACATCAGACGGTGCTGCAGTCATATATTACAGCGCCGGTACAGTATATCCATATATCTCTATGTATGCACTAAAAGCACATTTACATATTCAGAACGCTGAGGAGAGGATGGAAAACATGGGTTTTGTTTCTTAATCTCGATTCACAGTTGTAATTCACATCACACGCTCTTACAGTTGTCACACCCTCTTAATGTGATGTGAATACGAAAATGTTTATCCATGGTGCTCATGTACTATAATCTTTTGTTTGTTTCCTTTTCATTCTAGACTAAATATGACAAGTGAGACCCGTTTAAATCTTCTGTCAGAGATTTGCTGCATTTTGCTCCACGTTAAGGCTTTCACTGTGTGACAAATCCTAATTGGTCGTAGAGAGTACCTTCAGGGTAAAATGTACCTGATGCTGAGAATTGTGTTGCTCTAATTGGGTTTGCCCATAATCTGCTGCTGCTAGAGAGCCTCATGCATAAGCAGCATGGAAATCGTGTAATACTTGGAATTAGCTGCCAACATGTTTGATTTAATTAATCAAAAATTAGCTTCCAGCCTTGGAACACACTCTGCAGAAACTCTCCAGAGGAGGCTGGCAAGTCCTGAGATATCTGCTTGCCCATACACAGGCAGTATAGCACGAGAATGAAGACTGCAGTGTTTTTCAAATGTTGCTCATCAGTGGTGAGGATGATACGGCAACAGTAGATGAGCTCTCCAAAGCATTTATTACAGTGAGAAATTGAGGTTTTCGCATTTTTCCGTGAACCTCTGGACACTGCTGCTGTGCGACAAATGTGCATCGGATTTTTCTTTCAGCGTACTGCATTTAACACCATGTGCCGGGTGTGTTGCTGCGTGAAAGTTATAAATATCTGCGCTGTCTTGATTATAAAGGACTTTGAGATTGTTTACAGATACTGTTGCGAGAAATTGCATTAATATTACGCTACCATCTGTGCAGTTTTATGGTGGTACACTGCAACAAACGCCCACACTTACGGATGTGTTTCTCTGTGGTGACTGCCTCCCCATATGTGTGATTAGATTCAGGATCTAGCAATCCGGTGCATCCAGAAAAACATCAAGAAGAACCGCGGTGTGAAGGACTGGCCATGGTGGAAAGTCTTCACCACAGTGCAGCCCCTCATTAAGGTCCAGCTAACCGAGGATCAGATGCGAAGCAAAGACGTGAGCGGACCTCTGCCTGACACACCTCACCCTGTAGATTCCACTCTGTTAGACAGCCTTTAATGCACTTTTAAAATGCATTACCTGCCACCTCAGCAAAGCACTTCCTCTCATTAATGTTTGACATTTCTTGTAATGCTCAATATTTCACAGTTTTTTCTTGTAAAATAAAGCGTAACCTATATAGCTATTTTCCGCGATCCAGGAGGAGATACAGCTGCAGAAAGTGAAGCTCGAGAGGGTGGAGAAAGAGCGAAATGAGCTGAGACTGAACACGGATCGATTGGAGAGCAAGGTGGGTTCCAGTCGCCTGTGGCAATGCATTCTGGGAGGACGGTGTTTGAGATGGGTGATGGAGTTGTTCTCATTCGTTTTACTTAAAGATCTGAACGCTTACTTGCACGGGAACTGTGCTAAGCATTTTGCAGTTTTGCATAACCCCCTTGTGTGTGTATGTGTGTATGTGTGTGTGTTTGTGTTCAGATCACTGAGTTGTTGGCAGAACTCGCTGATGAGAGAAGCACTAGTGAGTCAGCATCCCAGTTGCTGGAGACCGAGACTTCGGAGAGACTGCGCCTGGAGAAAGACATGAAGGACCTACAGGCACATATACACAAAAACACAAACTGTTTAACACCATAGTATATTAAAAAAAAATCCACTTTAGACATCCTTTTGTTTGATTAGTGGCTGAATTTGTGCGTTCCAGGTTAAATTCGACGCCATGAAGAAACAGTTAGAGTCACAGGAGATGGAGGTGATGGAGGCGCGACTCATGAAATCGTCAGAGCTCAACGGGGAGATGGACGACGATGATGATGCTGGTTGGTTTAGTTTGAAACCGCTTGTTTGCATTTGGACATGACACCAGGGAGCCTCTTCTCTATCTGTGTGTTTAATCCCGCACCCAGATTTTGAAGACGATGCGAGGATGTGACTTCCGGTGACTTTTCTATCTCTTTGATAACACAATCTTGGTCATCAGTGTTTTTAAGCACTTGTGTAAAATTCCCTAATTAATTGTACCTTGTGACACTTGCAGCAGCTTGCCTAAGCCTGCCTAATGGGCATGTCAGCTCAGGTCAGAAGCATAATTTACTGAAGCTCTCATACCGGCATTATGTGCACAGTTTGAAAAATCTCCCTTATACTAATTGTAGCTGCAGGAATGAGTGGCTTTGTTCGACTGTTCCAGCAGGAGACATGGCAGTAAGACTCGGTCACATCTTGCCTAATGCTGTTAAGTATATTTTCCAAATTTGGGATTTACCGCTAGGGGATTAAGATGTTCCCTACCAGGCATACAACTAATGCCTGTTGCTGATTGGTCTCCCCCTGCTGGGAAAGAGAGTGCCTGCTGAGAGCATATTGTCCATGAGGCTTTTTGTCTGCATTCCCACCCCCTTCAACCCACCTCAGCAGACAAGCCATTACAGAGCATATCAGAATTCTTAGATGAATGAGAAAATAATCGTTGGGATCAGAGCTGGTGGCCCTGCAAGTTGTCATTATGCTATATATATGCTAATGAGCAGCACTGATGGAGGAGCCGGTGTTGGTATGTGAAGGAGAAATGGACAGCCTCTAAAATGATAAGGCTTGGAAATGAACCTGAACCTGAATGTCTGCCTGGCCGCTGTTACAGTTCTGATAGCCTCTGACAGCTCCAGAATTAGGGTCGGCTAAGAACTGTGGAAAGTGCCACTTAGACATGTCCTTCTCTAACTACTATTGTGGTGTGCTCTGAATTCTTACCTCAGGTTTATTCAAGATTAGAGTTGAAACGCAAAGGCTGCTTTGTAGTTTCCTGTCGAATTTTTTGACCTCATAAGGTCGGAATTTGATGAAAGAACTTTTATTTCCTGAGAGATTATATTATTTCGGTCCTTGAATGTGATAACCATCGCAGCCAGTGCAGTGCACTCTATAATCCACCGCATCCATCATTTCTGAGCTTTTGAGCCGCTTCCTTTGTGTACTCGGCTAGGTCTGCATTAAAGGCAGGAGACACCCAAATGTCACACAGACATTTCCAGAATTGTATGTCTTTCCTCCAGGAGGCGAGTGGCGGATAAAATACAATCGAGCCATTCGCGAAATGGACTTCACCAAAAAGAAACTCCAGCAGGAGTTTGATGACAAGCTTGAGACAGAGCAGCAGAGCAAAAGACAACTTGAGAGAAAGGCAAGAAAAAAAAAAACTGATATAAACTTTATGTATAACTTTACTGACTACCGCACATTGGTAATCTTTTAATTGCATTAATGTAACATTATTGTCATATTGTCAATATTGTCACATATGTCATTAAAAAGTAGTAAAAATTTGTCTTGGTGTGCGTGTGTCTGTGTGTGTCTGTGTGTGTGTGTGTGTGTGTGGCCTCAGCTGACTGATTTGCAGACAGATAATGAGGATGTGCAGCGCTCTGTGCAGCAGCTGAAGAAGAAGTGCCAGAAACTGACTGCCGAGCTGCAGGACACCAAGCTTCATCTGGAGGGCCTACAGAGCCGCAACCATGATCTGGAGAAGAAACAGAGAAAGTCAGTTTCCACTCCCTTTCTCACCCATCATGTCTGTCTGTCTGTCTGTCTGTCTCACACGGAAGCACATTACAGACAACTTCTCTCTCCTTTCTCCTCAGAATGCCCAGTCAGTGCAGGCCCACTTGCATAACGCTAAAGTTTTTCTTTAATTTGAATAGTGACTGAGATGTTCTGTAATCTGTGGAATTGCATTAGCTGAGAAAATGACTCAGACTTTAAGCACTTGAGAAGCTATCGCTGTGGCAGAATGTGATCTCTCCCCTGTGGCTAATTGAAGATGCTCTGTGGGTGAAATTATTTTCAGCTGCACTTCAGAGAGAAAAACAGGGAATTACAACGAGCTGACAGCATGAAACACTTAGCTGTTAAGTTCACTAACCATAAGTGTTTCTGCCCCAGACAATTGAAGAAAACATTTTGCACATTATTACAACCCAATGGTAAATTGATGGCGAATGGAAGGGGATGAAAGTGGAGGCTAAAATAGAGGTAGTGCTAAACTGATGCTCAGCTTTGTGTCCAGGATACTCTACTTTCTTCTTATGATCTTAACATCTACTGAGTAACATGCTCAAATCTGCTAAATAACATATAATCGACTGCACACCATTGATTGATGAAAAGAACTGTTTCTCTGGGAGAAAAGATGAAGCCACTTTATGAATTTATAGTGAAAAATAACCCACATCAGTTCATTTTGACAAATAACCTGATATCAGTTGTATCTGTTCCATGATCCGCTTTATTAGATTGTTAATATTGCATCGTGCTGCATGGCAAATTAGCACATAATTGGTTTGTGTAATTACAAATCCTTCAGCCTTGTGATACTCGAGTCTTATTTAAAATCAACATTGTCCTGAGCTGTGTTTCAGTGTGTGCGGGTGTGTGCGTCCATGTGTGTGTTCCAGGTTTGACCTGGAGCAGAACCAGGCTCAGGCTGAGGTACAAAGAGAGAGGAGCCAGAGGGAGAAGCTGGCTCGAGAGAAAGACATAATGACTGGAGAGATGTTTAACCTCCGCCAGCAGCTGCAGGTAAGCTACTTTACAGTGCACACTCCAGATGCACTCTGATGTCCTCTCTTGGGGACGACACGTCTGGTCTTTCCTGCCTTTTTTTTAACGTATGACATAACTGGGCTGGTCCAGATGCGCTCGGCGTTCCGTTTACCTGTGTCTCTTCCCCTCGCAGGACAAGGACACCGAGTTGTGCGCCATAAACGTGAAGGTGCAGCAGCTGGAGGCAGAGCTGCAGGATCTGTCCTCCCAGGAGTCCAAGGATGAGGCCTCGCTGGCCAAGGTCAAGAAGCAGCTTCGTGACCTCGAGGCCAAGGTGAAAGACCAGGAGGAGGAGCTGGACGAACAGGCTGGAACCATCCAAATGCTGGAGCAGGTACGGGGTGGTGCAGATGTGGGACTTTAATCCCATTTGGAGAATTTCTTTTCCTAAAAGCTGCTCATATGTTGCTACAATGGGTTTAAACCTCTGAATTATAATTCCCTAGATTCTTAAACTTTGCAGAGATTAAAAGTAAAGTAGATATTGTTCAGTTTTTGTGATCGTACATGTATTTCGTGTGTTTTTTTTATATATATATGTGTCCTCATCGTGCACTCAGGCTAAACTGCGGCTTGAAATGGAGATGGAGAGGCAGAGGCAGACCCACTCTAAAGAAATTGAGAGTAAGGATGAAGAGGTAGAAGAGATCAGGCGGTCCTGCAGTAAGAAGGTGGGCGTTGCTCGTTCTCACTCTTTCATTTGTGCAGATTTTTCTTATTCATGGCCTTTCTTTCCTGAAGTAACCATTAATCAGGCCTGGTCAAGACGGCGCTGAAACACACACCGGTGTTCACAATGTATGCTGAAGGTTATTGCACAATAGCTCAGCTTATTAAGTCATTGAATTGGTGATTTAAATGTTGTTTTTTCAGAATGTGTCTAGTGTTTCTATAAATGTAATGTTTTCATCAAAAGAAAATACAGCTAATAATAACCACTCATTATGAAGCGTTAGGAACAGCAAGCACAAAATTGGCTCCAATTTTCACACCCACCCAACAAATCAGATGCACATTGTTAGGAATTTGAAAATATAAAGAGAATTTTCCAGAATAAAGTGCATCGTTTGATGGCTGTAAAGGCGAGCTCAAGGGGAGATCCTTTCTGTCTTTGATGTGCGAGAGCAGCCGTGTCTAACAGGACGGTCGATGGTGTGTTGTGTCTGACTTTGTTTATCACTCATCATCTGTTTGTTCGCGTTGACACTCCGTTTCATGTGTCCCGCAGCTGAAGCAGATGGAGGTGCAGCTGGAGGAGGAGTACGAAGACAAGCAGAAAGTGTTGCGCGAGAGAAGAGACCTGGAGTCCAAACTGCTGAATGCCCAGGACCAGGTACTTCCATCACTCTGCCTCTGGTGTCTGTCAGCGCAGCTAAGTGTGTGCGATTTAGTGTGGGCCACTTCTTTTGATTGGAAAGAAAATACTTTTGAGTCTGGAGTGGTGCTACGGGTTTTTTTGAAGGAGGACTGACAGGCGTGTGTAACAATAGTGGCTATAAAGGAGCGGTTTGTCACACAGGTGAGCCAGAGGGATGTGGAGACAGAGAAGAGGCTGAAGAAAGACTTGAAGAGAACCAAAGTCCTTCTGGCTGATGCACAGATTATGCTGGACCACCTGAAGAGTAATGCCCCGAGCAAGAGGGAGATCGCCCAGCTCAAAAATCAAGTATGTCACACAACTGAACATTTGCGCTGTGCCTCAGCAGATGAATGCGTGATATATTTACTGATGCTTTTTGAGCTTTGCTCTCTGAGTGTAAAACATATACAGGATGACAAATCCTTAGTCGTATCCTACACAGGTCCTTGATCTTGGCCTACTGATGTTTGTCCCTCACCTCCTTCCCGATTAATTCCTTCCTCCTGTTTCTCGCAGCTGGAGGAGTCAGAGTTCACTTGTGCAGCAGCAGTGAAGGCTCGAAAGGGCATGGAGATCGAAATAGAGGACTTGCATATCCAAATGGAGGATGTGGCCAAAGCTAAGATGTCGGTGAGTCTGTTAACAAAGAGGGTGCTGCGTACGATGCAGGGTGGAACTGCGCAAATTGCTTTCCAAATTTGTGTTTTTGTGTATTGTTTATCTGTAACTTAATCAGTAGTGCGCACAGTAGAGATAATGAAATACACCTACCCGTTTTCATTTTCCAATTTTGATAAGAGAGAAAGAATTTGCATAAATGTTTCTGTATCTTCCTTTTGATGAGCAAATAGAAACGAAAACAACAATGTTAATTAATTGAGGGCTTGTGCCTATCAAATTTTGCACTCTTCAAAATGCAGCAGGGCTCCAACATTAATATGCATCATCAAGCCATGGGTGGATATTAAAATAATAAATGCCCTTTGGCATATGTCTGATTTCAACTTTTGCTCTAATGGATAAATAAGCTTTGTCGAATGTTTTTTTTCTCCCTCCTCCATCTGCTCATTAATGGCTGTCTCATGAGAGTACTGCCTACATTTTAGACTCATAGACTGAGGATGTTTGTGTCTCTGGGGATGACACACAGAGTGCCGTGTGCCTGTGCTTTGCTTGTTAATTGCTGCATTTATGGCAAGGGAAGGTCTTGTAAATGTCTGAGATTAGAGAATGCATATTGAGGGCCTGAGTCTCTCCCCCCTGAACACAGAGGATGAACTCTAAATAGGACATGACCAGTATGCTGCACTGGCTGCACTTTTCCCTGCCTAAATGAGCCAATTGATTATCTCCAATTGGTCTCATCCTGCAGCCAGAACCCTGTCCAGATTGTGTTTCATTGCCATTAGATGAGATTCCAGGACTGCCACGGCCTGGCCAGCTAATGACCATTTATCATATTCAATAGTTCATGAATAAATCCTGTCATTTTATAGTAAAGTGTGTGTGTTTCCTTCTCTGTCCGCGCCGTAGTTGGAGGAGCAAGTCAGCCGGCTGCAGAGAGAGAAGAACGACCTGCAGTCCCGCATGGAGGAGGATCAGGAGGACTTGAACGAGCTGATGAAGAAACACAAGGCTGCAGTTGCCCAGGTAGCCCAGCCCGTCGACTCGGTTTGAAAATGTAGTGTTGGCTCTTGTCAAAGCTCAGACCATGAGCCAGCCCACAAAAACAGTGCAATTCCATTCATTTTGTAGCATTAAATTTAAAATGTTTTGGCTATGCTAGATATGGAATACATGAGAAGGTGTTGCTTGATTAGGATACATAAAAGGTAATTGTGTTCTATTAAAGTTACAAAAAATCGAAAAAAATATGTTATCAAATGACCAATAAGTTTAGTGAAAATGTGGACTATTAGTAGGGTTACAACAGCAACACTGATCCACGTGTGCCTGAAGTCTAGCTGATGGAGGTGCACGCACAAAACTTTGTCCTAAAAGATGATGCAGCTTCAAACAGCAGCAGGATCCATATGAGCATCTCCAGGGGTGAGAGTTGTGCGCATTTGCACAGAAGGCAACCCTAACAATTAGCCTTTTTATACTACTAAGTTATTCTCAATATGGAGACAAGTTTATTTAAGGATTTGATGATAAATAGAACCATGTAGCTTATTTCACCTCAGTAACAGTGAGCCGTCACACACGGCCTCGGTTTATAAGTTGCGCTCTAATTATTTATTACATATCGTCTGTCCTCAGGTTGGGTTCAGACCATCACAGCTGTTGGGATATTTTTATTTTACTGTTAGTACAATTTTCTGCAAACAGATTAGATTTTTACTATTATGTCAGGTGTTTTATTACAGAGAATTCTTTCATTTTACCATCTCACAGCAGGAGATTTGCATTATTGTGCGTATGAATGTTTCCCACATCTCTAATTATTAAAATAACTTCCAAAATATGGCACTAAGTACCGTATTAGAACACATTTAAAGTACCTAAACCTGCTGTAGTTATGTAAATCATCATTACGCCTGAATTTGCAATGTTTAGGAAATAATAAATGAACCAATAAACAGATGTTTTCAGCTACACAGTTGGCAGATTAGGGCAGATTATTGTTCATTATTATTGTATTGTGGGAATTCATGAGTGAAATTTTAATCTTAAGCACACTGCAAGATCTTTTCTGGTGGCTTAATTTAAGGGTCGGTTCACCCAAAATAGTGTTAAATTAAATTACTGTTAGATAAAAATCATCAAACATTACTACGTTATATAACCTTCCCTCGATCTATCCACACAACAACCTCCATCAGAATCTCACTTAAGCTCTTAGCTGCGCATTTGCAACCCCGCCGTACACATTTTGGTACTGAGGAATGTAATCAAATACTTTAGCACTGTGGTATTTGGATTAGGTCACTGACTACATAATTTAACAGATAGTTAGTAATTGTATTGGACGACATTTTTAAAGTTTCCCCGGTTGTGGAATATCATTTCTCACATCAACATTCTGCTCTCTTCTGCAGTACAGTGACTTTGAGGTTTGGAGGACATGTTCTCCTCTAAACACAGTGTGGGCTCTGAAATCAGGGAGATGCAATCTGTTCCACCGTAGACCACATGACAAATGATTTGACTTGGATTTAAGGGGGTGTTTATTCACCATTTGCATTAAAAACGAGCTTCTTTTTGTATAATTCAGACATGCGTGGACACTCACAGCTCCTCTGCCTCTCTCACATACCCTAATTCTCTGATTATTGATTTTGTGTGTGTGTGTGTGTGTGTGTGTGTGTGTGTGTGTGTGTGTGTGTGTGTGTTTGCTAGTCTGCCAGGGACTTGAGCCAGATCAGTGACCTGCAGGCCCAACTGGAAGAGGCCACAAAGGAGAAGCAGGAGATCCAAGAAAAGGTAAAAGGGAGTATTCAAAAGGCAGAACCGCTGCCTGCCAGGAACCTGCCTGCGGCCCCAACACTTCTCTCTGATTAGGCTTCAGCTTTTCACAGCTTCTCTGATTATTGTGACCAAAAAATGCTTCGTTTCTGTGGCAGCTTTCCACTCAAAATTGCAATGCAATTCACATGTAAATAGAAGGAATCAGTGACAATTCAGAGTCAAGGGGAAAGAAAGTCCTTTTGCTTCTCATATTTAAAGGAAAAGGGTAACGCGCATACACCCAGCAGCTCATCGCCTCGCTTTGATTAATTAGATAAAATTAAAGCACTCATTCTAGTCCTTGTAATGATTATCTCTCATCTTGACCCAGCAGCTTCTGTCTCTGTGATTAATCTCATTTGTGGTTTTGTGTGGCTTTTGCATTCGTTTTAAAATATCAGAGCATGATGCGGTTTGTTTGTTTATCGAGTGACTCAGCAATTGATGTGATTAAACGCGATAACTGGACGTAATAGCAAAAGCCTTTTTACTGTGCACTGACCGTTTTTTTTGCGTGATTCATATGATTATTCCAATCATCTAAAAAAGAAAAAAAAAATCTCCAAGGTGCCATTTTATTCTCACACGTGGAAAAAGGCCCTCACAGCAGATGCTCACAGTGAAATCATGTGGCAGATGTCAAATTACTAGTTCGTGGAAAGCGGTGGCCTTGTGCCAGTCATTCTTGTGCCTCGTGTGTGTCAGCCCCAAGCATCGCACTCTATGTACACGAGCATCTAATGCACATACAGGCATTTGATTTCTTTATATTTTGATATACATTTAACGTATATGTCATTTGCTGAACAAAGATGCAAACGTCTGACTTATAGTTACAAATGAATCTGAATAACAGAACTATAGCTACCCAAAGTCATGTTATATTTCACTGTGCATAAATATCTGTTGTCCTACTTTAGTTTTAGCTGTTGTACTATTAGTATATTCACAAACATAATACCTAAATTAAAACAACATGCATCCATGAGTCTCAGGCGAATTAAGCACAAGACTTTTTTTTTTAGTTCTTGCCAGACAATAAGGCAAAAAAAACAAAACAAAACATTGCCAGGATAAATCTTCCCATGTTGACCAATATAAATGCACCCTATAAGGCTCCACTCTCCCAGGACCCTCTGTGCTTTGCCCATATGGAGTTTATGCTGCGCACATGCACAGTTTGTTGGGACTATATCTCCTGAGTACATCTTAACAACTTCTGCACTGCGCTTTAAGGCGCTTCAGCTCTGGCATAAGTAATGGCTTCAGCTATGTGCCTTTAATATGTATTAACGCGAGTCGCCGTCCCCAACAAAAGGAGGACTGATTGTTGCTTTAATTAAGCGTCCCTGCATACAAAGAGCTGATATTAGCAAGAGGGAGGGGAGCTCTTTGCGGTCTGATCCTCCCAAACACGAGCCCAACATCATGTAACAAGTGCATTATAATGTGCAACAAAATTGGCTCATTTATGAGAAACATTCTTAAGATTCATATTTAAGTTTTACAATGTTTTCCTTACTATTAACTTTACATATAGTTTTCCCAGCTGCGTTGTGCTCTGCAGCATGTTAAGGTGCATGATGTTCTGGACTGTAGGCCTGTAGCTAAAAGCTGTTTTTCGGCTACATGTGCAGCTCCGGGGATGTCAGTGTCTGTCAGTCAGAGGATGAAGCCTGCTGACTTTGGTGATCTCCTGACCTTTTCTCTAGCAACACCAGCAGGTCAAATTTTTCACTTATTCGGTGAAATATTTCCATCGGATGGCTTGGCAGTAATTTTCAAAACCTTCCGCGGATGCACGTGCCACCACGTTACACCTGCCAAACATCAGCACAAATAGCGTCGTGATGGTGCGCATGCTGACACTTTCATGTGGCTCGGAGCTCTGCTGTGTGGCTGCAGAGCGTCGGTATTGTTTTCACGCTGCACATTGCACGACTGGCTCGCAGCTCGCTAACTAAAAGCTTTGTGTTTGAATTATGTGACCGTTGCAAACCTGGAACTATATTATCCTTGTGTGATTTAGCCTATTTCTGAGCTGATTGGGTAAATTACTGTATTCTGCGCTTCAGGTGTCAGCTAATGGTTGCGGCTTGGCATAAATGTGGCTTCACGTGGTAAAAAAGGTTAATGCAGCTGATTTAGGCCTGTGTTGATAATGGGGCTTTTATCATGTTTTTCTAATGGAACACTATTTGTTCAGAGCACAACCTCCAAAGTCTCCGACGTGTCATGTATTAATGCATGCCTGTTGTGACTATGTTGATGCAGTGGTTTGCAAAATGAATTTCTTCTGAGTTACTGAAGCTCGGTGGCAATCTTTAGTTTGCACATTATACAGACTCAAGCTCAGAGTTACTGGACTTTGGGATTTTTATGAAAATGCAGCGGACCAAACAAATAAAACCATCTGCTGTAAACAGAATGTGTTTCAAAGCGCAGAACTGAGCTCCTGCCACTCCCCAACAGCACACCCCGTTTCTATCATATTAAGATATATACGTGTGCCAAAGCTCTGGGCCACTCAAGGCCCACCCATCAGAATATTTTTGGCTCCACTAAAGACACTCAGCAGGCTGTAAGGCATTGTTAAAACCTGCCAGAGTAGGCAGTGATAGCTATCTACAGCATCTGACCTTGAAGTGGTTATCTCAACCCCAGTAGGAGGGAAATCTGGCTTCTTTAGTAATATCAAAGGAGAACTCCAAATCCTCCTTGTCTCAGATGCAAAGTCCCTCATTAGGTGCCATGCTGCCTTTTAGGCCGGTTTTGTTGTGACGTATCTTTCTTCCTTTTATCAGTCATGAGAAAACGATTCAGATGGAACAAACGTGCTTTGCATGAAGCACAGCCCCTCTCTCAAAGTCTGTGAAATTACTGTGACTTGCTGTTACTCAGCCTGAACCACAAGCTCTTCTTTTGACCATTAGTGGTAGATTGGGGGCTTATCTAGAGCTCATTATTCAGACTGGAAGCACAATATTTATTATATTTACCCAGATGGATTAAATTTATACAAAACTGAACATTAATTTACTTTTAATACATGCACATAACATCAGCGCTTCCTCTCGCGTTTCATAGGGACTAAGCAGAAAGCAGAGGTCAAGAAGGAGACGCGCCGCCGGCGTTCCTCTGTAGGAAGTGATTATGTGTTTTTATGCCTGTCCATGTGTGTGTTCCCCCTCCTCCAGATTCATTCGCTGCAGAGCCAGTTAGAGTTCCAGGAACAGTCCATGGTGGAGAAGTCACTTGTGAGCCGTCAGGAGGCCAAGATCCGTGAGCTGGAAACCAAGCTGGAGTACGAGAGGACGCAGATCAAGCGCTTGGAGGTGAGGGGACGATGCTGCGCTTGTAAAATGTAAAAAGACATGCTTTGAGAACCTATAAATGGAAATTTGACATTTAATTCTCTATTTATGAAAAGATGGAGGTAATAAAAATTGAGGGTATAGTGACTCTTGCATAGCTCCTTATCTTAGATGTTCTGGTTTAGGAAAGCATCCATCAAGGAATAAATATAAGTCCGTCAGCTTATCGTCTTCTTCACATTGTTCACTTTAAAAAAAAATGAACAAACCAAGGGGCAAACGTACAGCTCAAACTACCAATATTCAAATTGCAGATCTGTTGTGGTAATTCCAAACAGAGTCCAACTATAGCTGGCTGGGACAGACTTGAGGATTATTGCAGAATGAAGGAGATAATTTAGCTGCAAGCCTAGCTCAGGCTAAAATCTTAACAGATTTTAAAATCAGGTTGCATCACGCGCTTAATCTCAAACATGCTCACACTACAAAATTGGAAAATAATGGCACTTTGCACGCTGTACGATATTATTAGGAGTATGCCTCACATGCCAGAGGGAGCAGTCGATGTAAATATAATGGAGACTGGGGTGCAACAACTGGCTTGTTTACAGTAATAAACTGTTTAATAAACTAAAGCAGAAGGATAAACAAGTCTGGGTGAGGAACTGGTTGGGAAAATGCGATTAGCACGGGTTGTCTCTTCCGCAGCCAGAACTGAAGGTGAGATCTATCAGTTTTAATATCTGTAGCTAACGTTAGCCTCAAGACCCAGACTGTTTAACGTTGCTCGGCAACAGCATCCCTCGGGCAGTAGTGTAATAAACGTAACCATCCTGATTTTAACTCAGACATGTTATTAATCGGTGTAGCCCCAGTGAGTCGGCGAGCAGCGCGTTTACTAGTAATCTGCGCTGAACATCAGTTTCAGCCCAGTTTTCTCCTCCGATTGTCAGGAAAGGTGAAACTGGGGTAAATCGGTCCAAAACTCCTGTAGTGTGAGCCTGCCCGAAGAGTGATTCACTTGTCCATACTGTGTGTGACCCACCTAATTCACATCAACTGCTCCCCAGAGTCTGGTGGGTCGTCTGAAGGAGAACCTCGAAAAGATGACAGAGGAGAGAAACCAACGCATCGCTGCAGAAAACAGGGAGAAGGACCAGAATAAGCGCATGCAGAGGCAAATGAGGGACGTGAAAGAAGAAATGGCAGAGCTGTCCAAGAAGGAGGCCGAGGCGAGCCGCAAGAAGCACGAGCTGGTGAGTTCTCGGGTGAGCTCGATAAGGCTTCACTGGTATTTCTGATAGAGGAAGTAACTGTGTTTCTTCTGTGCCGCCATCCATTTACCAGGAAATGGACATCGAGAGCTTAGAGGCGGCGAATCAGAGCTTACAAGTGGATCTCAAGCTGGCCTTCAAGAGGATAGGGGATCTGCAGGCTGCCATTGAGGATGAGATGGAGAGTGATGACAATGACGACTTAATCAACAGGTACAGCAACGGCTTTAATCTTCTCCAAAGGAAGATGCACTCGTCTCAGTAGATGTGTAGCGCCTGCTTGGTACACATGCTGCAGTGTAGCTCCAGAGGCCTGGAGTACCGCAGCAAGCTCTCTTTGTAAGTTGCAAGAAAGTTATTAAACGAGAACTGCTATTTTTTTTTTTTTTTTTTAGTCGGCTGTCAATCACAACCTGTGTCTTTTTATTCTCCCACATCTTCCTACATCAATTTCTGCCTATCCTCTTTTGTACTCTGAGTCATTCTACGCTCTGTCTGTTCCCCAAATACTTCTCAAATGGTTTAATTCGGCTCCCTGCTTCTGATCTTCTGTCTCTTTGCTGGTTTTCCCTGTTTGGTTACTCCTTCCCTCTTTGCAGTAGGGTTGAGGGTTATGCTAGCTCTGGGCCCACAGAGGTAAACACTGACTGCAATAATACAAACCTTTAAAAGGAAGACATTACAAATACCAGCTCTGTTTGAGCAGACATGAGTTGAATTACAGAGCCGCTGCTTTACAGTACAACGGATTTGTTGTTTTATGTAAGTGTAAAACTGTTTATTTACTGTTTTTTTTTTCTCGTTTGTGTATCTCACCTTCTCTGCTTCTTTTTTTCCTTGTTCCTTTTTTTTGGTGTCTCCCACTCTTCTGGCAGTTTGCAAGACATGGTGACAAAATATCAGAAAAGAAAGAACAAAACGTGAGAATGGAAAACGAATCCTTTGTCTCAGTCATTATGGTTGTTTTTTTGTTTTTTTTCAAAATTTTTTTCTCACCCATTTTATCCACAAGAGAGAATGATGCAGTATTCCTTATCCCCTCAGTTCGCAATAACACTGTGAGGAGAAGTAATTTTGAATAGAATGAGAAGCAGAGCCTGTGTTATACATCTCTGATAAAAGCTATGCTTAAAGGACGGACCTGGTGTTTCATTTTGTTTCATTTTATTTCGTGCCAAGTGTCTGGAGGTGTCAGAACACAGTCAGCCTCTTTAGAAATTTCAGGGCTTGTTTTTCTTCCTTTCGGAGGAACAAAAAATGATTTTGAAAAAAAAAAAAACCTGAAGACAAGTGGGGTGTTTTGCAAAATGTTAGATGAAATGTAAATTTGCAATAGAAAGTGGACTCCAACTCTAAATGTCACTATCATTTCTCCTGTAAACGATCTCAGTGCTTTGAAAAATATGACCCAAATGGAAGGAAATGAAAAAGATCCACAAAGTCTAACAGACTTACTCTAATACTGCATCATTGTCTCCGGGATTTTTTCTATTTTTTCTTTTTTTTGGTATCAAACAGCATCCTCTGAAGCTTTCCACACGCACCATCATGCATTTGTTTTTGGATCAAAGGATTAAGCTGTTGCACTGATCTTTGTTTTTTTTAACCGTCTTCTGTTCCTATGCAGCTTTTCCAAAGCACATGCAACAAGTCTCACCGAGTTAGGATCATGAATGCACACAGATCGCCTGTGATACAACAACGTCATGTCATAAATCTAGAGTTTAGGAGGAATTGAGTTCATTTACTAAAGTCTTATAGGACATGGACGCCAAGGGACAAGAAACATATTTTGCTGCAAAACATGAACAATTTCTCACAATCTACAATTTTGCAGTTTTATAAATGAGCAAATATGTGAATTATATGCCTTTTTGGTGTTATATAGTAGTACTGTGTAGAAGTACTAGCACGGTGGGAGTAACTTACATGTGCTCTGGAAAGTCTTTAAGCATTTAAGTGTGCGAATGATGCTTGTGACTGTGAAATGATGAGCACACTGTGACTGCATGTCCGTGGCTGCACAGTCAGCTATTGGTACAAGACAGTGATGGCACAGCGCGCCACTCAAATGTGTTAACTCCGGGGCTCAGCTCTTCATTTCCATGCATGCAAATAGTCTACTAATCCAATCTCATTTCATAGCGCTGTGAAACATTTAACTTTAAATACAAAAGTTCACCTTGTCGCGCTTTTAAAATGTGTAGTCATCGATTATGAATGTTAAATATGTTCTTTTGACTGACTGAATCCCATTTTCTTTCCGTTTTCATACAATGAAAGGAGTTTTTTTTGTGGCATGTTAAATAATTTAAACCTTCATCAGAGCGTGTTAAAGTCTTCAGTTTGTACCCGTCCACAGTTTCCCGCGTTAACCTCCGATTGCTTCCTCAAAGAGACACGCCATCGCGCTCTTTATCACTCGCTGCTTTTTTTTGTTATCAATTTCTCATCAGTCAATCCGTGTGTGTCGGTGTTCTCCTTTTCTTTTTGTGCAACTCAACGAAAAAGAGCAATGATTTGTCATGTTTACTTAATTGCATTTTCCTCCCCTCCTCCGACATCATTGCATTAGCAGCATGGATGAACAATAATGGAAGGAGGTGATTTTTATTCTAATTGTGAAGTGAAATTTCAAGATGAGTTACATTACTATTCAATATTTTTGCTTCAACAAAGAATAGCAGGATTATTATTATTGTAGGGGAAGATAATGTAAGTTAAATGAGTGTTTTTCATTCTGGGTTTCACCTTCCAGATTGCAGCACATTACATTTAAATCTTTGACCTGGAAAAGTTGCATTTTTTTCTCCTACTAAAAGGTATTAATTATGAGGTTAATGACATCACAGTTTTCCCTGATACATACTGGTCCCATTGAATCGATACCCTCAAAAATATGTTGTTATGCTTCCATTAGCTCGGTGCTAAACTGATAGAACCGAGCCATACGAGATTTGATGCTGACTGTAAGTATTTGTGACAAAGATTTACAACCAGTGCAGGTCAATTGTCAGAAGCGATTAATGTTCACTTCTAAAGTCCTGGGGCTTGTTTGTATCTACGAGCCTCAGGACTGGTTAGCTACTAGTGTGGGGCCAAGGACAAATCGTTTGTGACACCATTTGCACAGCACTCAATTGCAAGCCACCTTTTATTTCGCGCACTTGTGTGTGTTAGAGAGAGGCGGGCAGAGGGAGATGATTTTTTTTTTTTTTGTTGCTGTGGGCTGCTTTCAGTAGTTTGTTGTGTAATATATCATGTTAAAAATTCACAGCACCACAGAACTGACAAATGGGCAACATGTGTAATCAACTTGCGAGTATTAATGAACCTATTATCTTTTTTTTTTTTTTTTTTGGGTGGCCTTTTATCTGTTGTGTTTAGTATGCAGTGGAGGAGAGAGGGAGGGGAGAATAAAGGGGTGACATATAATAGCTTAACTTGGACTCACAATTTTAGATTGTTGCCTCATGAGGCACCTCTTAAACTCTGAAATGAGGAGGGTTCTGTGTAGAAAATAATGTAGCTAGGCCATTAAGTCTTTTTGGGATCATCATTACCTTCATCCTTAGAAAGTCAGGGACCTGAGTTAAGAAGCTCTTACAATGCGTCACACTAAAAAAAATCTGATCCTTCTTCCCCTCATTATATTTAAATATCACCAGCACCACCTTTCTTGTTGCTATTCCACACCAAGAAAAAAAAAAAAAAAGAAAGTGAGGAGGTAGCACACTTTGTTCTCTGATTAGAAATGATTGAATGCGTGCCACCAAGCCTGGTGACAAAGGAGAGGCTACGCTGTTCAGTGGGACACCTACATAAATGCACATATGGTATGTGGACGAGTGATAGAGCTCAGCAGTCTGGCTGTCATCTCACACCTCTTGGAATATTGTGTTTGCACCTTATAAGCATTTTGCAGCGTGTTCCGGGGCTCAGGTAGATAAGCTCGTGTGCGAAGAAATATCTTTCACCTGCATCGCTGTTTCTCATTTTTAATGATAGTCAGCTGTCTGTACACACTGTCTGAAATATATCAACAATTCAGTGATATACGAGGTGAAGATTGATGAAACATGGGTCTTTGAGAGCTGCTGTACACGAGGCTATAAATACAAGTAAGGTCTGCCATTAATCAAGAACTACAAATTGCAGTTTCTCCACAGCGGCCCTGTCGCCGAGTGTTTTTAATATCCAGTTTGTTGTCTTCAAGCCAAGAACTATATCACGGAGAATGTAATTTTCTCAGACCCGAGCACAGAAACACACGTCAAACATACTTTAAGCCTTCACAACATATGGGTCCCTGCGCAATTTCAGAACTGTTTATGTGAAAATACATTTTTTCACACATCAAGCAGCCAAGGAAGGCAGTATATGTAGCAGGGAAAGGTTGGAAGCAGCGCGTCCGCAAAACAAAGAATAAGAATTTCTCCCTTAATGCATTTTGACCGTGACGACAGTATTGACTTAGAGGTTATGCCACTCTACTCCACTCTTCCTGTCACATTAACCTTCAAGAACAATGGGACGCATAATTTGGAAAATTCGCCACAGATTTGAAACAAATGAGTGAGGATTGACCTTATGCAGGTGGGATCTGCTCCGCTTTTTTCATCAGGATCCGCAGGTCTCTGTATATTGATTGTTATGTCAAGTGTTGGGCCATGGGGCTGTCTCACAGCTCCGCTTTAATAACGATCACTGGAGGTGACACGCCACACAGATGCTAGCAGCTTAGAACCATCCAAACAAGTTAATTATACCTCCAAGAGCTTCATCAGCATACCGTGTTTTCACTTCTACATCCGCACTGCATTTATCTGTTGAAACAGACGAGACGTGGAAAAGAAACAACATCAAGAATATGTTGAAATTATTGTGTCACAACTGTTGCTTAACCGCAGTCTGTCTGATTTGTCTTGCATCATATTAACCCCTGTTATTACAAGAGAATGAAAACAACTGTGAGACTCTAACAAAAAGCTTTTGATTTGTGAAAACTAACCATTATTTTGCCTGTGTAATTCCTACAATGTGACACTGCATAAAATATTCACAAAACAAGTCATTTATTATCATTTCTTGTCAGACAATCTGTCTAAATTTATTCCAAATTCTCACACAAGGCATATTTAGGCAGTTGATTTTTATTAAGCAGTTGAGTGAGGATTTAGAGAAATTGTTAAAATAAGTTGTTTGGAAAACAGCAGTAATGATCTCATTTAACTGAGAGATTCTTGCACTTGAAGATGTAAAAATGACATGTTGAGATGAATATTTTTGCTGTGTAGCGCTGAAGCCCTTCATGTTCTTCACCAACTGTGGCTGGTTTTGTTTTTCCCTCAGTGGGGAGGAGACAGAAACAGACTCGGAGGTGGAGGACCGTGTGGATGGAGTTAAGTCTTGGCTCTCGAAGAACAAAGGCTCCACCAAGACCCTGTCGGATGAGGGAAGTCTGAAGAGCACCAGGTTAGTTCTTGCTCTGTTTTTGCGTCATGTTAGATGGCCATGTTCATCCCTGTGGTATCGCAGTGTTGAAACTACCCACATTCCCAGCCTTAAAAAGGCCCCCGATTACCTGGGGCAGTTTGCAACAGAAGGATGGGTATTTCATGTGATTAGGTGTCATCTCTCTCTCTCAGTAATCTGTCTAATGACAGGAGGCGGAATGGGGAAGCGGCTGCTGTCAAATTTATTGAGGTGGCCCGTGGCCAGTTGGCACGCCTGCTAAATGACGCCGCTGCCACAGTTAGATAGATCTTCTCACTGGTTGATTGCCTCACTTTCTACAGTGTACACTGTGCATAACAGCAATAGCCAGAGGTACTGTATATGTTCCCTGACTCTTGACTGGTCCCAAGGACACAATGAAAATGACAGATTTGCCCTGGAAAAATCTGACACCACACAGTGTCAGAGTACCAAAATGTAAAATCTCAGTTACCACTCATCAGCTGTGGATGTTCCACGATATTAAAGATTAGAATTTATCCTTTAGATATGCAGACTTTTTTTTTCTTCTGTTCTGTTGATTGTCTCTGGTGTCAATTTTATGACGCAACCCTTTTAGATATGCAGCAAATGCTGATGCCAAGGAGATGAAAGAAGGTAAGGAGAAAATGAACGACAGCAGTAAAGATGGGAAAGAGGTAGAGCAGAACAGATCAGTGTCTGTCATGAGTTCCCTAAGCTACCGGAAACGCTCCAACCTGAAGGACTCCATAGGGGGGACAGGCGATGAGAGCTCCCTGTTCAGCACTCTCAAAGAGCAGCCTGACACGCCGGATCACGCCTCCATTCGCAAAGCCAAGTCAAAGTCTGGAGACCTCCAGGAAGATTGGAAGAAAACACAGGAAGATTTAGATGACAAAGGCTCAGTTATCTCCATGGCCTATTCTGAAGCCACCAGCAGAGCCAGGAAGGGTTTGGACTCCCGTTGGACTTCCCGCAGCAGCCCTGAGTTTGACAAGGAGTCCATGGTGTCCTCTGTGGCTCCCAGCAGGATGTCCACCAGGAGGGGCATGATGGACATGGATGACGACAACAAGTCGACTGTCAGCAGCGTGAGCCGCTCCAGCCCTCGATCGCTACATCGCAGCAGCTCTTGGAAGGATGAGCGACGCAGCAGCTCTCGCTTGTCCGTGGCCCGCAGCTGTGGCCTCAGTGAATTCGGTCTGCATGTAGATGATGACGATGATGATGCTCGGAGCGTTGCCTTTAGTGAAGGGGGGACCTCAGCTTACAGTCCACGCTCCCTCAGTCGTAGCTTTTCCACTCCGGCTCAGCAACGCTCCTCTGACAGCGCTCTGCCGGACTCATCAGAGATCAAAACAGTGGCCCACCGCAACTACCTGGACCCGGACTTGGAGGCAGCCATCAATGAGGTGCTGAGCTTCAAACCCATTAAGTTTAAGCGCAGCAAACTTGATGAGTCCAGTGATGAGGAAGAAGATGAGAAGAAGGGTGCTGGAAGCGAGGACAGTAGGAAGAAGGGTGAAGATGAGGGACTGGGCACATCTAGCCTGCTCCGCTCTTCCTCCAGCTCTGCTCTGGACTACGCCAATCGACCATCCAGCACCCTGAGCACCAGCAGCTCCCGCAGTCGTAAAGATAAAAAAACCAAAGTCCCGTCGTCGGACTCCTCCTCTTCCTCCTCCTCCTCCTCCTCCTCAGATGATCGTCACAGCAAGAAGAGCTCAAAGGGGAAAAAGGGCAAGAAGTCGAAGAAGAGATCCAAGAAAAAAGAAAGCGAGTCGGAAGATTCGTCTTCTTCCTCGGAGTCGTCTGAGTCCTCCTCTTCCGACTCCACCATCTCCTACCGCAGCTCCAGCAGCGTTAAGAGGGGCCCGAAAAAACCATCCGATGATGACAAGGAGCTTGCAGGTCGTGGACATTCTAGCAAGAAGGACCCCAAGAAGAAACAGAAGAAGGTGGATAACTTGGTGATGAAGTACCTCTACAGGCCTGACAGTGACTGATTCCAGATGAAGGTGATGCTCGGTGTGAGGATAACCCAGGAGCCTGGCATGAACAGAACGGCTGCAGGATGATTCACCTCATATACTAACACTGTTTGCTCTATGCAAGAGTTTGTGTTTATTCTAACTCTGCGAATAATCCTTGGGATTCACGACTTGTGCTCGATAAAAGTCTCAGTTACCAGTTAGAGCTTGTCTTCAGTTTAAAAGAAACACCATATATAATTTTCTTCTTCTTCTTCTTTTTACATTATACTGTATTTACCTCTAGTTTGCATTAGACACACTCAGTCACTTCACTTTCATTTCTCGATGCCATTATAAACAACTGCTGATACCGTTTTTGCTTCAAGGGTATGAAGTAATCCATCATTGCAATTCATCAGAGATTACTTTTCTCTTTTTGCCTTTGCATTTATTTGTTCCACTCCCAGCCATCAGAAACAGTGTTGCTCCTCCGCTTTCTACTTTGCAAAGATGAATCGCGTCTCTGCAAATATGAGTGTTTTCCCCTAATGTTGTGTTTGATGCTGTTATAAGTACATAGTGTAAAGAGAAGAGTGTCTGGCTGCGGCTCTTCCTCCAGCACAAACAGATGCTGGCAATAAGGCAAGAGACAAAATTGCACCCATTTTTCTTTGTGCGCGTTGACTGTTAGAAGTTGAGGTTTGATACGACGAAGCAAACGCTTTTCATCATAATTAAAATGCTAAAATTAGCTATAAGCTTCAAAAGCTATCTATTTTAAGAGTAATTATGCTGACAGTTTGAGTGTCCTTCGTTCTTCTGTGACTTTAAAAATGCAAAACATGTTGCTCGGTGAGTGGGACAGTTGTCCTTGACTGTGAATATGTCTTTTGATTTGAGCTTCTGATCAGTTGAAGCCGGTTTAGCAGGCTGATTGTAGATCACATGTGCTCATGTCAACAAAAATAAGCGCTTTTAGGAGCAGTAATAAATGCTAGTTTTAATTCAAAATCAGCTTCCACAGTAACGGTTAACTGTAACTCAACCCACACATTGACTACATACTTTATTTAAACACTTTTATTGTTATTGAACAGTCATTTTTAATTTATCTACAGTCTCATTCCTATGTATGCATTTATATGTTTCACAATTAGTGCTGCTGAGGCAACAAGCAAGTTCTGTTTTTATTAATTATTTAGAAAATGGCTAATTTAAAACCACCCCTTTCGGTAATTAGCGGTGGCCCTTTTATTTAGTCTTTTTTTCTTCTTCTTTTTTCCTTTTTCTTTTAGAACTTGATTGTAGATTTCTGGAATTTTAAGTGTCAGCGTGTCTCTTGACTAACTTGCACAGCTTGTGACACTCAAATTGGAGACATCACAGCTGTCCAAGAAGATGACATGCGGCACTTTGAGTGACAAAGCTGGAACACGGAGTACTTGAAGTTTTTTTTTTTAGATATCTGAAAAACTCTAAATTCACAGGCGTCAGGCTGTGAGTAATTGTAAACCAACTGAAGACGGTTCATGTTCCCTGTATGTTGGTGCCAAAAGGCATGCTTCAGTTGCTTTTGCTCGCTCTCCTTAGGGTGTACATTAAAGAACAGTGCTGGCAGTCTTGACATATTGAAATCTCTACAGTGGATTCAGTTGTCATTTATGTCATGCATTGAATGATTGTTATATTATGAGTTGCCATGGCAACGTAGCGTAAGGATGTAAAGCCCCCGTTTTTATATAACCTTTACTGGGTGTGGTAGGTTGAAGCAAGGCACTGTATGAAGCACAGCACTGATGTAAGTTTTTAAGCACATCCCTTTTAGATTTCCATCAATAGCTGCACCATTTACTAACATGTGAACGTTGTGATACTCATGCATGGAAAGTACAAGTGTTTGTTTGGTGATTCTTGATATTGACTTACCTTTAAAGTGTGTATTTTTCTAACTTTGGGGGTTTCTTGTAACGATTTATGTGGATTAATCGTTGTAATGCTTTTTCATCTGGCACCATGGAGCAAAAATATTGATGCTTTTTTTTCTTTTTTAAATATAACTTAGACATCATGATAACAATGTGCACATTTGCTTTACAGCACTTGAGGAGATTTGTTATTTACTGACTGCAGTAAATAGCACATCTTACAGGCTGAGAGAGTGCTCTCTTGCAGCCCAAGTGCTGTTCATAGTCTCCCGTGTTATATTTTTATAACCTTTTTTTTTTCTTTTTGAGACCTTTCACATTTGCTTCTAAGTTTCCGTAAGTTGCCAAGTAATGATATAATGGTGTGTCTGTATGTGTGTTGACCCCTGCAGCCCTCCTGTGTACCGGAGACACCTGAGTCTTGGCAGATCTGATGAAGAGGATGAGGCGGACAGAGACTCCAGCCGGCAGCCGCTGAGGCAGAGCGACAGCGAAGGCTTATTGGCAGAGAGCTCGTCGTAACACACAAGTCGGGCAGCCTTGTTCTTTGGGTGACAGCAATCACACAGGAGGGATGCAATTCTTTCCCCCCCCCCAAGCTTTATTACCGCGTTCCAGTCAGCAGGGACACGCCACCGTTTTTTAGCCCGAACACTTCATCATACTTTACTTAATACGGTGCACCCATTCGCATCCGGGAGTGATTTTTGCTTCTAAACTGTGCTTGTTCTCTTAAGTTTTATTTGACGCAACATATTAAAAGAAGTCAGTCATACAGAACAGTAAAGTTCAGCCACTATCAGAAGACCTTTCTGCCGCTGCTTTATTTGTAGGAGCTGCTTTTCAGGCAAATTTAAGCACCCTTCTGCACTCTCCTCTGACTATTCAGATAGCTCTGCCAAGAGGATTTAGATAAGCCTGCTCTGGCTGGACGCATTCAAGAAGGTCTGACCAACTATTAAGATTATTCTTATCTCTTCCCTTCCTTTAATGTGGACTAGTGCGGTGGGAGGAATTAACCTATTTTTAATTAATTATCTTGCTGTAAGTTTACATGTGGCTCTTGTTCTACGTTGAGATTTTTATCGTTTGAGGAAAGTGATGCCAGGTCATGATTAAAAGTGAATTTTTTCTTTTTCTTTTTGGGAGATAAATTATAAATCAGAACTAAGCCGTTAGATATTTAAGGGTGACCCTCTGGTATATGTTTGAAATGCTGAGAAATGGATTTAAATTTTGATCTAAAAGTGTGTATATATATATATATAAATAAATATCTATTAATATATGTGGAATCAGAGGCTTTACATGCTATTCAAATGAAATGAGATTTTCTAAAGCTAGTGAGAGAAGTACTTTAAGATAAAGTTTATGTCATATTTCCGTTTTATTCTTATCTTTAAGTGGAGTGCATGCTGGAGTGCTTTTGATTTGTCATATTTCTTAAAGTTCAAAGAGAATGCACTCGTTTGCTGTTATAAAGGAACTTTCCGTCGAGCTTTTTTTAGATCTTGCGGATTCTCAGATACAGAAATGAGGGGAACCATAAACACTTTGTACCCTGTATGACAAATTGCAGCTCCTTTAAATGTTGTATCCTGCAGAAAAAAAAACCTCCTCAGTTTTGAATATACAGCGTAAGGAAGTCTCTTATGATGTGTCTGTTGCATATTTTGCTGTGCACGGTGCAGATTGTCTTGAATTGAGGGATTTTTTTGGCCATATTGGTTCAAGTAGTCAAATAATTGCATTCTTCTCAGTACATTACGGTCTTGCTATTTCAAGGTGCCAAATATCAGCGTGTGGAGATCGGCTGCTCATTGAAGTTGGATTGGGACTTTTTGAGCAGCCCTCAAAATCCTGTTGGGATGTAGAGTTGCACAGAGATATCTGATAGGATTCACACGTTGGCTTTTGAGATTTTATGCAGAAAACTTATAGAGAAAAATGTGAAAACATTCAGTTCTATTACAGTATATTTTGGGAGCATTTATCTGATGAAACCTTTGTTTATTTGTACTCATTTAGCCACCAGTGTACTATGACTACACTTCTGAAAATACTGCCAAAAACACCCCGAAATTAAAGCCAGTCTGCTCATATTATTCAATATTTTCAGGCCCAAAGTATTAAGAATGGACCGCTTGTCGTCCAGGCGCATTTAAAACTCGCTGGGTATTTCTATATTTGGCCTTACAGGATGATAATGATATCCAGAGATGATGGTGACCTAATGAATTTTCAACTCTAATTAAAATATTTTGAGCTACATTTGAATAAGGAGGCATATATATATATGTGTGCATGCGCTTGTGAACTTGTCTTCTCTCGTGCAAAGCGTCTGGGTTGCTATTTGCATATCTTCTCACAAAAAGCTAATCTGCATTTCATGTCTCATTTTCTCTCTCACTCTTTTTTTTTTTCTTTCTTCAGACATGAATATTAATGTGGAACACGAAACTTTGATGTCAGTGATTCAGAATAGACGTGTTAAATGGAGAAAAAAAGAAAAACATACATATTGCTAAGTTTGGTTGCCTCTGAGTTTGACGCTTCATAACTTTGTACACTTTATCACATCTTTTTAAAATACGTGTCTATTTTCATTATTCGGCACTTGTCATATGAGTGATTTTGGAGTTCTTTCTTTTTTTAGCAAATAAATTCAGCTGTTTGTTTACAGAATCAATGTCAGCTTATGGAGGTATCATTTGGATGCAGCTTTGTTTTGAACTCAACGCTATCAGAAAACGGTTGTGGAAAAGGGGAGGTTAGAAAGGAGGCAGGACAGTTTTAGCAAAACAAGTCACTGATGTGTTTGATTAATTTTAGCTCATCTACCCCAGAGAAGCGTCTCATCTTACCCATCCAGCTCTCCCAGGAGACTACAGAGGAAACAAGCAATTCATAGAAATGAATAATTCCGAGTAGATGGAAAGGCAGGATGAACGTTGCTCATACCACCTCTGCGAGATTTGGGTTGTTAATATGACTGCCGCGCAGCTACGCAGTTCAAAACCGAGCTCGGGGCAAATTCAGAAAGATCAAAAACTGAGTACAAGCATAGTCTTCCTCCCCACATCAATCCCTGTTCTACATAGGTGAAGTTACCCAGATTCAAAGGGATTGATGGTTTTAGATTACCACCTTGGTTGACATTCACCCACGGTGTGTTTTTGCTTTAAAGAATCCCCCTATTTATCCAACCAATCTGTAATCCTCATTCCTATACACAACCTGTGCTGGTGCTTCACTCTGTGCCGGGGAGCTTTTGCTGTAATTTCACTTCACTTGCGTGCACCCTCTGGATGGCTGCATGTTTCTGCTTAAAGGCTTTCCATTGAGTGACAGATTAAATTCTGCTCCCGATTTTACTTATTTTGGCTCTAACACTGTTTCACAAGCCACTGGAGCAGGAAGTCATTAGCTCGACAAAGCCAAGCAAGTCTGTGTTTACGGTGCCACCCTCCCTGTTATTTAAACAGAATGGTTTTGGCCACAGACATTTGCTGCACTGGAAGTCTAATACTGCGCCTCCACGGACAGCCGGGTTTCCCTGTACAATAATGCCGAATGCCAGCAGCCTTAACGTAACTGTACGGTTCATTTGCTTATCGAGCCCCACTATGTTTATTTACTTGTATCTTTGCCTGGAATGTAGAATGAAGTTGTCTGTTTTCCTCAACACATCCATACAAACCACTTGTCTCCTCCAACGAGATTCTGTGCCAGCGTGGACAAAGATGCACCTTTTAAAATTACAAAGCAGATGGAAAACAGCCAAACTGATTCACAGCTGACTCTTAAATAAAAGCCGCATGCCAGTTTGTAGCATAAGCAGCTGCGTTCTCCTACCATCTCCCCATTTTGACCTTGGTTGGAGGCCACCCTGCCAGGCAGTAAAATATGTAGGGGTGCAGTTAGAGGGGAGAATGTGTTTATCAGGCATCATCCTCAACTATTAGCGCTCCCAGTTTCCTGCTGGATGCCTGCTGTCAATAAAGCGCTGATTGGAGGCACTGGGACACTGCCTGCAGGGACCAGGTGAGGAGGCTGCATTCATTTGCAATTCTGAGATGAAAAGAAGCAGCAGAGTGTGCTGCTTGGGCGCCTCTCTTTGTTTGCACATATCATTTCCAGTCTAATGAACACCGCACAGTAGTGGGCCCTTGTAACAAGGCTCAAAGGTAGGCTCAAACATTGTTTACATTTTGCATAGGTCTTTGAGAGGCCTGAGGAACAATAAAGCATTTCTCCTCCTGTGTGGGACCTACCGTAAAAGTGTATCATTTGAGCACCAACAGCAATGGGAAATCTGTGATTTATTTCGTTTTATGCCACTCTAATACCTAAGCACACAGTGTAAACCTTGAAAACAAATTGCTGAAATCCTTGGTGTGGTTGAAAAAAAAGAAAAGAAAATGTTGTAGCGTCTATCACCAATTTCAATGTTGGATTTGTCTTTCTATCTCCACTCCACACTATGCAGGTGGCCAAAGCCTCCTGCTGTGCTCAGAGCTGTTCAGTGCTTAGTGTCCCTGCCAAAGGAGAGTTGTTGCCCCTGTCGCTGGTGTGTGTGTGTATGTGTGTGTGGGCGAGAGGAAAATGAAGACTTAGGATGTACTCTACAGCAGTCCACTACATCTAAGGGATTTGGAAGTGTAAATGGTGGTTCCTGCTCGCCTCTCTCAGTGGGGAAGTGTTAGAAAGAACATTTACCTATTTCACCAGCGCCTCGAGAAACTTGCTTCTGCGCTGTGATGTGATTTCGTTCTTTTTTTTTCCTCTTTGCGCCTTCTCTTGCTATTATGTTCTCAGTCGTGCAACCTCAGAGACCTGTTTAGATATAAACGAGAGATGTAGGGGTGTCCTTGAAACACAGCGTTGGGAGACCAAAAAAAAAACAAACTATAATATCCTTTTGTCTTATCTGCAGGGACTATGCATTCCTTGCATGCAATTTCTCTTTTACTATCCTGCTTTTATCTGTCAGTATATACTGTTAATCTTCTGGTAAATGTAAAAAATATCTTTAAAAAATGTCACGTGAATCCAACATACTTGCAATCCAGATCTCTGTTTCATGAGTTAGACACATTATTTGGAGCACGCTATCATATTCATACTCCCTTATGTATGCAATCCCACAGTCTGACCCCTTAAACTAAGATTTATTTGTTTGGACCAGAGTGGAGCAAGTGCCTTTAAATCAAATGTGCTAACTCAGTTTTACGACAACACCTAACCTATTTCGTAACCCTACCGCTGCTTGGCCTACTTGTGTTTTCAGCTGCTCATTGATGAACAACAGCGCTGCTTAAGGAGAGCTGCAAAACCTAAACAGCTTAATTTTCAAATGGCCCGTGACAAAGCAATTTAATAACCGCAGTGTTTTGCATCTCCTCCGTCTCTTTTTCCCGTTTGCTCATTTCTGTTGTGAAAATGCAACAAATTCATTGTCCGTATTAATTAGCGGCCAAGCAGATGGGAGGGTTGACATTGGCGAGGATGGTGACAGAGACTTATGTAGGAGGTTGTAGCTGCGCTTCCGTCTTGCACACTGATCAATGCGGTGATAGATTACTAAATAGCCCTTTGAGTCTTTAGAGGTGGTGGTCGCAGCTGCCTTTGTTGGACTACTGCTGTACGTCTAAATAAACGGGCAAAATATTACACCGAAGCTACGTATTCGTGTATTGAGGTGTTTTTCTAATGATCCCTGAATTTGCAAACCCCACTTCCAACCATAAGGCCGTGTTGCAGCCAAGCTGTCCAGTTCCACTTCATGGTCATCGCATCCTGCACGGGAGCTTGTCCTCGTCCCAGTGATACCTCAAATGGCTGTTACTAATTATTTTAGACATTCTCTTGGCAACCTCACACCCCGGCAGAATGTTTCTCTCGACGAAAGCTCAAAACTAATGTATCTTTCCGGGAATGCCGGCGTCTTTAATTACAAAGAAAATGGGCGAAGTTTGAAAGTAAGTGTGAAAAAGTACATCGTGGTGACTTTACCAGACACTTAATAAATTCTTCAGATATGTCAGTGCATGAGTCATTGCGCTGAGAGATGAAATGTTCTCCCCTACTTGCCAGCACTTGACAGCTTGGTGGTCTTTACCACCGAACTCACGAGCGCCACAGCTATAAACTGATAGATAGCAGGAATTAACTATGCATCTAATTACAGACTTTATAAGCATAACTCAGTGAGCAGATGGAAGTCATTGGTGTGTTTGGAGTCACTTTATTCAAACCCCGGGATACTGCACTGCATCATATCCAGAGGAACATATTCCTCTTCAAAGTGAGATTTATTTACACTAATACAAAAGCCTAGTGGCCATTTGGCTCTGGACTGGTATTGTGTCATTTAGGATGTGCAGAGTGAAAATGACTGTGTAGAGCTCTGCTGGAATGTATACCAGATTTGAGCGGTTGTCGCGGACCATATGCACATCAGTGTTGCCAGATGCTATTGACATCTTAACCCGGAGTGAATGTAACAGTATAATCCTATAATAAGAAACCTTTGGTGGGTGAAATGGTCCTTACGTGTGCTCTACATGTAATTATCGATTTGTGCACAGCAGAATTAAATGTGGTAAATATTTTAATTTCAGTAAACGGTGCTAATATCAAAGAAATTGAAGCTCTAAAAACATCAGTCACCAACACCGGTGTGTATTAAAACACAGCATTTGTTTCTCAGGATGTCTGATATTTGCAAAGATGCTTTTCAGAGGTTTGAGTTTTGATTTCTGCAGCAATTGGAAGAAAGAGATTTTCACTCACATCTGATCCCTGACTCTAAGACATCATTTCTTTTCCATTTCACCTTAACCCTGGTCGAAATTGGGGGAAAGCAATTTGAAGCCGCAGCCAATTGGAGGGACTTAAACAGCCATTCAAGGAGGAGAACCAATCAACATCCAGCGGTGAGGTACAGTATTTAATGGAGATAATCAGCTGCTGAATTGAAATTGGAAAATGCATAAAGTGGCAAAGGAGAGCCTCAAATATTTCCCGAGATTGACAGGCAGACACTGAGTGAGTCAGACAGGATACTAATGTCCGTCCTGTCGGTCGGTCTTCCCTTTTAGCAGGCTCCATCTCACTGCCCATGTGGGACTGAGCCTGAGTGACAAGCCACTGACATTTACAATCTCTCGGCCTCGAAGTGTGGGCAAGCATGCCTGTATCGAAACGTGATCTCGCTGGATGGCCTGAGTCATAATTAGTGCATTTTATATATTATGGGCATGCATAATTATATTACTGCTTCGTCCTCATTTTCCGTTGATGGTGTGCGCTCCCCGTTTGAACTGTCATCCTCGCCGCTTTCAGTGTTTGCTTGGATTACTTTATAGTACAAGGTCATCGCAGAATACCATCTTTTGATGAGGCAGCGATTGAATAAAACACTAAAGCGGAGCTGAATATTTGTCAATGTAGCCGTGAAGAAGGTGGAAAAAATGATGCTCTAATGATGGAAACATGAAAATTCACATTATCGTCTGAGATATTCTTGGGACATCTATCCACTTATTTTTCACTGAGTTCTTCTTAAGGCTGTAGAAATACCCCAATGACTGGCAGATATTATGTGCATAAACTATAGGCTTTAGGCTTGGATTAGTCTATGGGAATATTGTCCTTGCAATCGCACCGTTCCCCGTGACGCAGCGC